ACATAGCTATTAACAGTCTGGTCGAACCCCTGAACGGGGGTAAACGGAAATGGGAAATTCATACCCCCAAACGGGGGTACGAGCATGCGCAGATGCTTAAAAATATGCGTATTTCACGCAAAAGGTAGGAGTTTACAAAAATCGCCGGTGCAAAGTAACGGATTATTTGGCATATGTAAAACCACTCGGAAATGATAGATTAAAGGTGTTTTTAGAGTTTGTATTTTACAAAAATACAACTTTATTGTACAAATCGGGATTCATTCACTGGCAAAGTTGGCGATCTTTTGCTCCTTGACATGCAGGTATTTAAGATAAAATATTCGATAAACAGACATAAGCAACTAATATTAAATTGAAATTAAAAAAAAAAAATGTATTATTCTACCAAATATCTTTTATTTTCATAGTAAAATGCAAGAAAAAATGGTGCCAATATCGATTTATTTATGATCGTGGGTTTCAGTCCGCGTTTCCTCTGACTAGCAATCGACGGTCTTTATTATCGATAATCATGCCCAGGAAGTGTAACAAAATAAATATAAAAATAAAATTCAAATGAAATCTATCGTAGTTATTGTCTTTTATATCTTATAAGAATTAAATAAAATGTTTGGCAATTTAATTTGCTGTTGTAGTTTTTTTTTTTTTAAATAAATACGATTGTTTGGGGAATAACACGATTATATTTAATTTTATTTAAATCTAGATTCTAAATCAATAATTTCCTCATTCTTAGAATATTTTTCCTTGTGTTTTTAATTCCATAATCCTAATTGAGACGTCCTACAAAATAATGAATAATTTCATGAAATGACGGAGAATATTTTGTTATTTCTACATTATAAATTCAAACTATGGAAAACTTAACCTGTTAATTTTTTTTCTGTTGATATTTTACCAAGTTCATGGCAGAAATAACATTATTATCGATCTTTTTCCTAAGATAGATGATATAGGCAAGTTTGTTTATATTGGATACGGCAAGAGTTACTGTTCTTGCGCATTGCATGACGGGACGGAAAACCCTCGTTTGGGGGTATACCCCCGTTCGGGGGTTCGACCAGACTGATTAAAAAAGCTACGAAACTATAAGTAGAAATAATCTTTGGACTGGACCTGATAATAACCATGATAACTCTGGGGCCTCTTGTTATTAAAGAACAAGTACCCTCTATCCGCGACTAAAGACCCACTTTAAGCACCTATCCCAATATATTCTAACATATTTTCTGAACGTCAATTTTTTGGGAGGTGGACAGATTTGCAACACACAAAGTTACATCGGCCCTCTGTTGAGAACAAACTTTACCTTTCTACCTGTTTACGTCCTAGGCATTGTTTTTACATCATATGGTTCTTCAATTGGTCTATGAACAACTGCAGTTGCCCACTGTAGAAGTTATGTTTCTTATTTTCTAAAATGTATGTACTATTCTGCGAAAACGGTTCTACTTTCGGTTTTTCTTCGAACGACCAATCAAATATTTGGCGGGAAAACGTCACGAAAACTGTAGGCGCGGATCACATCTAGTTTACACAGCTCTTACATGTACATCTTTGCTTCGGAGGTCAGTTCGACCCTTAGTACTGCATCTATATATAAATCTTTTTTAGAAAACATAATTAAGATTGTCTGAGCGTGTACGCCGCACTATATATATGCACATATAATACATGTATTATGTATAAGCCCCTATTTATAAATAAATGGCAAACCCTTGCTTGGAAGGATTTTCATACAAAATTTTTGTATATAAAATTACTGATTTTCACTCTATACTCTTTTATACATTATAGATATCTGTGACTAATTATTGTATTATGATATATAATAACTTTGCAATATTGTATATATATTATGTCATACCTAGCTTTCAAGAATATTGATAAAAATGAAATTATATTACGTATTATCTTTTAACTCACATATGTAGCATTATTGCAATGCTCAAGACATGACCACAGTCAGGTTTTAAATATTTTCTGCTGTTAAATTTCTTCCCGTGTATTTTTTTTTTAATGAAAGGTAGCATGTTAAATCTGCAACGATGTGATCGGTGATATAATTTTTTTCTTGCAATCTAATAAGTATAGTTGTCTTTAAAAAAAAAAAACAACAACACACACACATCTTTATACAGGTCTAGATCCAATGTATTAATTGTCAGGTTTAACCACTGGCATAATATACAGTATTTAATTCTAAAAAAAAAAAAAAAGTTACAATAACTCAGGTCCGTAGGAAGCAATTTCAGCTGGGGAGACCATATATTCTCAGTTGGGGGGCACTATGAAAAAATTCCTTGACAAGCCAAAAAAAAGGCATTAGACTTCATTATTACATGGGAACACAAGCATATATAGTAGCTATATGTTCTCTTTAGTACCAGTATTCTATATATCGGCAAAATTATTGGGGGGGGGGGGGGGGGGGGGGAGGGCGCAGCCAGAGTTTTCTAAAAAAAAAAATTGTGTGAAACTCACCAGTCAATTTTCGACTTATGTCATGTCAAAATTTGCTATTTTAGATCTTTTGCATTTGTATTGCATGAATAATTTTCCATTTGCATTGTATAAATCTCATTTCTATTATACATAACTTCTATTTGTATCTATAACTTCCCATTTGTATTGCATAATTTTCTATTTGTATTGTATATTTTTCAGTTGTATTGTATAATTTTATTTGTATTATATTTAATTTTTCATTGGTGTTGCATAATTTTACATTCGTAAATTGTAATAACTTTTAAATTGTATTGCATAATTTTAATCTGTATTCTTTAATTTTCCGTTTGTATAATTTTCCATTTGTATTGTAAAATTTTCATTTGTATTGCATTGTTTTAATTTATTTTGTGTAATTTTCTATTTGTATTTTAAATTTTCATTTGTATTGTATAATTTTCCATTTCTGTTGTCAATATTCTATTTCTATTGAAAATTTTCCATTGTATTATATTAATTTCCATCTGTATTATATAATTTTAAATCTCATGTTCCAGCTTATTACCAGTTCGGAAAAGGTCATAATTTACATAAAAAGATATTTGCAAACGGTATGCATCAACCTTTTTCTTTTTACAGCATTTTTTCCCTGCATATTTTATAGTATACTGTCTGAAAAACTTATATAATAACACGACTTATCATGCCCTAGCTGTTTTCTTTTGTAGAAAGTTCTAACAATCGACTTTTCGCACAAGTCGCCCGCGTGGCGCAGTGGTAAGAGTGTATGCTCTAGAGTCGCGAGTAAGGAGTTGATCCTCACGTCGCAGGTTCGAATCCCACTGTGGGACATGGAGACCGGTCCTTCGGATGAGACCGTATGAACCGAGATCCCGTGTCGCAGTAGGTGCTGGCACGAAAAAGATCCCTCACTGCTCAATGGCCCTAAGTGCCGAGCATAGGTTAAAATTTGCAGCTCTCCACCGACAAGTGGTGGCGTCTCCATATGAGTGAAAAATTCTCGAGAGGGACGTTAAACAACAAACAAACAAAAACTTTTCACACTATGTTCCCATGATCTCTTATTGTGGCCTCATCCTTCCCTTGAAGGTCATGATTTAAATCTAAATCTCAATGTTTCTAGCAATTACAATGACAACAATGGTAACATACAAAGTCTAAAGGGACAAAATTTCAGTCAAAAAAGCTTTTGATTTAGGTGAGCTATACAGCAGATTACCATGACCTTTTTTTTTTTGGTCAACACATTGCAATGCCGCAAAATGTATCATTTCAAAAAGTTTGAAGATCCTTTTTTAAAATGTTTTATTTTTAAATGTTTACTTATATTTACAAGTATTTACAATCACAATATATTTACAATCACTTCTCCTTCACATATTATGAAAAATCATTGCTGTTATCTCAGCATTAACAAAACAGTTGTAGGAACCCATTTTTTTAAACCAATGTTTAAAGATATCTTCAGAGTAAGGACCTTCTATTACATGTAGTATACTCTTCAGACAAATAATACAATATTTTTTTTTACATCTTCACCCATAATATGGTCTCTAATTGGGGACTAATTTAGTCGTCATGGCGCCTGAAAAAGATTATCGAACATCCCGAGTGAAATGCCTATAGTGCAACAAACATGAAAGTGAAAAATTAAATCTCAATAAATCCAATATACTTCAAATAAATTCTTTTCGTGTACACCGGAAGTAAATGCATCTTTCAATGAGCTTAAGCCCATAAACACGAATAGCACATGTATAGAACAACAAACTACATGCTTTAATTTCAAAAGCTCATTGAAATGAGGAATATCACAGCAAACAATGCTTAAAATATTTTACATTTAAAATTCTTTTCTTTTCTTTTAATACAGCTCTATTGGCTATGATTTCATTTCGCCGATTGATTTCATCTTCCTAAATCTGTGCATGCACAGATTGATGTTTAGTTGTGATTTTATAATCCTGTTCCCTTCTGCTTTCTCTTTTTTCAAAAAAAAATTCAAAGAATGCATCAGAGTAACATATAACCTTTCAAAATGGACATTACTTGACACAGTGCTTTTTATTGAATTTTTTGAATATCACAACGCTGTCCTCTAAGAACTTGGAAATATGTCACACAATTGTATTTTTCTGTATGTATTATAGAATTGATTAATTTTGCACATCAATAAAAGATACCCAGTGACAAATAAAGGGGGTTCTAAATGCCTCAAAGCATTTGGCGACAATAAGATAACATGACATGACTTTGCTTTAATTGCGTCGGCTTTGTAGCATAGCAGACACGTGAGTGGGATCCTTTTCCGTCGCGTCGTCTAATCGTCCGTCGGACCTGATATCTGCTAAATTCGAACAATGGGTTATAAATAGTGTGATCGAAATATAAATAGCCAGTCAAGTTTCTATATTAAATTAACAAAAGAATGCATATATATATATATATATATATATATATATATATATATATATATATATATAACTATACAAAAAAATTTGTTATTCAAAAATATTTATTTACAAAAGTTAATAAATTTTGCAAGCACCAAATATTTATGCAACACCTGTAAAATGCAGAAAAATTAACCAATAATGATGCAAATATCAGGTGCACACCTTCATATGGTGAATAATGAGTGTACAAATTTTCAGACAAATCCATGCAATAGTCTTCGAGATCAGACTACAGAAGGACATACAACTAGACAGACATGCAGATTCCAATATAACCCCCAAAACTTTGTTTGCAGGGGGTATAAAAACCAATATATAGAATTGAGTATTTTAGTGTAGTCTAATTGTTAACCAAGTTATATTGAAATTGGACCAAGGAGTAGCATTTTGAAAAACTGTTTACAGACAAACAGACAAAAGGACGGATGATAGACACCTTACTTTCACATAAGCTCTTCTAGTCTCTGACCAGTAGAGCTACAAATAATTTCAAAATGAGCTTAAATATCCACCACAATCATAAAACATGTGAACTGTGGCTTCATTTTTACAAATGTACATGCATAAATGACTTTCCCAGAGTTAATGTGATCAAAAGAGCTAACATGAGCTATAAACCAAGTTTTACGTCAACATGTTAGTGCATTCATTCACCAAGTTTGAGCTGTATTAAAGAACTTAATAACACAAAAAGGCAAAATGTGTTTGTTGCTAATCCTGAAGTGCTAGTGAACTTCTCACTCTGCAGAGCAAACCAAGATGAAACATTGTATCCAAAATCTCTTCTCGATCTTTTCTAACTAAAAAGTTGTAGGGCTTTGAGTAATGAATGCTACTTCTTAAATCTTCCACCTTTGAACCTTCAACCAAGCGTGTTAAATGCGTTCTGTCCATATCCAAACGTGTGAAAATGATCTGCAATATTGATATAACAATATATTATATTCATTTAATACCATTAGTGTGAAGAAAAAAATATTGTGCATGGACTGAATTCAGCAGATAATTTGACTGTGAAAATAACAAAAGTGATATTTGTACTGTGAAAATATTAAAAATACAGCAAAACATTCGTTTTTAACACAGTGTTATTAAGAAAATAATCCCTATAGACAGCGAGAGCAATAAAACCATCTTGACATGGACTACGCTAAAGTTTCTTGAAATTGCTCTCAAAATCCATGTTTACAATTTTCAATCTGACAGCCACTTAGCTATCCCATCTCACATTCACTCATCTAGGATGTCACAGTAGTTAAGTCTACAGTATACTGCAGAAAATACCCAGGGGGGTAGGGGGGGAGGGATCATGATGTGAACAAAATTGAATCTGAATATTAAGTGAAAATGCTTCCATATTTGAAGGACTAATCACAGCTTGAAAAAGATTTTTAGATTTTCTCCTCTATATTCCTATGTAAAGTTGATCTTCTATTGTGGCCCCTCCCTATCATGGGGTCATGATATGAACAAACATGAATATACACTACCTGAGGATGCTTCCATATAAATATGACTAATCATGGCTTTGCTGTTCTTAAGAAGATTTTATAAGAATTTTCTATATATTCCTAAGAAAAAAATTAATCACCTAATGTGACCCTGTCCTTGCCCTCGGGTTCATGTTCAAACTTGAATCTATACACCATGGAGTAAAGGTTTCACATAAGTTTTATCTTTTCTGGTCCAGTGGTTATTGAGAAGAAGATTTTTAAAAGACACAATTAAATTTTCATCAATTCTTAATTATCTCCCCTTGAAAAAGGGTGTGGCCCTTCATTTGAACATACTTAAATCCCCTTCACCCAAGGATGCTTAGAATTGCTCAAAAACATTAACCAGAGACCAAGACCATAAACTAAAAATAGACTCAACTCAAAATTTTGATTCTGAATATCTTCACTTTCAGGGGCGTTGGCAAAGGGGCAGCAGTCGCCGCCCCAATAATTTTGCAAAAAAAAAAAAATAAGAAAGAAAGAAGAAGAAAAGAAATGAGAAATACAGAATAACAAAAAGTTGGTTCTTTTAACCTGATTCTTAAGCTTCAGATTTGTTATTAACTGCAAATTTTATCTCATTTTTTAAATAACACATATGGGCAGCCAACACTAATGCAATGGATTTGCTAATTATTAGGGACCCGCTCTGCGGGTGCCCTATAGTGATCAGCCTGTCCGTCCGTCTGTCCATCTGAGATCTCTTGTCTGGAGCATATCCTTTCTCTCCTTGGCCCAATCTGGCTCATACTTTGCCCACAGAGTGCCTTTGGGTAAAGGTTGTGCAGTGACCTTGAACAATTTTTTCTAGGTCTAAGGTTAAGGTCATAGCAGAATTATATGAACAAGAGGCCCAAGGGCCTTGAATTGCTCTTCTGATAAACCCTTCAACCTATCACTTCTATTTGAAGCTTCTACTGTATATTTAGATAAAGCCTTGAAATTCCAAAGGTAGGTCATCATGTCCTACATTTAAGATGAAACACTTTGAGGACCCTTGAGAACCCAAGATGATTCCATACCTGAGAGTAGGTCATGGTGACCTACTTATCACTTGTCATTCTCTGACGACCCAAGATGCATCAACTAAGTTTGATGATTCTAAGCCAATTAATACCTAAATTATTTTTAAAATTATTACCATAAAATTTCAAAAGTAAGTCATAGTGACTTACTTTTCAGATGACATACTTTGAGGACCCAAGATGCATCAGGACAAAGTTTGATGATTCTAAGCCAATAAGTACCTGATATATTTAAATAAAGCCATAAAATTTCAAAAATAGGTCACAGTGACCTCCTTTTCAGTCGACTAATTCTGTGGACCCAAGATGCATTAACTGACAAAGTTTGGTGATTCTAAGCCAATTAGTGATAAATATTCAAAAATATTTTAAAAAAGCAATAAAATTTCAGAAGTAGGTCACAGTGACCCACATTTCAGTCAACTTACCCGAGGACTCAAGATGACAAAGTTTGATAATTCTAAGCCAATTAGTACCTGAAAATATTTAATTAAAGCCATAAATTTTCAAAAGTAGGCTGCGGTGATCTACTTTTCAGTCAATCTACTCCGAAGACTCAAGATGCATCAACTGACGAAGTTTGATGATTCTAAGCCAATTACTACCCGAAATATTTAATTATAGTCTTATAAATTGAAAAGTAGGTCAAGGTAACCTACTTTTCAGTCGACCTACTCAAAGGACCCAAGATACATGAACTGATAAATTTTGATGATTCTTAGCCAAATAGTACCCTTAAATATTCAAATATAACCATAAAATTTCAAAAGTAGGTCAAGGTGACCTACTTTTCACTTGTCATTTTTTTGAGGACCCAAGAAGCATCAACTTACGAAGTTTTATTATCATAGGCCTTAAAATGTCCAAATTATGCCTCTTGAACACTGTGAAATTGAATGCCTGCAAAGTTCAAAAAGTAGGTCACTGTGACCTACTTTTTAATAAATATGTTTTATGGGACCATGATGCATCATCTTACAAGATTGAATGATTCTAAACCTCTAAGTATTCGATTTAATGACCTTAATTGTTTTGAAAAAGATTAGCCATAAAATTCAAAAAGTAGGTCAGGCCATCATTAAAAATATCTTTGTTTCCCCTAACCCGACCCTAAAATCTCAAGTTGGGTAGGTAGGTAGGTATATTATTTTTTTTTCTGACAGCAGTTTTGAAAATACATTCTAAAAAATTTAATAATAGAGAAGTGTACGTGAAGCTAGGGAAATCCCCTAATTTACTGCGATTTACGTCATCAGATTTGCATACCGCATAATTCTACGAGTTGTACACAACGTGTAGATTCATAAGTAACGTGTACCTTCTTAAACTCAAATTATAGAATATATATTTTTCAGGCGGTGTTTGTTGTGATATTGAGAGTTTATTACGTACAATTTTGAATCCTTTTTAATCAAAGTCACAGAATTATTTGATAAAAATGGATTGTAAAATGACTTGTTGAAATGACGTTTACACGCACCAGTACACATACAGTTTGTTAAACAGAACACGATGTTAGTTACATGTACTTGTAAAAACACTTCTGGGTTTACACGTTCACGTAGACGCACACGATCAAATGCTTAACCTCTCTTTAATATCTTTATAAATAAGAAAGAACAAAAGAAACCAATTTTTAAACCGAATATCATACAAATGAAGCAACATGTATGGTAAATTAATTCACAAATATTATTCATTCGAACTTGTGAAATATCTCAGGCCAGCGTATATTTATTGAAATCGAATATTTACAAAAAGACAAGATTTGCAAATACTCAACCATAGGACACCCGAGAGTATTTTAAAACCTACTATCATCTTTGAGTTCTTACACAGACAAAATCACAAGGGCCTCGCTTGGCGCAGTGATTCTAGTATTTCGTTTTGGAGTCCCGACGTAATTCAGGAGCTTATTCTAAGTCACAAGTCCCGACATGAGACGTGGAATGAGACCCTAAAACACGTAGGTCCAGTGTCGCAGTATACATCTAGATGTTAGCACGAAAAATACCCCTTACCAGTGGCGGATCCAGGAATTTCATAACGGGGGGAGGGGCTCAGTAGAAGGCAGGGGGTTTGGGGGCTGCATTGAAGCCTCCAGTGGGTCTAGGGCAAAGCCCTGGTGGGGGTTCGACGAATTCTTACAAATAAGAGATGTTTTTCCCTTGATTTTAGGATAATGGACATCTAAAGCAAAGGAACAACCTATTTTCAAGGGCCTTACTTAAGAAAAATACAATGAACGTCTCAGGAAGCCGTACATTAAGCAAATTTTAAAGATTTCAACACTATCTGGAAAGAGTATAATTTGGTTGAATTAAATAAAGTTTCATATATCTAATGTTATAGTCACGAAGTTTTCCCAATAAATAATAGGAATGAAGACACGACATGTAAATTATATTTATCAAGATGAAATGACTACACAAAGACATATTTACAACTCCTGTGATCCTATATAGTAAAAATGGGATCATACATGAAATGTTTATTAGATCGAAAGGAAATGAAATGCAGTGAAATTTATTGATATGCATAAACAAGGTGGGCCCCTGCTCATGGGGCAGGCTTTGCCATGCTTACTACGTACATTAATTTTAGAATACACATTTGTAAATACCATCTTAACACTCCTTAGTCATGATATATTTAATTCACAAAATGTTTCAAGATTGTAGGATTCTAATAAGTTGAAGATATACAAGATTGATACTTCACCGTTGTTTTACAACATGAGCTAACCCTCTGTGGTCACATGTTGTGGGTGAGAGTAAAACAAAAGCCGCCGTTCTGATAAAATGGATTTTGATGAAATTGTATTTTATAAAGTTGATAAACAATAAAAAAAAATACTTGAATAATCTTATTAAAAAAAACTTTTCAGTCGGCACGATTTAAGTGGGTCGGTCGCATTAGGGGAAACAAAGGTATTTTTTACTTTGGCCTCAAGGTGACCTACTTTTTAATTGACATAATTCGAGGACCCAAGATACATCAACTGACAAACTTTGATGATCATAGGCCTTAAATTGCTCAAAATATGCCTCTAAATCATTTTGAAAAAGAATGGCTGCAAAATTTAAAAAGTAGGTCACCATGACCAAATTGAGTCAACATGATATGAGGTCCTTAGATGCATCAACTGACAAGATTTGATGATCCTTGTCCTTATAGTAAGCAAAATATCAACATTTTAATAAAATGTAATTTTTGGTCAACTTTGAAGTGACCTTGAGACCACGCCCTTTGCCCCAGGGTGATTCCCCATGCAAATTTGAATCTACAACATATCCTCATCCTTTTGTGTAAGTTTGGTGATAATCTGCCCAGTGGTTCTTGAGAAGAAGATTTTTTAGCAAACAGTACTTTTGGTTCTATTTTCCTACTTATCTCCCCTTGTTTAAGGGTCACAATCCTAGATTTAGTACAAATGGGAGCCCTTGGGCCAAGGATACCCTGTGACAAATTTGACAATAATTGGCCAAGGGGTTCTTGAGTTATGGCACATCTTCTAAAATGTTTATGCACACCACACAAATGGCCATAGCATTAGCTCAGAAGAGCTAAAAATCCTTGTCAGGAGCATATCTTTTCTCCCCTTGGTCCAATGTGGCTCATACTTTACTCACAGAGTGTCACTGGTCAATGGATGTGCAGTGACCTTGAACAAAGTTTCTAGGTCAAGGGTTAAGGTTAAAAATAGGCTACCTTACATTTTCATGTTCATTGCTGAAAGTGGGGCTCTTTGAGATGACCACCATCTTGTTTCTCGGTTATCCCATAAGTGGACTAGTCCAATTATAAACAAACTCCGTTCACCTGGTAAATGGGACATCCCTTCTTGATTCAGTACAAAATAATGTACATTACAAGGTTAGCTTTTTAAAAAGCTTAGAAAGTCAGGCAGTGGCATATTATTCCATGCTTTGTGATGAACAAGTTTCCTTTCAATATAGCAACAAGAGTGTAGGCCAGTACCCATAGAGGAATGGGCTTCACTAAGGTTCTAAATAAAGAATCGGCAAAATGAAGATGACATCATGATCTGTACTGGTTTTTATTTGAATTCATCTATAAAACACAATATTATAGAAGAAATGAGAAAGATCTCAAAATCAACTGAAATATAAAACTGTATACGATTTTAAAACTGTACATAAAGATGTATTTTAAACTCATTCATAATAGATGGTACGACCATCATCGCAAGTAAGTTTTATCCAATTCGGGGGGGGGGGGGGGGGGGGGGGTACTCTTGCTATGAAGTGTACCAGCCATTTACTTTGCGTCCTAGAGCAGCTTAAGCATTTTTGTCTCGAACGCTGCAGAACAACTTTCCTGGTTAAAACTGTTTACAATTTACTTCGTCGTCAAGAATGACGGAGAACTGATCAGTCTATAAACAGAGGCTGTCTCATCAATCTATCACTGACCAGAGAGCGTGCATGAAGAAGCGTGCCCTCTGGTAAAGAGTAACATGAATTTCTTTAGAACGACTCGTCTAACTATTTTCCCCAGAATTCCAATCTACGCAGGCGCACTTGCAGTTTCATCCCAACACAACTCAATCTGCAATCCTCGGCTGACTCCACTATGCTCCATACAAAGTAGTTTAATATTAGTGTGCGAGGCATGAGCCACCCGAGAATATCCAAGTGAACGTAACTAGTCAACCCGTGGACTAACTAATAAATGACCAAACAGTGGCATGTCTTAGATATTCATTAATGTGTAATATTTGGTTATGACATTTGAGAAAGTCAATTGTACATCTTGTGTAATGAAGTATTGCAACTATGTCACTCCTTGATGACGAAAACGTTTAGCACTTCCCTTGCTTATATGTTCCACAGATATTGATTGATTTAGTCAGGCAAGCTTTTTAAAAAGCTATTACTTGTATTCATTTGAAATTTTGACTTAGTCTGTTCTGAGTTTATGGTCTTGAGGACTGGTCACTCATCAGGAAAATGTAGGTCAGATCCAGCATCAGAAGCAAGCCTGGTAGTGTGTATCCCTAGATGCATCATCCATGCAAGTTTCAGGTAGGTTTGATAGTGAATTGGAAATGGACTTGCCCCACAAACTTAAACTCAAGTGAACCAGAAATCCCTGATGAGACTGTAGCTCTAATAAGGTAGAGAAAGGTGGTACTTGGACTTGAAACTATCACAACAGCAATAAATAAAATAATGATCTTTTGTTTGTCTCTTTCTGAGTCAAGTTTAATTACAGTTGGACAAAAACAGTAGTAAGAGTAGATCGAGTTTTGAAAGAATTCCACAGAAATTTCTATCTATAGTAATAATGGCAAGACCATTCATTGAAATCAAAAACTGATAAACAGAATTATGTATCAGAGTATAGTCTACTTGTATTCAGTTGACAAACTTTGATCAGAAAAGTACATGAAGTCTTTCCAGTAATAAAATTAATTAAAACTACTAACCATGGTCTTAACACAAATCATTCCTAAACATGTAGTTCCTATAACAGATTTCTTAGTTTCCAGTAGAAGCTCTTCCCCATGCTGTCCTAACAAGCTCTCCACAGATTGGCCTGTAAGCTTCATGTCTCTGATATTGAAATCAGTGCTAGTTAATCCATCATGTGCAAACAACCACATCTTCACCTGAAATCATAAATTTTCAAAGTGCTTACTTTTAAAATCTATAAATTTGATTTACCAGAAGTCTATGATGACACAGTTAATCTACTTATTTGTAATAAAAGTAATGGAAGAACAAGAGGCCCATAGGCCTTTTAGGTCACCTGAATATCACATAACAACTTTCAACTGAATTAAAAGCAAACATAATTTTAAGAAGAAATCTGCATATCACAAATCTTGAATCACTATAGGGTCATGAAAAACATGGGTCACTTGCTACTTTCAAATAATAATTTTTGTACCAGTATCATGACTTCATTGCATGAATTTCATATTTATTCACAGGGCATTAGCTTCTATATGTACAACATTTGGTCAAATAATTATCACATACTTTCATCTGAAAAGTTCATTTTGGTATCTTACTTATACTTTTCCAGTAAGAAGATGTGGAACCCCTTCCAACTATCTCCTTTAGTAACACAGTTCCAAAAAAATGGCTATTGTGTTAAAGAGCTCTTCTATACTAAGCAACTTCTGTCACAATTGTGAACTTATACAGCCCAAGTAGTGATTTCATAATTTGTTTATAAATAATATACAGGTAAACTTCGATATCTCGAACTTGGCGGGACTGAGGAAAAACTTCAAATATCCGAGTGTTCGAGATATCGAAGTTGATGAATTTGGTACCGATATTGTTATGTTGCATGTTCTATTAACAGGAAATTAACCCCTCCCCCCTTTCCATCACGTGCATAATTTAATATAAGCGGTAAATGTTTCAGTTCATACTTAGTGCTATCTTTTTAAAATTACATTTGCATATATACTTATAATGCATATGTATTATTTTATTCAATACTGCAACTCTTACAGTTTACAAATTTCGATCGCTTTCAATAGCAATAATGATAATCATCATGCTGGTTTCAGATTTTCTGATACCCGGATATGTGTTGTAAATGATAAACCGATCACTGTAGTAAGGATTAAGATGGAAACAGGAATTATCGTTCTACAATAATTTATTATAATTGCCAATATACATAAACAAAAGCAAACTTTGTTTCGATTATATGAACTTCAAGTTTTCTTTTTACACCACGGTCAGATAATCTAACTATCCCCCCAGGTTGGCTACCGGGTTCTTTGTAAGACTGCCTTATCAGACATGATGTGTACTGAAGATTTAGATCTTTGGTACTCACTTTTATACTCAAAATAATGTCTTTAATTGTATAATTTCTTGAGTTCAATATCACTGATGTGTTCAGTGTTTACTTTGATATGTAATAATGTGTATAAGCGTGTACTTTCGATAAATTTAAATTCCTATTACAGTAATCGTCCCCAAGCCGCTGTTTCATTATCGTGTCATCATATCTCCGAGTGTGCATTTTATTAACACCTCCAAATCACCTGGCCAGCGTAATTAAATTTAACTACCAAAAACAACAGCTTGGGGGCTAATAAGGTGTGATTATCAGCAATGGTCCCATGAAGCTTGTGCTAGACCTAACGAAACGTTCAACAGACCATAAAATTAGCATAATGAGATTATTGTGTACTAAGGTGTGAATTCAGCGGAGCGAGAAACTTGTTGGACTTCGAGATAACGCATGTGTTTATAGCACTAGCGACAGTAAATCTACTTCGAGATAAGCGAGGTATTTGAGATTTCTGTGTTCGAGATACCGTTTTTTTTTAAATCATAAATATAATAAAAACGGCTGTGACTGTTGATTCACTTCGAGATATCCGTGGTATTCGACATATCGGTGTTCGAGATACCAAAGTTTACCTGTATATGAATTATATAAATTTTATAAATGTCTGTAATCTTTAGGTATGGCTGGGTTTGACATTAACTTTTGTGAGTACTAGACCAGTCAGGCTACTTGAATTTCCCATAATTTTTACTAGCACTGACCATAAAATCACTAGCCCTGATCAGATTTGAAAATTTATATTTTAACCTGCTAATTATCATGAAAAAAAGTTTCAAAACCATACTTAATAAGCCTGTTAAGATATACTTTGACAGATTGTACCATAGGTCGCAGGCCATTGAGTCGGAATAATTGGGACATGCTAATATTATAAGCCTTAAAGAACATTCAATGAACTTTTTAAAATAAAATAAAATAAATAAATTAAAGAATATATTATTTAATAGCTATTCATATCAATTGAAATGAAATGAATGAAGCTAGTTTTGATCGCGACTTGTCTGTTACAACCAGGCTAAAAATAGCGATTGTGTCAGGTGGGGAAGTTTTCTTCTTCTGGTGCTGTGTCTACAATCAGACAAAATTTCTTTAAAAACTTTTAGAATATTTAATTCAAAGACTGAAATGAGGGTTAACATCTATTTCATACAAATGATTAGTCAGTCTAGTTCTAGTTTTGTTTTTCTTTTCTTTTCTTTTTTTTTTTTTGGCATCTGCACATGTTGTAAATATTAACTGAACCATAAATTTATCCTAACCTTAAAACTGGCAAGAACAAAGATATATTAAGAGTACATTATTTAATCTTTCTGCTGAAATAGCAATTCAGAACATTAATGGGGAAAAAACTGATATAAAAAGGTTTATAGAGTTGAACTTTGGTATCTCAAACACTGAATATAGCTTGAATACCATGAATACATTGAAGTGATTTGGAAGCCCCAACCTCTAACAAGATGATCAGAAGCATTATTCCATAAAAGAAATAAAATATTATCATTTACAATATTTAGATTTTTCATCATACAAAGATTCCATTTAAAACTTTCATACCAACCTTTCCTACAGTCACTGTCATAAGAGATGCTCCTCCTTTTTCCAAAGTTGCATCTCCCTGCAGGCTGTATCTTAAATCTGGAACACTAGTTGTTTCTGTTCCATTGAGTGTCATTTGCACTTTCTGCAAAGCATCTCCTCTCCTGCAAAATTTAATTTAACTCACTTACTTCATTAAAATACAAAAAAGTTTTTTAGCATTTTCATTAATAAGAAATAATATTCAGCTGATATCTAAAATAAATATACTGCTTCGACATTCAAGATATGGTAATGCATTTAAACTTTTTTTTACTCTCATGAAAAAAAATATTAAATGTGTTTGCTTATGAAATGTTTGAAAAAAAAAAGAGAACAACATTTATTCTTCTCATTTGTGATGAAAACAATACAACAAAAGATAGGAGAACTTGCTGTCCTTGAATTGAGTTATCTGAAATGATGATGGGAAACAAAAAGAGACAAATACATGAAATATACCATAGAAGCAGAATATTTAGCAAGGATTCAATTTTGGCATTACATTGTATTAGTGAGGGTTTTGAGATTGCTAAAATTGAATATGGCTAACAATTTAACCCATATCAGTTATTATAGATATCTTACTTGACATTAAAAAAATCACATATTACCATGTATTACTTCTCAGTAAAATTATATACCATTTTTTTTTGATAAATCGCTAAATTTACATCTCACTAAAAATTCTACTTATACGGTATGCCCAAACATTGTTTACAAAATAAATTTTGAAATTGTTTCAAGCATAAAATAAACTCACATTGCATTTATCAGGAATATCTTGCTGAAGAAAGTTAGAAGCTGACAGAATTCACCTTCCACTCCAATTCTTCTTTCAGAAAACAATTCTTTAATTAAGTCAGAATAGTACTGAACATACTCCAATATTCCAGCATGCCAAAGGCTAAAAAGATGCCTAAAAAAAGAATCATTTTACATTGTCATGTTTATGTACCGGTAAATCAGTATGAAATGCAAGATGGAATGATGTTTCCTTGGGTTGAAATTGCGCTGAAGATAGATCCTATTAATTTTTTTCCTTGTCTGTATTTCCTCTAAGATGTCTATAAATATCTTTCATATAAAACACACAACAATTATATAAGCTAGATTTTGGTAAAACCCTTGAACACTTAATATAATTATATAAACTATACAACAGTTATTACTGTATTACTATAATTATACTGCTTTATCAAGTTTCATTTTCATTTAGCACTCATGATTCCAATTCAAACAGTTTAATGATTAAAAGTTATAAACATTGTCTATGACTTTTTAGGACAAGTCAACCCTCATATATTACTTTATATTTGTCTGTCTTTCTTCTGTAAATATAAAGTAAGACATAAAATATATGATTTATTGATTGATTGTTGTTATGTCCATTTCAAGATTTTTTCACTCATAGGAGACATCACCACAAGTCCTAAAGGGCTTCAAATGTAGACCAATACTTAGAATTCAGGGCCATTGAAAAATGAGGGATCTTTAACTTGCTAACACCTGCCATAACATGGGGTAGGGCTGTCAGGGTTCCCCAAAACAACTGAAAACTGAGGTCCAAGGTTTTGGTTCTGTTTTTCTTATAAGATTTTGGTTCAGGTCTGGCTTATACTGTATGTGTACTTAAAAAAGTGGGCTTCATATTTTAGCGGTTTTGGCACAGACAATGATGCCCTAATTCATGAATACTGCTAAGAAATCATTTACTAATACATATACAATACACGACACAGACATGTTGGCGTAATTCATGATTACGCCAACAACTCCATACCCCTCAATTGGCTAAATTTTGAATACGCCAATATGGCAAGTATGTTAGAATCTGTTTTATACATCTAAATCAAAAGAATGATAACAATAACACTTGTGAAGAGATCTATGTGAGCAGATCAAAGGATCTGATTTTAATCAGATTGGATAGTCCAATATATATAACAAGAGTTAGCTCTATTAATTCACACCACTGTTAATTTGGCACGCTGGCTATTCTCTAGAAGAATTTTTTTTTTTTTTAATTTTTTTTCTTTTTAATTTCATAGAAAGTTTGACCCCACAATGTGACCAAACCTTAGTTCAAGAAGTCATGACTATGTACAACACACCAGAGACCTATATACTAACAGGATAGGCAACTCCTTCAGCGCCATGTTTATTTACCCAAAACGGCACACACAACACTGCAAGTTTTTTAAAATATGTTTTTTCCCAGTAAAAAGCTTGTTTTCTGATTAATGTAATCTGTTTTTTGTGTATCAGAATGGATATTTAATAAATTTTAAAGCACATATTATAAAATAATTTAGATATTAAGTTAACAACCACCAAAATCGGTGATTTCTCGGAAATACGGCCGATCAGGGGCACGCACTGATTTTTAAATAAGCGTAATTACTACTAAGATAAGGAGTAAAAACAGTGCTAATAACAAATCTTGAATGATTTTTTGATAGATAAATTAAGATTTTATTCTGAAATATTTGATAGCAAAAGAGATATATTTAATTAAAATTGACTTATGAAATCATGCAACTTACAAAGTATCGCGAGACTTGCGAGAGTTGCCTATCCCGTTAGTATATAGGTCCCTGAACACACTTATCAAATATGTGACCATGCCATTGTGGCAAATGGCCTCTTTTCAATGGCCTAAATGCATCTTCCAGGCATAGAGAGGATAAGCAAATTAATACAGGGACCTACAATAGGAATATACATGATATACGTCCCCAATTAATATTATTAAGTTTGCTTGATTCACGAAAATATTAAATTGTTTATATTCAACTGTTCAAGAGAAGTTTATTTTTCTAAATATTATAAAATCAATACCCTGTGAAATATGGAACAAACACTGTAAATGAAACCATACCAGGAAAGTGTATCTAATGATGATGCTGATTCAATTTCCTCTTTTATTTTTGCTATTGCTTGCACACACTTTTTGGTTTCACCTAGAACTTCTCCCGAACTCAATTGTTCCATTTTAGCAAATCCTTCATCAGCATCTAAGCTATTCATGCATCTTTTTGTTGATTCAATCAGAAATTCCTTTATCTGAAGAAGTTTAGTCCAAAATGTGGTGTCGTCTACTAACACCGAATACATGTACATATTTTTCAGAACTGATTTATATAAATCGAACAATTCTGTTGCCTTTTCATCATAAAATATTCCATGCGATTCTAATGTAAACATATCCCATTCTGATACACGATTTCCACAACGCCTCCCACATTTCACTCCGGAGCTATAACTATCTTCGCTTTCATGAGATCGAGATCTTGAGGTTAATTTTCTTTTCAAATGTTTTCGCATTCGTGATACTGAATCAGACAATAATGGTGATCGTGAAGTGGAACTTGTAGTTGTAGAACTACCATCTGATGAATCTTCTTCCATTGTTTTCTGTTGTCATTTGCAAGATGATTAGTTTCTCGACTCAAACAGTCAAAGGAACTTAGGAAGTTTCCCGCACCTGGTGCGTGTCTGTCAGTAGATCACGCCCGACTATAATTCAATGTTCTCCGCATATTTATACAGTTAGACCCTGATTATTAAATAATGGAATATTCACATTTTTCTGTTTAATAAATCAAATGATTTCGATAAATGATAATTCGATATCAACTTGATCAAGCAAGTAAATGAATATCGTCGTTGAATGTATTCACTAACCAAATAAACACGAGAACATTTTTTGTCAACGTAGCCACTAGGGTTCAATTTGCTACTTTGGAATTATTACTATTTAGCTATTAAAAGCACAGATTAGATGGGTAAAATAATGCCATTAAAAACAATGTCTTCTAGATTCATGATAAGCTTAAAACTAAGAAACTCAGTGAACTGGTGAACATGCTACTGATCATATTTAAAAAAAAATATTTTGCACTTTAAATCAATTCCAATTTTAAAAAAAAATGGTTGTATTTTCTCATTTTTAAAGGCAGTATTAGACATTTAGATTTAAGGTCAAATGTTTGTATTAATCGCTGTATGTTTGTAATTTATGCTTGCATTTAGCTCAAGATCTATAACAGTTTTGATATGACACTATAGTACGTGTAACTAATACCATTTATAGTATATAAATTACGTGTAATTATATGTTAAATTCTATTCTATTCTATATTATATGGAATCAAAAATAAAATCTACAGCCAATAAGAGGCCCATGAAACACAAAGCTCACCTGTGTAACATTGGTCTTGCTGTTCTTCAGAGAAAGATTGTAAAGTTTTCCCAACTTGACCCGACACAACACAACATATGAGGATACTTAACTTCGATTAGTTGTATCGCATCTTGGCGATAACGTGCTATATAGACATAGCCGTAGGAACCGGGGGGCACGGGGGGGGGGAGATTTTGCTGATAATTTTGCTGATATATAGATTACTATAGAAAACATAGCTACTATATGCCTGCGCCCCCTCAATAAAAACGTCTGGTGAACTTTTTTTTTTTTTTTTTTTTTTGCTTGTCAAAAAATTTTTGGTAGTTGATGGTGCCCCTCCAACTGAAAATGTATGGCTGTGACCCCCCCCCAACTGAAATTGCTTCCTACGGGCCTGATAGAGAAGTTTATGGAGGTGTATTTTCAACGTTTGGCAAAATATTGGTTGCTGGTGACCTTAAAGGTAAACTGATCGATCGCGTATGTTGGATTTGGCCTGGTTGGGATTTTACGCTCCAAATGTTTCGCTTTTAATATTCTTTCATGTAAGAAGTCACGGAAGATAACTCTGTTCCTATAAAAATACCAGTCATAAAAATACATAAAACCCTTGAAGAAAATCTTGGGTATGTTTCTTTAAAACTTCTCTACAAGTCAGTGCGTTTGTCCAGAAAAATTGGATATATTCAAATGCATTGAGCGGTGTTTGTCCATCAAAGTGCTTCTGGTTAAGAACACTCTCTACACTGCACACTAAAGAGTTCTGATTCTATGGTATTTTTCTGCAGTTAGAGTGATCTGCCCTTAGATCTAAAATCTTATAAATTAAAATTTACAGTATATTACTCAATTTGTAATCAATTCAAGTATTCTTAACATTTTAAAAGACCAAGATAAATTAATTGAACACTTTATATACATGCATTTTCTCTATGAAAGTACTCAGCAGTGATTTCTTTTCATTGGTACTTGGTTGTGTTTGAACATTTTTCCTGGGGGTAAATGCCACGCACCATATATTGAAAATTAATTAGATTAGCTCAATATTCACAGCTTTATTCAATATAATTTTCACAATGTCCAAAAACATTTTACACAGGTGTATTATAGAGGGTTCTTAAGTCAGCAGCATTAAGCGGCATTTGTCCAGAACAACCATTGAGGGGCCGCTGACTTCACCAGAAGCTCTGTGGACAAATGCCTCACAGTGCAAAAGATATTACAAGAAGCACTGTGTTGGACAAATGCCGCTAATTGCTGCTAATCTTACCAGAAGATCTTTCTTTGACAAATGCAGTTGACTTAATCAGGTGCACTTTCTTGGACAAATGTAAATCCCACACAGCGTTGACAAATGTAGATCCCACACAGAGTGGACAAATGTAGATCTCACACAGAGAATTATTTTGTTCATGTTTCATGAAATGATTTTTTTTTTAAATTCATTTACTTGACAGAAGTCATAAAGGCATTATCTTTAAACTTATCTGTAGAATATGAGGACGTGTTTTTTCATTGTCAATATAATTTATTTCTAATGAGTATCATTGCTTCTTTTGCAGGGACGACGTTGATTCATGGAAGATGCATCCTTATCGCTATACTATACCAGGCACTCTTCATAGACTGAAGAGTATAGTATAGCAATAATGATGCATCTTCCATGAATCAACGTCGTCCTTACAGAAGAAGCAATATCGATAATATTTTATTTTCTATAAATTGTTCCATGTAGCCTGTGAGATCAACAAGTTTTGCTTATTCTAATAGGAATTTACTTCTTTTATTTTAGACTATCATTTAAGGTAGTACACAACACCCATGAAATCTGTTTGAGCGCATATCTTATAAAGTACACCAGAAAAAAGAATTATTTCTAGGACTGGGTATTGGCTACATATTTCGTATTGCGATATTTTTAACTGTAGGCTATTGCGATACGTATTGCAATATTTTCAACAAAAATTTAAATGGTATTTTCTTATTATATTAACTTTCTTTTACACGTAGAATGTACATAACTATGACAAATAACCAATAAAAGATATCTTGTTGATTGAATTACAGTTATGCAACTAATTACATGTACACCCATATAGCAGCTTTTGTCTTACTATTTGGCACGATTGCAAACCTTTCTGACAAATTTTCTTTATATTTTATAATAGAATTCCTGAGTCCAAATATTTTGTCAGTTTATCGGTATTACAACAAGAGGCCCATGGGCCACATCGCTCACCTGAGCACATTGGCTAGGAAGAATCAGAAAGAAGAAGCAGAAATCAGTTCAGTATTGAACAATGACGGAGGGGAGGGGGACATACTTAAAACTACCTCAGCATGCTTCCATATCAATATTACTAATCATGGCTTTGTTGTTCAGAAGCAAACAGAAGAATTTTAAAGCTTTTTTTCCCTAGTATTCCTATGAAAAATTCTGATCACTCATTGTGGCCCCACCCTACCCACCCTAAATTTGAACAAATTTGAATCTACACTACCTGAGGAGGCTTCTATAATAATATGACTAATCATGGCTTTGCTGTTTTTGAGTAGAAGATTTTTTCAAGATGATTTCTATATATTCTTATGTAAAACTTTGACCCTCTGTTGTACCACGCCCCAACCCCTAGGGGGTCATAGTTTGAACAAACTTGATTCTACAATACCTAAGGTTGCTTCTGTATAAATATGACTAATAATGGCTTAGTTGTTCCTGAGAAAAAGATTTTAAAGATATTTCCTATGTAACGTGTATGATCAGATTCTTACAAGGGATATATAAATTTTCCTTTCACTCTGTCTGAGTTAATGATTGGAATGATTATTAAGACAGCTCTGTCTGAGGTTATATCACATAGTACTTAAATTTTCTCTTATCAAGAGATTGGGACTGGATAAGGTACTACTTGCACCATGTTTCTCCCCTAAGTTCCCATTGTTAGATAAGAACTACATATAGCTGTCTCAATTTTCTTCAGATTTACTACACCCAGAACTTAACAACAAATCCCTAGGATACTTGCCACTGGTGTTTATAACTTTTATACTTTTATTTTGCTCTTACACTTAAGGTTTTCCATCCTCTATCCTTAAATGTCCATCACATACATAATATTCTGATATTAATTTTACGGTAGAAAAGGATTTACCAAGAGAAAGTTTCAAAAATGTAAATAACTAAACAGTAATTAATTAACAAAAGATTGCATTGAAATCTATGGGGACGAGCAATTTTTTTTAAAAATAAAAATTCAAATAATAAGAATATCAATAAATACTATGGCGGAAAGATGCATTAAAACACATTAGAAATAGAATGACAATTGAAAATGATTTTTTTTTACCAGATAAGCTTTTTAAAATTGAATTTTTTATCAACAAAGGTAGATCTATAACTCTTACCAAAATTCAAGGTCATATATTAGGACACATCCCACCCTAACGTGCTAATAGTAATAAAAGGGAATTATGTCTAAATCTACTGAGTATTCAACACCTACACATCTGTTATGTATTCAAGTTAATTGAATCTGTTGCTATTGGGGATGGAATACCTTAACTTCTTTCCTGATGATTCAACATCCAACTTCTTCTGCTACCTTCTGAATGCCTGACTTTCCCAAAGCTTTCAATTGCCTTATATACCTTTGGTTTGGCTAGTCCATTCCAAGGGTTGTCAGGTCATTCCACTATTTGAAGTCTTTAATGCGTTTTATTCAAATGACCCTTAACCATTACACCTATATATTCCTATGTAAAACTTTGACCTACTGCTGTTTCCCTACCCCCAGGGGTCATGATTTGAACAAACTTGAATCTACACTACCTGAGGATACTTCTGTATTGATATGACTAATAATGGCCTAGCTGTTCTTGAGAAGAAGATTTTTAAAGATATTTCCTATACATTTCTATGGTAAACTTTGACCTCCTGTTGTGGCCCTGCCCTACCCCCAGGGGTCATGATTGGAACAAACTTGAATCTACGCTACCTGAGGATACTTCTTTATTAATATGACTAATAATGGCTTAGCTGTTCTTGAGAAGAAGATATTTTAAGGTATTTCCTATACATTCCTATGGTAATCTGTGACCCACTGTTGTGGCCCTGCCCCACCCCAGGGGTCATGATTTGAACAAACTTGAATCTACACTACCTGAGGATACTTCTGTTATAAATGACTAATCATGGCTTTGCTGTTCTCGAGAAGAAGATATTTAAAAATATTTCCTATATATTTCTTTGTCAAACTTCGACCCCCTCTTGTGGCCCCACCCTACCCCCGGGGGTTATGATATGAACGAACTTGAACCTAGAGTATGTAGTGAAGCTTTCACATAAGTTTCATCTTTTCTTGCCTAGTACTAGTGGTTCTTGAGAAGAAGATTTTTAAAGCATGCCTCCAAATTTTCACGAATTCTTAATTATCTCCCCTTGAAAGAGGGCACGGCACTTCCTGTGAACAAACTTAGATCCCCTTCACCCAAGGAAGCTTTATGGCAAGTTTGGTTGAAATTGGCCAAGTGGTTCTTGAGAAGAAGTCGAAATTTGTGAAAAGTTTAAAGATGACGGACGACAGACGGACGACGGGCACTCTTTGATCAGAAAAGCTCACTTGAGCTAAAAACGTATTGCAATACGATATTTTTTGTCAACATACCGCAATATACCGGAATATCGGTATTATTGCCCAGCCCTAATTATTTCACTATATGTCAATAATCAACGATCTTTGTAAGAAAAATAAAATAAGCTGTAACGTGTTTTCACAACGTTTTGAAGAAAAATTAGAGACATCCTATATATTGGTCATTCGGAAGCCTACATTTTGGATCGTGTTTATGCCATTTACATGCCATATGACTGTCTGTTATTAAAAGCAAAGTAACTCTTAATCCATTTATAGTAGAGACCTTATATTTCAACATATTTATAAGGAGTCACCATTCTTTTTGTACAATAAAGGTCAAGGTCATATTAACAGGTCAAAGGTCAAATATAGTGATGTCATCTACTGAATTTTTACATTTTTTGCATTTGATTTATTTAAAATCGCCGAATTATCTAAAACCGCCAGTTCAAATTTCCTCATTTTGACCTATTTTAATCTAGGTTCCATTTCAATTATTCTGTTGATTTTTTTTGTAAAAATTGAATCATACATTTTCCTTAAAGAGGACCTAACGTGTGGCATATTTATATGTGAATTTTCAATTCTCGGGTATGTATTCTATTTTTACATCACATTTTACTCATATATACCGGTATCAAAATAATTTATTAAATTTTAGTACAAAAAGGTTGCCTTTACAAACAGCATCACACAAGTTTGCAATAGATCAATTGATTATTATTACATAATGCACAATCTCAGGTCGGCTGTCTGATTTCACAATCTTCTTAAAGGGGTCTGATAGGCCATATTTCAAACTATATGGAGAAAAAAAAATGTATGTTGAATTTCTTTCATATTACATATCAAGAGAGATTTTGTATCTTAGAACAAAATATCAAAATTTGAACAAAATTGAATTTGAGGAAAAATTTGGCGTATATATTGTGTACTACCTTAATTTAGAAATCAAACCAATAAAAACAACTCACATCAATTTTGATAGATAAACATTTAATTTAATCAATAAAAATGCATAAAACATGTTTTCGAAAATACACGGAATAAAAAGATTTTACTACCTCCAAAGATATTTAACATATTAACTTTTTAATTAAAATAGAATGCATCATTATTCAGAATGAATAGTTTCAGGAAAAACCATAGCTTTCTTAATGCAATTAGTCTTACAACAAATCAAAATTTCAAGATATGTAATAGCACAACCTAAATGCAAAATGATTTTGGGGTGGGGTTAAATACAATATAATAACATACGACGTAATAATGTAATATGATAAAGAATACATATGCGTACTTAGAAGTAAAGACTGACATTTGTTGAATTAAAAATAACAAGTATCACTATAATTCCAGATATTTGCTAGCGTGCTTTATGAAATATGAAAAGTCCGTGGATTTACACACCAATAATTCACACAAAACTGAAAAAAAAATCCCTCAAATTTGATTATGTACATCAAAAATGAATTTCTAAGCATGTAACATATATTTCACAAATAACAGGCCCGTAGGAAGCAATTTCACTTTGAGGGGGCACAACCATATATTTTCAGTGGGGGGGGGGGGGGGCACTATCAACTACCAAAATTCCTTGACAAGCAAAAAAAAGAAAAAAAGAAAAGGGTCATAAGACGTTATTGTTGAGGGGGTACAAGAATACAGTAGCTTTCTTTTCTAGAGAATTCTATATCGGCAAAATTATTGGGGGGGGGAGGGCACCCCCCCGTGCACCCCCCTCCCCCGGTTCCTACGGCCATGAATAAACAGAGGAACATTTCATAATTTAAACTGAAACTATATTTACGCAAAAATGTGCTTGTTCTTAGGGGCGAGATCAAAGATTTAATGTCTGCAAAACTAAATTCGCAAAGTTTTCAGTCAGACACCCCCCTCCATCCCCTCAAAATATAAATGTAATGAATGTTGATTCAAATTTAATTATAAAATACTAATATCCATTACACTGTATACGAGGGGTGATCAAAAAGTTCGCGAACTATCTCTATATTTACAAAATCACAATTCAGATTAGAATAAAATTTGGCAAACATACTCTATAAATAGCAGGTGTTATATAATGCTTTGCTCCGTGTTTGTGACGTCACAATGTGTAAATGACGTCAGTATGTAGGTGACTTGTGACAAAAAATGGTTGACTCAGTCGTACTCGAGTAACGAACGACTGTAAAGTTTAACGTACATCTTGGAAATTCCTTTGCAGTAGAATATAGTAATTTTTACAAGGTTTATGAAGACAAAAGACTTACCAGAAGTTCAATCATTAATTGGATTGATTGTTTTAGTGAAGGCAGGGAGATGGTTAGAAATAATGTTTGTTCTGTTGCCCAGCAAAAGCAAGCCGGGGAAAAGATGTGTCCTTAGTTGAGCAATTTGTCATAAAAGAACGCTAAGTTACAATTAGAAAAATAATTGAATATCTTAACAATAATATAATTATTAAATCCCTAAAATATCGTTTACTTTAGACTTCGAACATATGAGATATGATAAAAAGAGGTCGTCCATACTTTATCCACATTGGATAAATGACGCTCCCGAGACAGAGGACTCGGGTTTTGATGATCACCATGCTAATTTTGGGAAGGATGTCCGTATCGACCCATCCTATTCCCGAGATTTGGACATTTCTGACAGATGGACTGTTCTTGTTATAAAAAATAACTCGCATGGTAAGAAATATAAGACTCTGAAAAATCTTTAGCTCTTGTGAACAGAACGCCACGGAGCATGTCACGTGACCGCCTTGATCACGTGATTCGCGTATGGGCAGAACAATGGCAGATGTGCATTATAATCAGAGAGGTCTACTTTAAAAAATAATGAGCACTGAAACCTCATTTTATTAAGGAAGTAATTCAATTAGTTCGCGAACTTTTTGATCACTACTCGTATATTTCTTTTGTTAATTGATAGAAACGAACCGTGAGCATAAAGTCACATGTACAATATGTATTTTTTGTGCAATTATCAATATCGGACAATAAAAACTTTACGAGCTCTTGACCACCCCCCCCCCCCCCCCCCCACACACAGACATTTTTTATCAGACATCGATCTTTTAATCTCGTCCCTATATGTTTGTATTCTTGCATCGCATGTCTAAAATTTATGTTTTGACATCTCATGGTCAATTTTATTAAAGTTTTTTCTGCTCAAAATAAATTATCACGTTTTTATTAATTATTTTCAACTTTAGTTAAAACTTCCATGCTCTTTGCGCATATGGCCGTAACACTCTTCGCTTGTTTTAAAATTCTTCATACATCTCCAGCAAGTATGGCTTTTGCAATCGCGACACTGCATGTACTGACATCCACCATTTTTCTCAATTCCAGCGAAACAGACTGGACATAACTTCCTGTTCTTTGGGTCTCGTCGCATCCATTCTCCAAGTCTTGACTCATCATTTCCGTTTTCCATCTGGTACATGGCACACGATATTCCGCTATGATATTCAACGTGGCATTTGTTGCACATACTAGTTCTACATACACAGCAAACTATTCTCCCACCCACTTTACTGACTTTGTATACCATTGGACAGTCTGGAGTTATGCAGTATCGAACTTTGTCTTTGTTTTCTGTAACAAAACTGGACACAGACGAATTCAGGATATTTTGAAAACGACAGAATCCATGTTTTGTCATATTCACAAAATCTTTCCATGCCCAAAGCATACCGCAGTCAATATGAACACATTTGAGTGGAAATTCTTTGCTTCGGATCGCAGATTCTATGTGCATTTTTATACAATCTCCGCAGTACGGATGTCCGCATGATTCCAGTCTGTATATTTCGCTGTCGGCTATTTCGCATAAACATATACCGCATTCCGGTTGATCACTTACTAAAGTTGCAGTATTTTTTCGCAAACGCTCAGTAATTTCTTCAATGCTTTGGACAGCCTTGTCAACTGCTTCATCTGATCCTAACATTTTTATTCTATGATTCTTGTGATCAAGCTCCACCGTTGACAAACCGGACTCCTTCTTCAGGCCACTAAGGTCTACACTGTGCATCAATACAACTGTCTTCATCAAACCTGGTGGTTTGGATTCCCCTTTTAAATCAATTACACGAAACTTTGACGAAGACATTTTTTCAACATACTTTCTTACCTTTTCTATAGCTATTCTTCGGTTTTCACTTTGACCATGCACAGAAACGGATGTATTTCTATGATCTAACAAAATAAGTGTACTGGTCTTTCTCATAACTTTTTCGACCTTTTCTTGACCGTCCGAGGTGAACAGATACCGAAGTGCTGGTATTTTTTCCAAGTCAATCGTCTCTCCTTGAAGCATTCTCTGTACTTTATTTCTTGTGTGCACCATACTTTCAATGCAATCTGCATCAATATCTATCATATAGTTTCCGTTTTTGAGTACAGTTACAGTAAGTTGCCGTCCACTGTCTTCATTCTGTATTTTTTTACGGTATTTTTCAAGATTTTCCTCCACTCGTTTGTAGACTGGTGCTAAAACGAAGATTCGAGTATGAATTTCTGGTGTGATAGTGACTGGATCATTTCCAATGGATATTCTATTGTGTAGCCTTGAACATGCCTCAAATCCTTCCTCTGGGTTTTTGAATGTCACAAAAGCCTCGTAAGTGTAAGCAGCAGGGTGGGGCTCAATGACAGTAACAGTAAAGCTATTTTTCTCAATATCAGTTTCCTGTGTAAACTGACTCTCTAGTCTGGTTTTCAGACTGTACAACATTTCTGGTGTTGTATTTACTCTTTCCCGTATAACAACAATTTTTACAATGTCATTTTCTGAAATGTCAAAGGTATTCAGAAAACTTTCACGCAAAACATCTTCATCAACAAGTTCACCTAAGCCTGCTACATGCAATTCTTTATCTGGATTATTTTTACTTCGCATTACCTTTACTCGTTTCCCTCCAACTAAAAGATTGTTGAACAATTTTGATCTTATAACCTCGTCCATTTTGTCTCTGTGATGTATTTCAACAAACCCATATCCTTTTGACTTTCTTCTACGCCAAGTTAGCCTTGCCTTGAGTAGATCAGCTTCCTCACTTTTCCCAATCCCTTTTGGTGGTTTTGCAGAAATTTCAAATGTTCTTTTACGTGTTGCCATCACTGCAGTTTTAGCGAATTCTGATTTTTCATATACGATCTGGCCAAGATATTTGGGATTATTGTTGTTTGGAGATTTAGGTATGAATGATCGGATGGATCCAAAGTTTTCGAACCAGTGCACCATTTCGTCGTCAGAATTGAAGGCTTCTGCATCACCAAATATAAACACATTTTTGTATTCATCCTGATATAACAGGTCATGGATTTGCCCCCCTGCTCCAATGGAGATCCTTACACTTTGAAACTCTGGAAGCAATGGATGTTCGACTGTTTCATTCCTTACTTTTTCTCTGATAGGATTAATTGCTGATTGCAAGGTCTGAAAGGAAATATCTTGGTCATCGATTGGCGCATAAATTGAAATCTCTCCCCTATCACGATTTGCATCAACCACAAACACAGAATCCTTGCATTTCAACGCTAGATTTTCTTGCATTGCTTTTACTTTGCTGTATCTTGGACCAACAAATTCTCTATGAACTTGAACACCAACATATTCCGTTAACACTTGTGTAACCTTTCGCCTTTCTACGTCACCAATGTCAAAGTCCAGAGAACCATCTTCCAGTGCTTCCTCAACATCTTCATCCGCTACAGCTGTAATATTTAGGGCAAAATCACGTGAGGTTTGCATCACTCTCTCGACAATAACCCAGTTAGGGTAAGAAGCAAGAGACTGAAATGCAGATGATGGATGTACAATTACCTGTTGTCCTTTGTCTATAAAGAAGTAGCCAGCTTTTTCATGCCCAAGAAAATAGCAAACGTTGCATTGGAATGATTTAAACAATAGTTTCTGCAAAATTCTATCCCCATCTGCAGCATCTGTAAATTTATGTTCTATGTTAATGGAAAGGTCTCTCTTAAGAGTATATAAAAGTTCCTCTGTGGCATCATCAATGTTTCTCATAGCTTTTCCATTAATTGAATTATCTCTGCACCATTTACCTCTCTGCCTTGCGGGAACTCTGTGCCATTCTTTGAAAACACTAAGGTTTGTAAAGTGGTCTCCATACTTATGACAAAATTGGATTTTCAGCTTGTCTGATAATTCTTTCTGTGACGCTGTGCCCCCTCGATAAAACAAAGATCCTGGCACTGTGCAGGAGGCTGCTATAATGATTCCCTCCAAGCCAACATTGCGATCTATGGCGTCATGCACAAGAACCCCTAGACTTGGTTCAAATGGAAGTTTTGCAATCCACCTTCCTAAAGGGGATATTTTTCCATTTTCGATAGCTCCAAGTTTATTAAGGTGTTGGAAAGCGTTTTCCATTGAAACTTTCTCTGGAGCTTGTACAAAGTCAAATTCTAATGGATCAACATCCAGTTGTAAAAGCTTAAGAATAGCATGACCCAAGTGTATCTTTAGGATTTCTGGTATAGATGTTGGATACATGTTGTTGTAATCTTCCTTAGAATAAAGTCTATAACATTTACCAGGCCCGGTTCTTCCAGCCCTTCCTTTCCTCTGGTCAGCAGAACTTTTGGTAACTTTCACAACACGCAGTGCACTTATTTTCTTCCTTGGGTCATACGATAACTCTTTAACAGCTCCGGTATCAACTACATATTTTACACCAGGTATTGTCACTGATGTTTCAGCTACATTTGTAGCAAGCACAATTTTTCTTTTTCCCTTAGGAGATTCCCTAAATACCAAATTCTGTTCTTCAGTATGAAGTTTACCATGTAAAGGTAAAATCCAATGATCTTTTTTTCCTCTTAATAAAACATTTATTTTTTCCGCACACTGCTCAATTTCGACTTGGGATGTTAAAAAGACTAAAATATCACCAGGCGGTTCTGTTCTGTGGATTTCTGCTGCTTTTTCGATAGCTCTAATTTCATAGTTATCAGCCACATCAGCATCAGTTGACATGGATAACCATTCAATATCAACAGGAAACATTCTTCCAGAAACTCTTAAGACCGGACAAATATCAGGTCCACCAAAATACTGCACAAACACATCTGGATCTATTGTTGCAGAAGTGACTACAACACGAAGTTCTGGTCGCTGTGGTAAACACTTTTTTATCATTCCCAGCAAGAGATCAGTATAAACACTCCTTTCGTGAGCTTCATCAATCACAACACAGGAGAAATCCATTAGCAAGGGATCTTTGAGACACTCATTCAAAAGCATGTGGTCAGTCATGTACAACATTTTAGACTGATTGCTCAGCTTTGATTTCATTCCAGCTTGATAACCCACAAGGTGGCCCACTTTTGTCTTCAACTCGAATGCCACTCTTTCAGCAAGGCTTATTGCTGCTACTTTTCGTGGCTGTGTACAAATGATTTTTCCAAGGGAACTTAATTCTGACTCAAATATGTACTGGGTTATTTGAGTACTTTTTCCAGATCCAGTTTCTCCCAGAATGATAGATACCTGGTTTTCAAGAATTGTGTTGACAATTTTGGTTCTCTTTGCATAAATATGCAATGCCTGTTCTAGTCTTGTGCATTCAATTTCGAATCTCTTCATTAAGTTATCGATTTCCTTCTGCTCAACGTGTTGTGCTTCAAAGGACTCTATTTTCTGTATAACTTTTGACAAACATGACTGAAATTCACTTTGCTGTTGATTCAGCTCTCTGCTTTTATCATTTAACGCTTTTCTTTGTGCTTCTCTTTGTTCATGAAGAGATAAATCAATGAATTTTTTCTTCTTCCTTGAAGATGTAGAGACCTTGTTTAAGTTTTGCGTTTCTTTCTCAAACTTTTTGATTTTTTCTTGGTGACTTTTCAATACTTTTACAATCTTTTCTCTCATGTTTTGCAATTTCTTGTTAATGTCCATTACCATCGTCTTTGGCTTCTCTTCTTCAGGAGTTTCTTTCTTAAATTGGTAATCAAAACCCAATTTTTTATCATTTTCTTTCAAGCATCTTTCAAATGTCATTGCATCTGCATCGGTTTTAAAATCAATAACAACAGTCGTTGTCTTGTTTATGGAATTGGTTTCAAAAGTTTTAACCCGAAATTTAACATCTGACACAATACCAATGAGATGTGACCATAAATCATTTTCAACTTCTAATTTCTTAGAAATTATCAAAATGCGATTCAGAGCGTCCTTGTTGCAATTCTGACCAAAATTACTATGTGCAAGATGTACAGATAATTTTTCTCTTGGTGTTAAACTACACTTTCCCCCCTTACATCCTCCGTATTTATCCGTGTCTCCAGTTGTATTGTCCCTCTCTTTATCTTCTTTTACTCTTCCATGTGCCTCAGGTTCGTCCACAAGTTTATACATATTGTCTCTCTTTGACTCTTCAATCAAAACACCATCTTTCAAAGATTCAGTGCTCTGTTTTGAAATTCGCTTCTGCTTTGCCATATTCTCTGAAAAATTCAATCGCTGTGATATTTCTTCAACTTTTGCTTTCAAAATTGTATTTTGCATACAAGGCCTTTTTATTGTCATTTCAGATTTTGCACCTGTTTCGTCAATACGTCGGCCATATTCTTTCGTTTCCAAATTCGAAAATTTGGTCTTCTGTTCATCATTGGCACTGTTGGAAGTTAATGTGCCTTTAGATGCCCCTTTTCTCTTTTCGAGCTGTTTCGATTTAGTTTCCTTTATCTCTTCAATATTAGGTGCTATTCTTTTTGTGCTGACATGTTGAACAACGGCCGCTTTTTTAGATGATACTTGATATTTTGCAGAAGTTGGACTTCCATTAATTTTTGATACCTCCTCGTCATAATATCGATTGTATACAACTTGATCTACATTTGCCTGAGCATTCCCTTTTGGTGGATTAACGATTATTTGCATTTTTTTATCTGTACATTCTTCTCCCCTGCTGTCATTATGTTTGGTGTCATTTTCTTTAATTTCATTGCAAGTATTATCGATTATTCCAGCTTTCTGGAAGCTGTCATATCCAACACTATCATTGCCTAGTCTTGGTTCTTTTTCTTTCAACAAAATAGAATTTGGACGCTGGTCAATTTTTGTGGCAGAAACCTGTTTTTGTTTTGACTCCTTTTTATGTGCTGGAATATCCTTTCGTCTTGCAGACATTGTATGCCCATTTCCTTTTATACTTTCTTTTTGTTCACCGGAGGTTTCCATTTTTGTTTTACATTTTTTATTTGTATCCTCTTTACGATGGGTTGGTTGATTTGGCCTCAGATCAGAGTTATGTTCAAATACACAACCTGTGGATGCAGTTTTGCAAGAAATGATAGATTTGCTTGTGTTTTTCTCACCATGTTGTTTGACTTTTGTTTCCATTCGATTTCCAGAATCAACATTCGTTTTAATTTTGCCTTTATCCTGAATGATATTTTTTTCCTTCTGAGTTGGTATTTTCACCACAGCAGTGTTTCCACTTATTTTTGAAGCACCATCACAACTCTGACCACAATCTGGATGTGCCACATTTATCAGCGATTTTCCTGGTTTGTCATCACTCTTTCTTAAGTGTGATTTTTCTTCTCCATTTATTTCTGCCTTTTTGCATTTCTTGTCTATATCTTTATTTTCTCCAGCAGAAACCTTCATTTTTTCATCCTGTTGAAAACTGTTGTGTGCAGAATATTTACTGCTGTCTTTTGACTCTTTTCTCATAGTATGAGAACATGTTACAGCCCTCTCTCCAGGAAATTGCATGGTTTTTAATTTATATTCATCTTGTGAAACACTAGAAACCCTGTATTTACCATTTGTTAAATTGACTTTTGATTCACAGAGACTTTGAATTCCTCTTAAAGTTTTAATTTTTGTTTCCTCACTCCGTTGGATCAATTGATCTGTTTTCAACTTAGAGAACTCGTTAGTTTTACATGCACTGTTACATTGTTCTTGAGTTTTTGATGGATTACTCTCTTTAGACTGCTTCACATTTTGCTTCAGATTTCCCCCCATTGTAGCAATTGGGTTTTTGGTGTGTTCATTTTGAATCAAATCTGCTTTTTCTTCTGTATTTTCAACTTTCGTACAAGCATGCCATTTTTCGATCTCTGAATCTACTTTTCCACTACAATTTTCAACACATACATCTTCTCTATGGTTTGTTTGAAAGTTCTTTCTGAATTGCTGAGGACTTTTTTTTGTTTGGTTTTCAATAGACTGTTCCTCTTCTTCCTTCATATCTCGAAACATGAATATTCTTTTATTTGCTTTACTGCTTCCACTAGGCAATGCCTTGGTCTTCGTGTAATATCCAGAATTGTCACTGCTTTGGTTTGATTCTTCTGAATAGTTTATATCTGCTTGTTGAACGATTTTATCTATTGCACTCTTTTGCCTCCCATCATTTTGTGAGACTTCAAATGGGTCAGAAGAGATACTGTTTTTGCTTAGCTCCAGGTTCTCATTTTGATTCAATAGGTTTTGCTCTTTCATATCACTCTCTAATTTTACTTCCCAAGTACGAGGGGCTAGTGGTTTCCTTTTCAAACTAGACAGTGGAAAATGAGGAATATCGGTTGCATTGTCAGACAATGTGGTAAATGTACCATTTTCATTTGGTTTTAGGCCTTTATTTTCCTTAATGTCATTAAAAGCAACTATTGTTTTTGTGCCTCCAGGTTGAATGGATGATGTATTTTCCAGCTCATTTCTTTCTTTATGCACGTCAGATTTACCTAAAACATCTTCCGTATGGCATTTTTGACCATATGTATTCTGCACAAAGATTGTCTGAGATGTAGGTTTAGGTGATTTAAAACTCATTTCTCTTTGGTTTTCCATAGAGGGATCTTCTTTCTTCACTTCTCCAAAATCTGAATTTCTAACATATTTGGAGCTTAAACTTGGCATGGCACTATCATTTTGCATACTGAAGACAGGATTTTTTTGACTACATTTTGCAGGAAGTTCACTTTCATATTTTTTATCCACCAATGAAACATTTTTTAATCTCGAGATTCCATTTGAAGGCAAGTAATATTGATGGGATGGTAAGTTTGAGACCTCTCTCCAGGGGTTGTCATCGTAGTTCTCAACATCTGTCACTTTCAAACCTCCTCTCGAAAAATTTTGGAATGCAGGAATTGAAGGATTCAAGCAAGTTTTTGTATCTTTCCTTATAGATGTTGGATATACCTCATGATCTAATTCAGAAATATTCTCAGCGTCCGTTGCTTGTTTTTTTGGTAGTAGTGCTATTTCATTGTTTGTGAGTTCTCCTTCCCACGATGTACAAGAAGGATTCTCTTGTGATTTAATAGCATTCATTTCTTTTGGTGGGGGTGATGACGATATTTTCAGATGCGCATTATTTGATTTATAAGAATAAAAATCCTCTCTTACAGTTGCCAGATGATTCATGTTAGGCCTCTCTGTGGTCCCAGTTGCTACTCTCTCCACTCTTTCGATAACTTTGCCTTCTGGCTTGGTCTCCTTCTTTTTTGTGGAACTTTGACCCATTCTTTATATTCTATAATAAATTAAACATAATTAGACATAAAAGTAATTTCAAATAGAATAAGGTCTTAATATACGAGGGTTGTAAGAAAAGTTTGCAAACACATTGATTTCTCGGAAAATTTATTGTTTACTTCGAAGAATGGCCTATGTTTGATTAAGTTCTTATCTTTTGTTTATACGTATGTGAAAAGTCTGGTTCATTTAGTAGAATTTTGAAAATATACAATGACTTTCATTGTGTGGTCATAGGACTCAGGGAACAATCACTTGACGTTTTTTGAGGTTAGTTGACGTGACAACCTAATTCCAAACCTGTCAAGCTTTTTCACAGTTCTAAATATCTTTCATTTCTATAGACTTTTCATGTCTTTTTTTTCTACTTAAAAATTGAATAACTACATGTTACCTTTTTTTGGCGTATTGGATATGTGAGATCTGAAAAATCAATGTCTACGCAGATAAGCAATCAGGTATGGAAACAATGCATATTCCATACTCGCAACGTCCATGCGATAAGCGGGGAATTGAGGTATCACAGGAGTTGATCATCAAAAATGTCAATCCTTCCATTCTAACAACTATGTAATGTGAACTTGCGAAAAAGTGACACGCTCCATGAAGCATATAAATTTTTATCTTTATAATATAGCTGTATAAGTTTTAAAGATCATAAGAAAACATCAAAGTTTTGCATATTTATTGGGAAATACATATAGTTTTTTATCTACAATTTTACTTGTTTCATTCAAATACCGCACTCACAATAGAATTTGTCCGCGAACTTTCCTAACAACCATTTTAAATGACAATGTAAAATCACAGCAATTGCATTATCCCAAATATAAGTCAGACACTTTGGGTATGGACCCCTCCCCCGTTTCCAATTTTGTTCTTCTTTTTAAATCGGGGATCGACACACTTTTTCCCCATTTGTGTACGTATTACATGTTATCGACAATGTATCTTTTTTTTTTCTTTTTGAGTTTTTTGAAAAAGTATCTCGTTAGTGACCGATAGATTTAAAACTGGAAAGAAGCGGGGGAGGGTGGATGTCGATCCGTACCCCAAGTGCCCGTGAAATAACTTCTTGTAATGTAAGATTTACCTAACTTAATGACGGTCGGCTGAATAAATACATATACAATACACTTTGAAACATGAACACGGCAAGTTGAGTCAAAGATAGACATTTGTCATTTCCAATCAGTAAATGCTTTAAATGTTAACATAAAATGTAATAAATACAGTTTTTAGTTAAATATCTCTAGTTGGACAGATTTTCATTTTTCACCTATTATCTATGTACTTTTCCTGTCAAAAACTTTTTATTGTTGTTTTTTTAATCATTTGAACTCATCAATATATAAAGATCTCAGAGTGCATGAGACACCTCGATTCTACCTATTATGTAGAGGTAGAAAAACAGGATTATATATAACTCTACATGAAAGCATCCTGTCTAAAGTTTTTTGGAATGTATCAAAAACAGAACTTTAGACAAGGAAATATACACTTTTTAAGCAAGAATAAAACGAAAATCTTAATGGAGACTATATTTGCTCCCTTAATATATAAAATTAATAATCAAGAGCTTGAAACACTTTTGAAAGGCCAACGCAGCCTCCAGACTTCCACCTGGTCGGCCAATCATTTTTCAATGTGGCACGACAAAGGAAAATATGGGTAACTACTATGACGAATTGTCTTGTGCGTATTGTTAATAAATCAAAATTCATACATCAAAGACACGTCTAATTATATACAAAAGTCTTTCTAATACATCCATAAATTTTATCCTGGATGTGACCTATGATGTGACCAGCACGTAAATCAACAATGAATTTTATTAATTAATTACTACAACCTGTCGAAAAAGCATATCTAAAAGACAATACTAATCTAGAATTACCTCGATTTCCAATTCTGCTAGAACATTAAGCTTATCACTTTCGAGTTACCTGTTTTATGTATCTACATTTCATATCACATGAGGGAATTTTAATAATTTTCGTGGTGGAAATTGTCAATTTTTTTAATTGCACATGTACCTATAACATTACCAATTTAGTTGTAATTTGTCAACAAAAACTGACAAAAACGCTGTACAAAATGACAATAATCTTTATCAAAAGTGGCGGCCGCTGTCGGCCATCGTACTTTTCAGCATAAAATGTAAACATTAATATGCTGTTTGCTGTGTGATGAAAAAGAATTTATTTCATTACACTTTATGCTTCAGTTTTGAAATTTTAACTTTAAATCTTTTTTGAAAAAATCATTCAATATGCTTTTTTATTCATTATCGAGATAAGTATTTGGTGGGCAATTTACTTCACAAATTCTTTGTCCATAACTTACAGACCCCCAGAATTGTCTGTATTTAGTTGTTAAAATCATTCAACCCAAGCAAGTTCAACTACTAGTATACTGTACATGTATATACAAAAGCTCAAGCAAAGACAGACATTTAGAAAGGTGTCCAAAACACTGATATGCAACCTAAGCGCCAAATGGTATTGTCCTCTACAAAAAATTAGAATTTTTATGCCCCCGGATCAAAAGATCCCGGAGATATATTGTTTCTGTCCTGTCTGTCTGTCTGTCTGCTGTCAACTTTAACCTAGCCCATAACTATTGAGCTGTCAAGGGTAAGGCTTTAATATTTGACATGAGTGTTCATTATGACAAGACCTTTCCATTGGTACAGAAATTTTTGATCATGTGACCTCAACTGTGACCTTTGACCTACATTTGAAAAACTTTAACATTGGCCATAACTATTGTACTGTAATCTACGTCCCACTCCAGAATTATGTTACCATCGGGGGCATAGTGTTTCACAAACACATTTTGTTCAATTTAAATTTGTATATGACATATACAAATTTAAATTGAAAAATTCTAATTTGTCTAAGGACAGTATTATAGATATTTTTCTCTGTAATTTGGTAGTGGAAATAATACATATTATGATAATTTATTGTATTGCAATAACTTATTTCATGCTTAGAATGTTGACACATGATTTTGAATACAAAATACAATGAGTAGATTTTTTCTGAACATTGCATATATACTAAATGTACGAGCGGGAAGCAGTGAGAAAATGGAATCCTAATTTAGATACAATAGAACATAAATTTTTTTCAGATGTAACGGACTAATGAAGTATTATTCTTTTCATCTGATCAAACTGGTTTCCGCTCCCCTCCCCTTTCCCAGGTACAATTAAATCGGTTGGACAATATTTCAGATGTCTGTTTGGAAGAAAAAGGGAGAAATTTATGTTAATGGATTTTTTTCTCCGATTGTATTTCAAACTACATTGACATAGTATTAATATGTAAGTGTCCCTCAAAGTTTCTGGGGTTTTAATATCCAATCTTCGAATCTTACGATTTTTTGAGTGACTAATTTTACAATTTCCTATGATTTAAACTTTTGACTTGAGACTTAATGATTTGAACTATATATTTTAAGATTTCATACTAAATATAAACAATTCTTAGGTTTTAAAAAGCACACAAATATTACCATTAAAAAATCAATTGACTTTCATATAACTTTTAGCCAAAATATTGTCGATATGACTTTAGATCAAAGAAAAATAAAGTTATCATCTGAAAAATGTTATTTGCAATGAATGAATTTATTACCTTTGTCCTTTTGACCTCAATATCAATAGGGGTTTTGTTTAGGCCATAAGGAATTGTGATTTATAATTTCATTACAAAAGCTCAAAGACATTTTAAACGATAATGCCTGGAAACGAAAATATTACACACAAACAGAACGAATGAATTAATGACTTTGTGACCTCTTCTTTGGGGTCTTCTTCACGTCATAGGTAGTTGTGATATTAAATTTTATTTGAAGGAAGCTCAAAGAAAACTAAAGTTATCACCTGGAAAATGTTATTTGTAATGTATGATTTTTTTTATCTTGACCTTTGATTTTAAAATCAAAAGGGATCTTCCTTAAACTATAAGGAGTTGTGAAATAAAATTTCCTTGCAAAGTTCAAAGACTTTTAAAGATATGATAGGAAACGAATTCATACATTCTCTGTGTGTTATATATAAACAGAATGTATGAATTTATGACCTTGTCCTTTGACCTCAAAATCGATAGGGTCTACTTAAGGTCATATGGAGTTGTGGTATAAAATTATCATCCGGAAACGAAAGTGTTACACACAGACAAAAATACAGACAGACAGACGGAAGGACATACGAACGGACAGACAGATCCAAATTAAGGAGGAATGTCACAACAAAATTTTATTTCATAGACATTTAAGGCATCCCTGATAAGTAGTGGTTTCAGCATTAAAAGGCCAATATTAGCTCTTAATTATTTGAAAAGAATTTTTTCCCTATTTTTCATAGAAAATCAAAAAAAAATGTTTTGTTTGCAAATAAGATACTTTGGGGTTAAAATTTTGCTGTTAATAAATGCATAATATGAATGGCTTTTTAAATAAAAAATTATTTATGAAAATAAAACGCATAATTTGGGAATATTTTTTAAACATATGGTCAAAATCTTCATAAAACTAGTCACAACTAGGGAGAATATGTTAGACAATCATATTTTAAACAGAAATTGAATTGAAATTGCGAAATTTTTGAGAAGTCATTTTTTAAAATTTTGGCCAATCCCGATCAAAATTAAACTGATTCCAACCAGAATTTTGTAATAATTGGAAATAGTTAACATTTTCACTAGAATACTAGTTTGTTTAGGTGTAATACAGGTTAAAAAGTAATTGAACTTGATAATCAAATAGAATTCTTAGTGGTAAATACAAAAAGAAGGCAGTAAATTATCATTTTATTTATTTTGTGTTAATTTTGATCGGGATCGGTTTAATTTTGATCGGGATTGGTCCAAATATTAAAATAATTATTTTCCCTAAAATTTCTCAATTTCATTTCAATTTCTTTTTAAAATATGATTGACTAACATATTCTCCCTAGTTGTCACTAGTTTTATGAAGATTTTAACCATAGGTTTAAAAAAAAATATTCTCAAATTATGTGTTTTATTTTCATAAATATTTTTTTATTTAAAAAATTTAAATGTCTATCCAGCCTTTATTAACATATTTTATTAGACATTCATATTATGCATTTAATAAAGGCAAATTTTAAACCATAAATCATCTTATTTGCAAATAAAACATTTTTTTAATTTTCTCTGAAAAAAAGCAAAAAAATTCTTTAAAATAATTAAAACCTAATATCGGTCTTTGAATGCTGAAACCATAGTTTAAAAGGGATTTCTTAAAGATCTATTAAATAAAATTTTGGTGTGGCATTCCTCCTTAATATCCCCACTTTCAGTGAAAGCGGGGGACAAAATGTTCTCGGGCAAAATGCGTTTTGTCGACCCCTCGAACCAAACTGTTTCCCTTTGGCCTAACGGCCTCAGGTAAACAGTTTGGTTCTTGGGTCCGACAATGTCAATAAATAATATGCATTTCTCAGTCTGAATCGATAATAAAACAAACCTCACCGTAGGATACATGAATACAAAATAAGCAGGATAAACGTAATGATTCATATCCTAAAGAGTTTTTGTAATGATTTTAAACTCAACTGAAAAAGGAATATAAAGAAATATTTACTTTTTGTTTCCTGTGACTTGTGGAGAACAGTTTCCTACATATGTTTACGTCAGCACTCCTAAGGTTGTTTAAATATCCTACCTCAATAAACAGGTGATCTGTTTACACTAATGGGTCTTGCAACAGTCTGATAACTTCCTGCATGGGTTGCACCTTGATTATCTATTTTTCCATTCATGGAAAATAATTTACTTTCACTTTCCTTTCCGACTTCCAAATTTGGCGGGAAAAACTCACTTGAAATCTTTTTCTAGGAAGTTATATGCCTAACATCGCTTTTTTAAAAACATTAATTCTGATCCAAACTGAAAATTAAGATTGGTATCTGTGCTTTATAATAATTAAAACCTGAAAACAAATCTGGGCTTCGAAGTTGACTTCACGTGCATTTGAACACAAATATATTTTTATTTCAAATAGAGAATAATTATTTCGGATTTCGTTTAATTTTGGATCTTAAAGCATGTTTAACTGTTTATTCTTAAGGTCATACTGTGCTTATGCATTCAAAACAAAAAATACCGAGTACAAAACCATGAAAAGGAAAATTAAGAACCAATAAATTAGTCATGGGGTTCTTCATGATGTAGATACTGCCCAAATGAATCTCACTTTTAATCCTTAAAGTTGAGCAAGGATGTCTACTCCCTGACCAATTTAAATCCCACAACTTACAATTGCCAAAATTTATATATAAGCTATGTATGCCTTTAACAACTCATAGTTGAATCAATAGAAAAACATCTGAATCTCTTCTTAATTAAAGGATTGACTACACTTAAAGATTGATTACTATTTAATCGTATTATATTTTAATCGACGGTTCAAATTGATCAATGTTAAGATTAACATCATTTCAGTATCCCATTGTCTAGTGACCTTGACCTTTCGGATATGACCTTGTGCTGTGCACTAATTTATTGTTGCCGACGTCAGAATCTTGAGTAGGATTTAAGATATTTGTGTCATTACATGTGCAGATTTAATCGTTCTTTTTATAATGTTCTAATTTAAGTCATGATTAGTTAATACATTAATATTACACACTTTATAAAAGCACATGTAATTGATTTGTGGAAAAACTCAAAAATAATTTTTAGTAGCTTTGTTTCAAGGGTATGGTATCATTTTACTATATATTCACAGGTGACATCTGTTCAAAATTCCTCATGTTAAGAGTTGGGTATGAATTGAGCTATGCATATAAGACAGTTATTTTTTACAAAAAAGAAATCAAAAAAGGGGGAATGTCCATCAACGTACATGTAGCAGCAAATGCATTTTATTAACGCTTTTTTCGACGTAGTTGTAAGGGACAAGGAGGGGGAGGGAGGGTGGATATAGTTTAGGTCTGGATGTCTAGAACTTTTTTCGCTTGAAACCAATGAAATGTCTTCAACATGTCAAGGAAACTATTGACATAAATTGCACTCAACCATAAAATTTATATGGATATCATATGGACTGGAGACAAACTGCTTCATGAATTTATTCTTGTAGAAATTTATTGTAAGTTCTTGGAATTATTTATTTTAGGTTGTTTCTAATTTAATGGACCGTTTCAAGAAAACTTACAGGCGCATTTTGTAAAAAGCCAAAATATCAAATTATTGTAAAATTCAAAGAAACGATGCTTTTACAATATCATTATTATAAAATTGTTATATTATTCCACGCTTATCAGACTTTCAACTTTTTATATATCTATCTTTTAAAATGTAATATGAAAATAAATAACAAGATAATTTGTATATAGACATGTGCAATTTTATTACAACTACTACTCATTACATCAGCAATAAATAAAGAAAGCCCTATATTTAAGTAAATATTTGAAAAATATTCTCTTTCAACCTAAGATTCTTGTTCTCATAATTACCTATCAGCTGATCGTAAATTTACATCACTTGAAACAAGATCGTGCTGCTAGAAAAAAAACATTCAAAAGCCTATTCATCGTACGTGAACAAAGTAAAGAAATAAGTGTCGAGTGAATTTGTGAAGGGAACAAAAACACGAACTCAGTGCCCATACCAATCAGTGAGTACTTATTGCCTTGAGAAGACTCAGTGTCAGAATATTTATGAATGAAGTTCAGGTACCATCTAGTAGGCTAATTAAGAATGCATCAAGCAATTCATTATTGACAGGTGAAAAATGAATGCAGAAAATTTATAGTCGTAAAGATCAATTTATTCGAGAACTCTAGCTGGGGAAAATGAGTGATGTGTGTTGTGATTTTAATCATTACCATTCGGGTACTGAGTGCTCTTACAATGGTGATCATGATATACACTAGTATAAAAATCTAATAAAATCATAAACTTGATATTTTGCAATTATCAGAAAAAAGAACACTACTTAAACATTTGCATAAACATAAACATAATTTAACTCAGGAAGCTTTCCATTACAAATGTTAACAATGTTAATGTTTACAAATTTTAAATACACGCCAACTAACTAAGTGTTTGACACATTTTCTACAGAGCAGTCGGTAACACTGATTTTTTTTTTCCTAGATCATAAACAAAAACGATTTTCTTCTATACAAATGTGTTATGACTTTGGAACATATGACGATAACAATCAGCACTTGAATCGAAATAAGCTTTGCATAGCCAACAAATGTGGCATTTACATTGTGAACAAATCATATGCTGACATCCACCATATCTCTCTATACCTATATAGCATTTTGGACAAAGATCTCTATTTAAGGTATCACCACTCATCCATTCTGCAAGTCCGTTTTCCTTCAATTGCTTTTCTCTTTCAAACACAGCGCAGGATTTACCCGTGTGGTATTCGATGTGGCACTTGCTACATAATGCTGTGTGGCAGAGCGAGCAGACAAATCTACCTCCTCCCTGGCTGACCTTGTACACCATTTGACAATCAGGTGTAATGCAATATCTTGCTTTGTCTTTATTTTGGGCGACGTAACAGGAAACTGAGGCATCTATCAAAGTTTGAATGGTACAAAATCCGAATTTCTTCATGTTATTTATATCACTCCAAGCCCAGAGCATATCACAACCTTCATAACAGCAACGCAGAGGAAACTCTTTTGTGCTAAGAGCTGAATTCAAATGCAGCCTCACACAATCCCTACAGTATGCGTGACCACAAGATTCTAGTCGGTATAGATCACAATCGGATATTGAGCAGAGACAAATTCCACACTCTGGATCAGTTGATGGTATTTGGTGTTGATTGTCTTTAAGCAACATTTTCGTAAGCTCCTCAATGTCATTTACTGCCGACTGTATTGCTTCAACAGAGCCTAACATTTCAATCCTGTGTCTTCTGTGGTCAAGTTCTACGCTGGATAGATCCGATACATCTTTCAATCCTTGTAAATCTATACCATGCATCTGTATAATTCTTTTCATCAATCCAGGCGGCTTGGTTTCTCCCTTCAAATCGACCCGCCTCAACTTAAAGGAAGAGAGTTTTTCTAGGTATTTTTGAATTTTCCTAATTGCCAAAGCCCGATCAGCCTCTTTGCCATGAACAGAAATAGTCGTATTTCTGTCGTTCAACATTACCAAAGTGTGAGTTTTCGCCATGATTTTGTCAACTTTGCTCCTTCCATCACGTGTGAACATAGATCTTAAAGAAGGATTACCTTCCATTGACAGTATTTGACCTTGAAGGAGATTTTGTATTGTGTCTCTCGTCTTTATCATATTATCTACACTTTCGGCCTCTATATTGAGAATATAGTTACCCGTTGTGTTCTGCTTTATATCTATAAATACTCCATCTTTCTTAGCTTTGGCACAAAAATCTTTGATATCTTTATTTACCCGTTTAAATACCCGCTCCAGCACATACAAACGAGTGTGAATTTCTGGAATAACAATAACTACACTGTCATTGATATTCAGTGTGTTTCTGCTCTGCAGATTAGCACAGACCTCATTTCCTTGTTCGGGGTCAGTGAAGGTGACAACACCATTAAAGTCATAGTCTTTCTGATATGGTTCTCTTATATGAACTTTGAACTTATCTGAATTCACGAACTGTGCAATATGCCTTTCTATCCTTCGCCTATGCGTGTCCAGAATTTCCCTTGTTGTTTTTACTTCCTGGCGTGGTACAAACGTTTTTCCGATCTCATTTTCGGGTACATTGAATCCCTCTGAAATTCCTTCTCTTAGAATATCTTCATTGACAAGAGGATTGATTCCTTGAACATGTAATTCATCAACATTTCCTCTACTTCGGCTAATCCTCACATTTGACCCACCAACAGACACTTGTGTCATGGAGCTTAAAGTTAATACCGTTTCCAATGTTTCTGAATTCTTGATTTGCACAAACCCAAATCCTTTGGGTTTCCTGCGACACCAAGTTATTTTTGCCTTGAATCCATTAGAGTCGTCGGTTTTCCAAACTGGGGGTTTTATTTGAATTTTCAATGTTTTATCGCGCGCTGCTGCAACAGCCTGTTTTGCAGATTCGCTATTATTAAACACTACTTCACCACGATACCTTGGATTCGTATTTGCTGGAGATTTCGTTTGGAATTTTTGAATTTCACCAAACTGTCTCATCCATTCCACCAGTTCTTCATCAGAATCAAATTCCTCTTCAGAGCAGTATACATAAACATTGTTATAATCATCTTCACACAACACGTCTTTTATCATTCCACCGGGACCAATGGACACTTTGACATTATAACATCTTGGAAAGATAGGGAAAATGATTCTTTCTTTTCTGATATTCTCCCTGATTGGATCAAGTGCATTTTTCAAGGCTTCTATCGACTCTTCATCCTTGTCTCCAGGTGCATAAATTGAAACTTCGCCCTTGTCTCGGTCTGCATCAATTACAAATATAGAATCTGTATTTTCTTTCTTTAGTTTAGTTTCTAGATCTTTTGCATGCTTCCATTTTGGACCAACAAACTTGTAGTGAACTTGAGAACCAATGTACTCCGTATAAATTGGCTCAATTCTTTTCCTTTCTATTCCTGTCAAATCAAAATTTATTTCATTTCTCTTTAAGGCTTCCTGTACGTCGTCTTCGTTTACTTCTGTTATATTAACAGCAAATTCACGAGAAGTGTTCAAAACTTTCTCGATTATAACCCATTTTGGATATGATGCAAGAGACTGGAAGGATGCAGACGGATGAACAGTCATTTGTTGGTCTTTATCAATGAAATAATATCCAGCCTTTTCATGTCCAAGGAAGTAACAAAGGTTGCTACGAAAAGCTTTAAACATAAGCTTTTGTAATGTTCTCTCATTTCTACCTACATCTTTCAATTCAAACTTTAAAGGCATATTCATCTGATTTTTCAAGAGGAATCTGATCTCGTTTACAGTGTCTCGAATGTTCCTCATGGCCCTTCCATTGATGGAGTTATCCAAACACCACTGACTTTTCTCCTTCTCAGGAACATAATGCCACTTTTTAAAGACACTCAAAAATGTGAAGTGGTCTCCTTTGCTATGACAGAAAGGAATTTTGAGCTTGTCACATTTGTTTTTTTGTTCTTTTGTTCCAGCTCTGTAAAACAAGTTCCCACTAACTGTGCATGATGCGGCAATAATGATAGCATCTAAGCCTACTTTCATCTTAATTGCATTGTGAACAAAAACTCCCAAATTTGGCTCTAATGGAAGTTGTGCTATCCAGAGCCCTAATTCTGTGATTTTGGGGATTTTTCCATTTTCAACTGCTGCAATATTGACCAATTGCTGAAAAGCTGTTTCCATTGAGTTATCTGGAGGTGCCTCAACAAACTCAAAAGCAAGGGGGTTGACATTCAGTTGCAATAATTTCAGAATGGCATGACCGATGTGAATTCTCAAAATTTCTGGAATAGAAGAGGCTGTCATGTTGTCATAAACTTCTTTGGAATAAAATCGATAGCATTTCCCTGGAGCTGTTCTTCCTGCTCTTCCTTTTCTTTGATCTGCAGAACTTTTTGTTATTTTAACAACTCTTAAAGAGTTTACTTTTTTGTCTGGATCATATTTCATTTCTTTTGCAAGCCCAGTATCAATCACATACTTCACTCCAGGAATTGTTACAGAAGTTTCTGCCACATTAGTGGAAATAACGATCTTTCTTTTACCATGTGGTGTTTCTTTGAAAATTTTGTTTTGTTCTTCTGTTTGAAGCTTGCCATGAAGTGGCAATATCCAATGATCAGTTCTACCTTCAAGTTCCCATTGCAGTCTTTCTATGCACTTTTCGATTTCCAGCTGTCCTGTGAGAAAAAGTAGAATGTCACCAGGGGGTTCCTTATCATGGATTTCTAACGTCTTTTCAACAGCTTTCCTTTCATATTCTTCCAAGTCATCATCTCCAGAGTTCGTCTCCCATTCCACATCGACAGGATACATTCTGCCAGGTACTTCAATCACAGGACAGCCTTCAAAATATCGGACAAACAGTTCCGGATCAATAGTTGCAGACGTTACGATAATGCGTATATCTTGTCTCCTAGGCAAACACTTCTTTATCATACCAAGCAAAAGGTCTGTGTAAATGCTTCGCTCGTGTGCCTCATCGATGATAATGCAAGAGTAATCATTTAACAACGGATCTTTGATGCATTCATTTAGCAGTGTATGGTCAGTCATGTACACAACTTTTGTCTGGTCTGAAACTTTCTTCTGAATTCCACACTGATAGCCCACTATATCCGCCACTGTAGACTTCATTTCACTTGCGACCCGTTGAGCAAGACTTGCAGCTGCGACTTTTCTAGGTTGTGTGCAAACAATATGGCCATTGGAAGGCAATTTAGACTGCAAAAGATACTGTGTTAATTGTGTGCTTTTCCCAGATCCTGTTTCGCCAAGAAGGATGCATACTTGATTCTTTAAAACAGAATTTACTATCTCTGAGCGCTTAGCATAAATGGGTAGTGCTTGCTCTAGCCTGGAATACTCTATTTCAAATTCTCTGAGCAATTGATCGATATAGTCTTGTTTTACAGTGCTTCCTTCAAACTCTATTAAATGTCTTTTGATATCTTCTACAGACCTTTCAAACTCGACGAGTTGTTTTTCAAGTTCAGCAACTTTGTTTTCAAGTGTTTTTGTCTGCATTTCTCTCCGCTCAAATTCAGGTAGGGAAACATACTTTGTCTTTTTCTTAGTTTTCTTTGTTGCAAGGAAATCTGATAATTCTTGCTTCGTTTCCCTAATTTTATCATGATGCATTCCAATAATATGGTCACTTCGTTCCTGTACATTCTGTAGATTTTTATCAATAAATTCTTTACTTACTTTTGCAACTTCTTCTCTTTGGAAACGGTAGAGAAAACCTAGATTTTTGGTTTGCCGCATCCACAACTGAAACTGTCTGTAGGCATTGTTGCTTGGGAAATGAACCCAAACTGAAGCTGATAATCCATTAGGATTTGTTGTGAAAGATTCAATGTTAAATTCGATGTGTGATGGCAACTCTTTCATTTTTAAATGTTCCAAGAAAGTATTTTCTTCTTTGAATGGGTGATAAACAATGAGATTGTATGTGGGGCCTGGTTCAGTAAGTAATCTTTCACTTTTCTTGTGCAGCATTTCCGATGGCTGCTCCTTGCTCTTGACATGGTTTGATGGTGGTGGTGGTGGTGGTGTGTCCCTTGACACTCTCTGAGAAGGCGGATTCCTTGTGTCTCTCTGTCTTTCATATATAATTTCCTTATTATTTTTGCGTCCTCCACCCCCTCGCCTCTGGTTCCCTCTCCCTCTACCACCTGAACGCCTGCCATCCATCGTTGCATATATGTCTATAATTTCAAAGAAATTGTTCATTGTATATACGAGAAGAGAGAAACTTGTGAACATACTAGTGTACTCCGACATAGTAATTCACTTTAAAGATTTTTTAACATTCCTTTCGAATCTTCATCTTTTTATAAATTATTTTGTAATCGCCGTACGGAAGTATATTTACGACATGCAAATATTTATTTTTATTCTCATGCTGGAAAATATATTGTTGTATGCATGAGATATTATCTCGTTCGCTCGACTCATAATATCTCATTCAAGACGATGATTTAGCCTCCTGGGGGTTCAGTATTCAGCGAGTCTATATATGTAACAGGCGACACATAAGAAATCGTAATTTATGACATAATATGTCGTGCCACATATTTTTCACCGTAACAATAAAAAAAATTATTTGCATGTCCTAAAAATACCACCGTATCCTCGAATAAGCTATATTCGTTAATTCTTGAGCTAAAATTTTCTAGTTCTATATATATAATTTGACATTGTTTCTTAAAATAGAAACTGAAAATTTTAGAATGCTATGTTTAAAATGTCTAAAAATATGCAGATAAAAAAAATGATCTTTTTTTTTTAATACAATTTTGGGGGATATCTAGCTACATGTATAATAAACTTCAAACATTATCTTGTTTATTGGTGTGCTTATCAGAGATTTTTTTCAGATCGATCACTGTTCCTTATTTTCACCTTCTTCATGATACATGAACATAAAGCACATGCCATGTCAAAGGAAATACAATAGAGTTAAATGATACACGGTTTCCATCTACCGTTATGTATACCAAAATAAAAATGTGTTATAATTTTTAAGAATGATTTATAAACGAGTCAATTGGTTGTTTAAACAATTACCATGCAGATCGAGGATTTATAAAAGTCAGGTTATTTATCGACTTCTTTGTAGCTTATATATGACAAATAAAGCGATGCACATACCTTAAAAGTCCTTTAATAGCCCTTTTTGTTTGTTAGAAGTCCATATCAGACGGCCAGCAAGTTACTACTGTATTAAGGGTGATTATGTCATAGGAAACGAGTAAGCTACTTTCGGTTTGAAAATAGTACACTTTGCGGTTTTTAGAGAGCTGCTTTCATTTTCTTTTTTATTTCTAAATAAAACTTTTTTGTTAAGGTCACGTTTAGGATATTTTAATTTTCTTTTTCTTTAAAACTTGATTAGTCAACATAGATGCATACAAAGCATCAAATCGGCCCAAAATTTTAGGACTTCGTGAGAAACAATTTGTAAAATCATTAATTCACAAATTTTATGCGTGTTATCAATAAGGACTTATTCTATCTTAACAATAAAAAATAATAACCCCCCCCCCGTTTGTGCACTTTCTAAAACCACCACACGGCTTGATAGAAAATAAAAATAATGCGTGTTGGGGAAGATGAGGTGTTCCAAGAGACCTTTATATTAGTGATGGAGACTTTTTCAAACTGCTTATTTTCAAAACTAAAATTTGATGATGATGATGATAATAAAATGCATATTGGGCCTATAAAATTCAGTATCTTAGACCTAAGTAAATGAACTAGATGTTATCATGGTCCTTCATTTGACATCTTAATGGAAGTTCTTGATTTGTCCATACATATGATATTGTGACATATATATTAATATTGTTTTTGTGAGAATTTGCAAATAATTCATCAACTCTTAAACAAACAAAATACACATAAAATACATCATTTTAATAATCAAAATCTTTGCATAAAATTTCTAACATAGCAAACATGTCAAAAGAATTTCAGTTGTAATTTATATTTTACAGGATTAAAAATTGCATCAAAATTTTCTTACATTCTATTACTATAATTAAATAAAATTATCAAATAAATCAATTGATACATGCACACATGCATCAATAATGTATTATTACATACAATAATTGCCATAAACAATGAATTGCACTCAGAAAAAATAAAATTTTGAATTCATTTATTTGAGTAAAGTCAATCTGTATATAGAAAGACAATGGACACATAATTATTCAAACACACATGTAGCTTTTTGTGAAATAAAAATTAAACAATAGCAGGTATATATATTCACTAAAAATTTAATTAGATAGAGTCTAATGCTACATTTTACAACCCAGTACTTGTCATACATTTTTTTAAAATTCTGTTCTAATAATATAAAACACCTACTGAACTAGGGCCTTATGTTAACTACTACATATGAATAGTTGTTAATATGAATATAAATAACTAAGCACAAATGTAAATTGAATAAATACCTTTCTACCTTCATTCGATCTTGAACTATAATCAACAAATTATAAACAAATACCATCTACAGTGTATAAAATGACTGGAAGGATACAGGTATTCCTAATATTATATATATCATGATACAGTGTGATTTGTATATGATACATATTATGATATTATTTTAGTCCACATACTATGTCTGTATATTAACCTCTCCTCTATATACAGAGTACATTGGAACTAGAGGGAGACCCTCCTTGAATTTTCAGAGCTATTAATGTTTAATGTTCATAAACCCTCTGCTCACTCATAAAAGATGTTGCTTTAACTCTTATGATTTTCCAAAAGAAATGTATTTTTTAAAAATTCAATAAGGAACAATAGAAAATTATGTTATTAAGAGTTATCTCTCTTATTAGAGTATCAATGAACCTTAAGTAATGAAAAAATGACTGTCAGAGGGAAATTGTCTAAGGAAAGTACTGTCTAACCCCCACCTTCACCCCCACAAAATAGGATTTTCAGGTTTGGGCAAGTTGTAAGCTGAAAGTGGGTGGTTTTTTTTCTGTTTTTTTTCTTTTTTTTGGGGGGGGGGGGGGGGGGGGCTTGTCAAAAATTCTGAGTCAGACATTTTTTACAGTTACAGTGGAACCCCCCCCCCCTTCTGGAAAAAAAATCCTGGATCCACCCCCTAATACATTTTAGTATTTTTCTCCATTATTCCCAGTTCTCTGATTGACTCATACTTGATTACATGATCAAGTATATAACAGTGTATCAACTTGTGTTACTAAATAAAGAATCTGGAAAAGCATATTGACTAGATGTTGCCAAAAATGGAAATAATCTTTAAAACAACAATAGTGAAAATTTTACAACAGTTAATATGACTAATGTTTCTAAAAAAAAAAAAACTGATACTTCAACTCCTCTTTGCAACCATGATGTAAAAATAATGTTTGGAATATGGCTTTACTCTATATTTGTAAACATAGAGGTTAATTAATTTTTTTCATAAACTGATGAAAAAAAAAATCATAAAACAAATGTAGCCTTCCCTTTTGATTTGGTACATATCCTAAATTACTCTATAAAAAAAGGAAACACAATGACATTAAAACATCTAACTTTATTTTTATCTTTAGTCACTAAGTGTTATATTAAAAAAAAGAGCACTTGCAATTTGTTTACATTATTTTCAAATTTTTGTTTTTTCAATCTCCTGAAAATAAATATAACAAATGCAGCCCTTTCATGTGGTCAATCCATAGATATGTTGACTTGAAGTTCACACAAAAGCATAAAGCATATCAACCTTGAACTTTGTGCTCGGTCATTTTGCTTTTCTGTGACATAAACATGTATCTATGGATCGACCTTATGAAAGGGCTATATTTGCATTATATATATATATACATGTATATATATGTGTGTGTGTGTGTGGGGGGGGGGGGGGGGGGGGGTGTATTATTATCTCTAAGATATGTATTACTACAGGTGTAATAAGCAATGCTGATATGGATATATACACATACAGTATATGATACAAAAATATATTAATAAAGTTAAGAATATTTAGGAATATAAATACAAGCATATCAGTACTGTGTGAGGGTGGGAAACCATTCTATGGCTATTTTTGAGGCTCTTATTGCTGAGAAATTGGGCTAACTTGATTTGTCAGACAAATCAACGCAGTTTGTCACATGATGGTGTTTCCTTGGTAACAGCATGGACAACAGAATAAGAATCATGCCAGTAACATAAATAGAAAACACTGTGTTTTCATTGGGAAGGAAGCACTGATTTATGTTAAAGTCTGTATCAGATATCACAGCCTGTAAAGAATAAAAAAAAAAAAACGCATGAAACCAGAATCCAGATTAACATGCTACAAAGACACATAAAATGACTTCTAGATAAATTGTTTATGTATTTTGATACATGTTTACACTTTTCAAAGGAACATTTACAATGTACTTACATTTGAACCATTCAGAAAATGAAAATAATATTTGGCGCAATAAAAAAAAAACTTGCCAATAGAAAACTGGGTCCTTTCTTGTTTCTCCAACTAAAGGAGGCCACTGTCCACTCTGGTACACCGTTGTCATGGACACGATGGCAGCCATGATGGGTATGAGCACTTACAATAAGTCTTGGATTCACCCATTTAAATACCTGTGAACAAGTTCTAAGTAATAAATAAGGAAAAAGGAAACGTACAGTTGAACTTCCAATATTTTGAATACCATGGATAAAATGAAGAGAGTTGGAAGTCCCAACCACTTTTTCTTTGTGTATCAATAGCTATTACAGAGGAAATCAATATCTTGAACATTGGACACCTCAATGATTTTATCGATCCATCAAGTTTAAGATAAGGACGTTTGACTGTATATGATACAATTATAAACAATTATTTTTAGATTTTTTTTAAATAATATTTTTACTGAAAATATCATCATGATAAAAAAAAGGAAATCTCAGACCAAAACATACCCTTATAATTCTGTGGTTTAACTTAAAATTTTCCTTATACAAAACCATCATGTTATAAAACAAAGTAATTTTGCTTCTTATTTCTTATTTCTTCTATAAGAAATACACTGTACATGTATAGAGTATGTAATGCAATATAATGCACCTGTTTTGATGCTTCCTGTGACAAGCAGTCATACTTTGGACGAAATGGAATGTCTTTCTCTGCTGAGGGTGCTGCATCGGGAGTTGAGCAATTGTGATCTGATGGACGAAACATGGGAAAATGCTGTCCAAAAAAAAAAAACAGTGAACAGCAATGGAATGATAAGGAGATTGATCTCTTAATAATGTTACTTTGATATTTTTGCATACTACATTGTATTGTCAACAACATAAGCAAAACTTGACGCACTGTCTTTTGAGAAAACTTTTTAAAATATATTTGAAAATTCTAATGGAAGGCACTCAAAGCAGGGATTCACCTTGCATAATTTCTATTTGTAAAAATACACAATTTCTTATATAATTAATTGATATCAATTCATGACCCCTTTCAGCTTAGATCAACCAAACCGAAATCAATATTCAATTTAGTGAAAATATGCAGTGTACAATTTTACTTAATTTGTTTGTGTTAGACAGCAACAATCTTGAGTATGAATACAATAAGTTAGAGCATATATTATCAGAGGAACTTCAAGCTGAACATCAGTTAATTCAGAATAATCATTACTACGTACACAGCTGAACTTGGTTATGTTGAATTCCAGCAATATATGGAACACAGTTGATTGTCTGATATCATCATAAACACAAACTTCAACAGTATCTGATTCTCAAATGCACAGATGTAAACACACTTTTTTTTCTACAGGGTCATAATTCCGAGGAATCACAATTTTTGTTCAATGTAGAAACTAGAAAATTCTGTAAACCAAGTTTTATTCGCATGCGAGAAATATCCACGAGTTATGAGACCTACTTTCACTCACAAATTTTAATCACTGCAAACCATTTATTTTGCTTTGTATTTGTAGAGAATGTTTCCCCATTCAGGAAAATTAATCGTCACGGATTGATTTTAAACTGACGAATCCGGAATAAAAGATGACGTGAATAATTGGTTTGCAGTACACATATTTATTGGATTACCACTGTATGTCTTAAATGCACTTTAAGTATACTGTGACAATACATATATGTACTATAAATTAATCCCACAAAAATGTACATCTACATTATCAAAAAGTTTTCTGTCAGCCTTAGTTAAAATCAAGATATCAAGGTTCAACTGTATTTCACCACATAAATACCTGCATAAGTATGGGTTGAGTATAAGATAACTTCTTCATCTTCTTGCAGGCTGAGGGTATTTTCTTTTTTGAAAGGCTTTCCTATTAAACAGACACAAACTTATATTCAAATAAAAGATTCATTCCATCATGTACAGTTCGTTAATTTACTCTTCTTTTTTTTTAACTTTATTTCTTCACAAAGGATTAGTTTTTCAAACTCTGTACATTTTGAGAAAAATATGCTGATTATTTTAAATGCACTTTACTTTAAATGCTAATTATAACTATTGTATAAAGGGAAAATTCTGCCCCATTTTATTTTCGCCCCTTTTGCCCTACTCACCGGTGGGCGAATTCAAAAAACACAGTATAATTTCTTAAACAGAACTATAACTGGGCGAATTTAAAACTGGGCAAAATTGTTTGCAAGTGTGAAAGGACAAAAAATAACACGGGGCAAAAATAATCCTGTATTCAGTATATAAAATTTTTATATTACTTTGTCATTCAAGCTTAAGAGAAAAAAAAAGATTTTGATCCTCTGTCAATCTTATAAAAATAGAAATGCAATACAATATATTCTACCTGAGAACACTTAAGCTGAAATGAAATTTTTTCCATCTTTTCTACAGCCTCTGAACAGAGGCTACACCCATCACCCTCCATGGCCATACTGTTCATCAGAACAAAAATCTTGCCATGAATCTCGACCATCTGAACAGACGGAGCAGAAAAGGCTTCCTCAAATCTCCGGTGCTTTTGCTCTGTCATCCTAAACAATGCAAAATAGAATCAGAGTTGAAGTCTAATGGGTTTGATTCCATTAAGAATAGATAACTTTTCTTTGTGATTATAAAATACAAGAGGCCCATGGATCTAACAGTCTTCTAATACAGTAACAGGGCTTAATTAACTCTTTTTGAAACAGGGTCCCCTATCCTTTCAATTGGGAATTTTAAATCAAAGAAATGCCAAAATTTGGAAATTTTGATGTCTTATAAGTTTTAATATTGAATAAATAGTTAGATTGAAAGCTCATTCCCTATTAACATGTCAGGAATCATTCAAATCTCAATTAATCTAGTTTTTGTTATGAAAAAAAAACTACTAAAAACATCAAACTGCTAATCATTTGGGAATTTTTACCTTATGTTTGGGGAAAAAAAAGAATAAATTTTCAAGTGTTACAGGGTCCTTTTACCAGTCCTGGATGCAAAGTTATTAGCCCTTTATAAGATGAATTTTCTGACACACTTCATCTGACCTTTATTTTTATCTTTTCCTTTGAAAAACTCAAGAGCCTTAATTTAATTTCACTAAATTACATGTACATGGTTTTACACCCTTTTTTTCCTGAGCAATGGCTTGAAATAAAATTGTATCCAGCTACTGGTATATAAGGATGACTGCATTGAAATTTGATGATTTGTCTCCTTCAAGTTTTTGAGAATATTTATGTAGATCTAAATTTACACATGCATTTTATATGTTAAACACTGGACCCTTTGTTGCCACATCTTTGCTCCAGGGGTAATAGTCTGAACAATGACATCTATTTAGATGTGCATGCTTCCTTGTAGATTTGACATTTTGTAGCCTTTAACTAGGAAATGATCTTCAGAAGGAGAAGAACTCGTAAGTTGATAGAACTTGTTTCTTATCCTTTTGCTTGTCAATAAAATATGTTCAAAACAAAACAAATGATCTTCAAAAACTCAATTCTGGACATTCATCCAGAAATCATAGATCAAAAACTGCATGCCACTGTCTTTTAAGAAAGTATTAAAAATGTGAGATATTTTACAATTTTTATATTTTGACTGTATGCTGATTGTTAAGTGCCCCCCCCCCCCCTTATAAAATCTAAAAGTACTCACATATAATGGAAACCTATATCATGATTTCCTGTGACAACATAAGTCTCGACACCAGGAGGTGTGGAAAACATCTTTTTAAAACGTTTCACATGATAATTAAATTCTGCTTTAGTGCACCATTTTCCTTCATCCAAGAGATCACCTGTAAATTAAGAATGTTTATTTTGATGAAGGTTAATTAGTGCAAGAAAATATTTTATGCCAGTTGTCTGCACTTAGTAATTTCTTCGAACAGATAGCAGAAATGTCACTAATCTTACAAATATTAGTGGGAAAATTATACAATTATTAATAATTATAATTATGATGATAATAATCAAAAGAAAGATAATCTATCAGAGTATTGTCAAAGAAAAGAGAGAAAACATACATACAGTGGAACTTCCATATCCCGAACATCGATATCTTAAATACCATGGATATGTCGAAGTGAAATGAAAGTACCAATCACATTTTCTTTATGAATTTTACCCTCAATATCTTGAACCCTTTTATATCTCAAAGTTTTTTTTTCAGTTTCATCGACTTCAAGATAAAGAAGTTCAACTGTATGTATTTAATTCAATACCTAATATAAATACTACATCTGGATTGTGAATTGTCATGCTACTTTGAAAAGATCTTTCCATCTGCCACTCCCTGAAAATGTTTTAATAGTTTTCAAAATACCATTTATATTTTTATCACTATTAATATAAAGATAAATATGAGGAATACTAGTATATTTCAAAGCCATGCAAGTTCCAATATTTTGACTTGACAACAAGTCATATTTTTTTATGTGATTACTGATTGCAAAACACGTTCCTAAGAATAATCCAAATTTTAAACTCGTTTTGATACATAATATGCATTTTTTTTAAATTTAAGAAAACTTTTCATATAAAGTTATTAAATGCTTTAAAAACAAAAAAGTCTTGCCTTCTAAGTTTGTCAAACCAGTGCCCTTCCTTCCATCCAAGAATATGAGTGTCTGCTAAAATCATCACTTTTAGAGGCTTAGATTTGATTGGTAGCTGTGCAGTGTCCATCTTTAAAACTGGCCACTTGCAGAATAATAACACTACGTAGTAATGAAAAAACTCACAGTACATCAACAAGCAAATTACTAAAAAGAAAAAACGGACTAGTCTTCTTGTACGCAGATAGAAACAGAACATCCCAGGTAACTGAATTATTAACCACCGCATGGCTTCCAGTGATTGATGAGGACATCTGAATTTTGTTGTAGTTTTCATGGAACATAATTCTCAAGAAGATCAATCTGTAACATTCATTTTTCATACTCCAAACTCTGTTGATGTGTCTGTATTAAATGAAATTTGAAAAGATAAGTTTTTTTTAAAACCAGGTATTGTATTACAAGACATGTAAGTACATGTATAAGCAATATTCTCTAAATCTGTTTTTAATTAATGCCAGAATTTGGATTTTAAGATCAGGGCTTAATTGACCATTTTTGGTATAGGGTCCTGTACTCTTTCAATTGGGAATTTTAAATAAAAGAGGGCAAAATTCGGAATTATTTGTGCATATATTAGCAAGCACAGCGAGCGGCGCAAAGCACCACTTGTCACTGCAAGCTCTTAAAGCAACGCCTTGGTGAAGAGAAAATTTGAACTTAATGTACATTGATCCAAATGAATTTTTTTCTGCTGTAACCTGTGGTCCCATAATGCTTGCGAATTGTATCTCACTACAAACTACATTCTAGTGGTAGCAACAAAAGTTCAACAAGAAATAAAATCACATTGATTTAACGGATATAATTGCAGAAAAACAGTAGATTAAACATTCTTCATGAAAATGGCTGTTCATGCTTCAGTTTGGTAATGCAAGTTAAACAGATGTCATGTGACGTCAGAGTCTAATTGTACCAAATGTCACGTGTGTTTTGAAGAGACAGATGCAAATTTTAAACTGAATAGGTACATGTATCTGCACTTGCCCTAGAGGTTGCACCATCAACATGTTATGTTTAACAGTAAACTGTACATTAAAGGAGTAAGATTGTAGGATTATTCCTTATTTACATGTTTTACAGCTTACTCAAGCTATATATTTAAATCAAAAGATAGTGCCAGACCTGACAAAAGGAACAAATCTTGTATCATGACATACTAATGTAATATTAATCTGAATCCTGAGTCAATGTATTTATAATGTGTATAACGTGCACAGTGTCTAAGAATTATTAAACAAAAGTTACCAGCCCTGATATCCACATCTTTTTTTTTAATTATAAGCATTGTATTAAACTTAAACATCCTTAAACTGTTAACAGCTATTGAACAGCTGTTAAATATAAAAATAAAGAATTCATCTTTCAAGTCTTGGTAATATTAATTGAGATCCTCCACAACATTTGTTTAAGCTTAATTTTTACGATGTGTTTTACTTGATCGTTATACGATTTCAGGAAAAAGCAAAATCTGTTAAAAAACTAAAAATACCTCTGGCAGCTCACTGGAGGCTGCCATCTTGAAATATCATAATACTCAAACTGGTGTTTTCTAATCCGAATTTTCATTTAACAATTAAAAAAATTAAACATTAAACATGTATTCCTTTAAATGTATCTCTGTTATTGCAAATTATTAGTATATAATGTCTAGTATTATTTTCTTTAAAGATAAGTATTTAAAAATTGCAGGATGGATCGAAACCAGTTTGACTAATAATCATTATTCTTCCGGGTCATTGCCAGGGTTAAGCGTCATGGGGGATGGCATTTAGATTCTGTGATAAATTGCAAGGTAAATAGTCTAGTTTCCATTACTTGTCATGTAGCAATTCATTTTAAATTCAAACAAATGAAAAAAGAGGGGAAAAATATGCCTATATTGAAAAAATGTTGATTACGAAAAAGGTATCGATTATGTTTTCCCCGCTTTGGACATGACACGAATTAACCTTCACTTTTCAGTGTGCTAAATAAGCATATAGCCGGTTCAGCAATCAACATATATTGTAAAATCAATAGATTACTTTTTTATGGCAACACTTGAAAGGACTTTTTCTCTCTATGAAGGAAGTTTGCGTAAGTTTAAAATTTAAATCAGCTTAGGCCAAATTTATTAGTTTATGGGTATACCCCACCTTCTGTAGTCATTTTTTAAAAAGTCAGCTAAATGGTTTAAATTTAATTTTGACCCCTGTTGTCATTGCTAACTATAATTTTGTTTGTTTGGAGTAATTTATTTGTTAAAAGTGATCACAATATCAAAAACAAATTATTCAATTTTCAAGAAAGCAGAAAACAAACAAAACTTTGCTGTGTTGTAATTATAACTACCTATGCTTGTAAATTAATAAATTTTACAAATAAACTCCAAAACACCTGCACCAGAGTTCATACTACTTGCTCCTATAATATTACCATAGGTATGAGATTAACTGTCCGTAAACTATATTTATTTATCACTTTCATAGTACATTGTAATTATTGTAAATTTCATTAAAAGTCTACTTTTTTCAATAAACAGCCATGAAATACAAAAAAGAGAGTATGATTGTTGTTACGATTGGCGGATCTAAGTTACTGGCAATTTTTAATGAAACTGCACAACAAGCAATCATTTAATTATTTGATAAAACTTCATTAGTAAATTATTCAATCAAAACTTGATTTGAGTGATAAAGAAAAAATAAGTTGTGATGACTGATTAAAAAAACAAATGTGCCAATCGTTTCTGTCGGTCCCTGATCTCAGTCTTGATGGAAATTTCTAGAACATTGTATGGCATTGAACCCAATGTTTTAACATATACATGAACACATGATGAATTTAAAAAAGTTTTGATGTGAACAGGCATGGAAATGATGGTGAAGCAATTGGTAACACTATTAAGTAGTGAATATATTTACATATCAAAAAACTATTGATAAGTTGTCCTGATAAATTTGCATATTCGCCACTGAGAGCGTCATGGTTATGAACCGGATTTGATTTGAGGGAGTATAAAGTGTCATATGAAATATGAAATATTTATAAATTTATTAGTGTAAGCTACAACACCTATGAGAATTTCAAAATTGATGTGAAAACCAATTTATACCTATGTTGGAAATTATGAATTATAAATTACAGATTTATGTGTCTTGATGCTTCAAGTTTCTATTGAAGTAATATTTATAGGAGTAAGTGAACCATTCATAAATCATGATTTTCAATTTTATTAGACCTTACCAGTACACAGTATTGTGTTTAAAATTTCACTTTAAAAGCTAGGGGTTTTGCATTTGTTTTGGTAATCATAACTGATCATTTACAGGTAATTACATTGTAAATTTCATTCTGCAATGAAAAGCCATCTTATGAAGTCTGTTTTGTTGTATGGAAAAATATGTTTTTATCGATGTCTTTATATTAATTTTATAGGTTTTAGGAGCAGCCATATTGAAAACTGCCAATTGAGTTTTAGAAGCAGATATTTAAGGACACCTTGAAATAAATACATTTTCATAATGCCTACCAAACTGGTAAAAGATATTGCATCTTCAAATTCCTATGCTTCATTCTTTGCTCCTGTGAATAATCAGTATGACAAGGGAAGAAAAAAGAAAAGAAAGAAGAATGCCAAAAATAGAGCACAGCAAGTTACAGTCACAATAAAATCATTTGATCGGCCAAAATCTGACTTTGGATTCAAATCAGAAAAATCGTTTTGCAGGACCAACACAAGTGACAGTCTAAACTCCACAAAGCTCCCCTCCATTTACAGTAGGTCCCCTCCAAGTCCCAGACTTTTGACCCCCTTAAATAGAACTCCCCCTGTTTTGTCAATGAACAGTGTGCCCACAGCATGTGAACGGAGGAAGAAATTACCACTTTTAGCTGCCATTAAACCGGACAATGAGAAAGCTGAAAAGGAGAGATTCATGCGTGCCAATTTTCTGTATAACCCGTATTTTATGTATAGATTTCCTGCTGAACCTGAGGTATTAGAGAAGTGCAGTCAGCCATCTGATCGTTTTATAAATGAGGTGAGTATGCACTGTATTGTTCTGCACATCTCTTTGCAAATGATTGCATAAATTTATCAAGCAAGTTTCAGTAGACATAATGCAAAGTAGGTAAATTGCCAAATGTTAATTTTCTTGTTAGTTGTATACACTAATTATATCGTATATACTTGTGAGTAAATCTTGGGAAAATAATCTCAAAAATTGTTAATATTTTCCCTTCTTAAAAAAAATTTAATATTATTTCATTAGTTAACTGTAGGTGCATGTGTAAATTTGTTTATTTAGCATGTTACTAAGTATTAGTATTGTAATATATTGCTCTCTAAAGTTATTGAAATGCATTTTATTGTTACAGGCTATTTATATCATGGAAAATTCACTAGAAAAATACGGCACCTATGAAGAATTTGAAGCTCAAACAGGAGGGCAGGTTATAGGAAGATCTCAGATCCTAGCCATCATCAAACGATACTTAAAACGAGAGGAATTAGAGGATGACATCCTCCTGAACTTAACGGATGAACTGCTGTCTCGAGGATCCATGACAAGGAACAAAGGAAAGCCGCAACTCAACGTTAGGACTGTCAACCTAAGAGAAATGTGGGTAGAGGGTTTACTACGACATGAAATAGGTGAGCTTTAAAAAAAGCCTTTTGGTGTTTTTTGTTTTTACATACGTGTTCAGTTGGTTGGTGGATGTGGTATAGCGGGTTATTTTAGCGATTGGCAAATTTAGCGTTTTTATCCTAAAAGTTTACATTTATTAATAACCTTATTAATTTTTAGCGATTTTATGGATAAATGTATTTATTTTCTATGACAATATCTGTGATTGAATTATTAGCAACATTTACTCTAAGAGTTGGCAAGATCATTGCTAATAATGCCAAAATTCAGTGCTTGCTAAAAATTCCCATTATACGGTATATTTCAACAAACATATCAGCTGAGTCTCCCACCATATCATATTTGAAACTTCATAGCAAAATTACTCATTCATTTAAAAAAATTACTTTACCTGTATTGAGTTCTCTCTGTATAAGACATTGCAATAAAATTTATTTTCCTAATTTGCTTAAATTTCTTCATAAAAAGGCTGCTCCCGCTAAAAAATAGGATTATTCCCTGCAGGGAAAAGGACTATTCTTCATGAATATTTGTTAACAGAGTTTATAAAATTTCAAAACATTTGATAGGGCCTTCTCCACTGAACATTGTAAATCTGTGAAATTCTTACATGAATTCATACATGTAACTTCACTTGTTCAATTTTGTGTATTTGTATCATTATAAGAAAACATTCATGATAAGAATGGATAATTTGGGAAATATCAATTTCATGGTCCCCCTCATTCCTGTTCCATAATTGTAAATTAGCTGTTACCCTCAGTTAAATTGTAAATGCAAAACATGTATTTATATAATTTAAAACATGTGCAACTAAAATTTTTGGACAAATTTTTACTTCACGTCAAATAAAAGTAGCAGTATTCATATAAATGTTCACATATGTAAGTTTTTTAAAGAAAAAAAGATCAATATCTATACCTCTGTGGAATATATCAAGAAGACTGAGCCATTCAAAGTTTGATTCTAAACTCTATCAAATGTAAATTCAGGGTTGTCCTTAAGACCAGGGGAATTTCCTTGCCTATAATGATGTAATCACCCGGTTATTTTGGTATTCCCCTTAAACTCTCCATTAGGGGAAGGAACCCTAGACCCCCTCTACGTTTTTAAAGTCCCCTTCTATTTCAATTCTTTGGGACATCCCTGAAATTTATTAACTGTTCAATTAAATTTAATTGTATATTATACAGGTACTCACCACTTAAGGAGTGTTAACAACAGATACCAACCTTGGAGTAACTGGAAAGTTCGGAAGGACATGGGTCTACGGTCCATGAACCCCACAGAAGAGGGTCTGGCCTCCCTACACAGTGTTCTTTACCGCAAAGACCCAAGTCTATGGCGAGCTGCTGTGTTGTATTACACAGTTTTTAAGGCCTCACAAATGTCTCTAAAGGACTTGTTCAAAGATTTGGGTCAATATGTTCAGGATCCAAATGTGCGCTGGGACTACTGCATCAGGGCCAAAAGAGGACAGACTGATACGTCAAGACCAGGTATATTTTAATTGAACAAAAACTTTCACTCTTAAAATGTCTTTTTAAGATTTATTTTATCATGACTATTGTATACAGAAAAATTTTTGCTCCCATTTTTTCTTGCCCCTTTTGCCCTTGTTGCAAGAGGGTTAATTTAAATGAATTCAAAGAAGACAGTATTATTTCTTTAACACTACTGACTCTGGGCAAATTTAAAACTGGGCAAAATTGTTTGAAATTGTGAAGGGGTGAAATTAAGACAGGGCAAAAATAACCCTGAATACAGTATTTCTCTTTATGGGAGCTGTATGACTGTCAGTTTTCTAGATTGGTATAGACTGTTTTAGTAATGGTACTTTTACCGGTACATTATTTACTCCTCAGATTTATGATTGATATACAATGTACCACTGTAAAGAGAAAACTGCAAGTTATCTGGAGCACTAGTGCTTTATGGACATCTTAGATATGACACCAAATAAATTGATTTACAAGTACCATTCTTTCTGTGGCATTTAAAAACTTACAGGCACTTTTTTTTTTACCCCATTGATTGTCTTTTTTCTCAGTTTTACTATCCAATACCCCTTCCTGAACATTATTGGGTTGAATCATGGACCTTATTGTGGGGTTGACAACATTGAACATATCCCTCAACTTCTTCACCTTATCACTAGAGAGAGAGAGAGAGAGAGAGAGAGCACATGTCAAAAATATATTACATTGTATTACAAAGTGACAATCCTTAGAGAGACTTCCTCAATTTTTGGTAAAGTTTACCATTTATTTAAATATGTAACGTTATGGATTTATTTCAGGTGCATTCTGTAAGGACCAAGTCTACCTTGATGGTGCTCTTCAGATATTGAAACACAGAAGACACATAGACTTTGAGATGCTGATCCGGTTAGGGAAAATTGCCTGGCAGGACATTGATATACTGAGACCTTACGCTGAGTTACAGGAAACCCAGATTCCATTCTTTATGGAGGACATGACAGCTTACAGGAAGCATTTAGACAGGATAGCAGAAGCTAATGGTCTAACAGATGAAATCCTTACAGCTGTATGATAGCATTGTGATTTGTCTCTTAAAGCGTGTATGAGCTTAGACTTATGTGACTCATTAGACAAAAACTCCATCAACCTCTTTCTGAGAGTATATCACTTTACAACCATTTTTAGTTATTATACCCCTGTAAATGAAGTTTTGAGGTATACTGGAATCACCATGTTTGTCTGTAGACAATTTTCGTCTGGCAATAATCTCTGACAATGCTTTTTTCAAATTTTGTAGAATATATATACCATCTGAACTTATGCCCCTGGTATTTTCAGATTGATTTATCAATATTTTAAAAGTTTTGACTTTTGAAGAGCCATTGTAGGAGTGAAATTCTTCTCTTGACATAACTTCAGAACCTAACTCCTATCTTAGATAAAAAGGTAGCTTGTGTCCAGAAATGTGCCTTGACCCAGTACCAAGGTCATTTTGGATAATGTCAAGGACAAAGTATTTAAAAATTGTTATTCTAGCAATAACTTTGAAATGGAAAAAGAATAGGAGCTTATACCAGAGACAAATGTTGCTTGTGACTCAAGGATATGCCCCTACCCTAACCCAGGGTAATTTGGACAAAGTCAAGGTCACAGTTTTAGAAATATAAAATTCTTCTTATATCCATGAAATTAATGTGAAGAAAAGGGTGTTTCACACCATAGTCATTTAGTCAAGATCAAGGTCACTGGGTTTGAAGTGTAATATTCTTGTCCATAACTTTATAATAAAATAACTTCCAAAAATCATATTGCCCTAAGAGTTGATTATGATCATAGGATATGACATGATCCTGATCACTAAGATGGGTCATTAAGATAATGTCAAGATCACAGAGTTCAGAGAAGTATCTCAGAAATGAAAAATTAGAAATGACAAAACTTTATTAGAGGAGTATCAGGAGGTCATACTTGGGATACAGGTGACAGTAACTGAGAGGTATGTCATGATTCTGTGCCATCCAGGTGTGTTCATAAGGTCAGTGTCACCTGACTTGGAAGTTAAATGTTCTTTGGGCCATAACATTTTGAACCTTGGATGAATTTTTGTACTCAATACAACCATTACCAGTACTCTTTAGCAGAGGTGGAACAAACTTCATCCAATTATGACAGTAGGATGGCAGAGCTCTTTTTGTAATTTATATTAAAGTGAGTCCTTTTTCTTGTTGCCTCTCAGGAGTATTAGTCCTGTTACGACAGTTCCAGTTTGATTGTTTTTTAAAGTATTAGAAAAAGATGTATAGATTTTGCTTGTTGCTTTACAGTTATCAAAGTTATTATTTTGTTTGTTTTTTTTTTACAATGTTAAAAACCATGTAACTTTTTGCAAATGTTAAGTTTCACACTATGAAAATAGTTTAGTTGTATGTACACTGAAATTTATCAAGTGTTCAATAATAACGAAATCCAAGTGCCATGATTAATGTGATGGTAAATTCATACTCTTTGTGTTGAGCACAAGAAGTCACATTAAATTGTGAATGATGGATACCTTTATTATGACTAATATACATTGGTTATGTTATAAAATGTTTTTCTTCTTCTTTTATTTTTTTTTTTTTTGCAATTTAATCAGTTAATCGTTCCCTGCTTTGATTGCATTATTGGAAACCCACGGTTGATTAGCTGCAGATCTGGTCTGAAAAATTGAGACGGACAAAAAGGTTGCTGTCCCATTTTTTTTTCACAGACCAATGAGCTCGTAATGGATCTGCAGCTATGTTAGTTGGTTATATATGCTGTGTTCTTTAGTTGATTGTTTTCGAGAAGGATCAAATGCAGTATATTATCAGTTTTATGTTTTCACTTGAACACAGTACGTTACTATCAACTTGAATTTCCATTAGAAACACAGCATATTGTAATTAACATTGGAATTTCAACGATGTGTTTACATCACATGGTGGCAGTCTGGATGCGACATATGAAAAATAGCCTTTAGATCTTGACTTAAATTGAAACTGTTATTTTTTACCAAATTGATTTTTTTTTAAGTAATGTGTAATCTGTGGTGATTTTTTTTTCTATCACACTGGTTGTGGAAGTGTTTTGATTATGTATATATAATATACTCTTAATTTGTGTCAACTAGTACATGTATATGATTCAGCATTATTTTTTCTATGGTTGTGAATTCGAATCTGTAATATTATACTAATTTTCTAGAAATCTGAGGAAGGTTGTGACTATTTTTGGTCTCACAGCTGTAAAAAATGTACCTCCTCCAGGGGTGTGCAATTAGCATCGCCCGACGCCCGGGGCTACCATTTTTTGGAGAAGGGCTAGTGGTTTTCTGCATGCAGGTAGCCCCGTGGGCTAGTAAAATTAAAAATGCTAATGTAATATATGAAAATCACTAATGGTATTTTCACTCATTTTTTGCTATTAAATTCCCAACCAATGAAAAATTTCCAGGCAGCACGCTCCTTTGTTCGCAAATCTCAATAATCTTATTCATTTTGCAGCACATCCTGACTTATTTACTTCCAAAAACAATCGTTTTTTTCCAATCCGAATTTCCTCCATTCATGTGTTTATGGTAAATAAAGGCAGATATCTCATTAAATTATTTAAGATTGATCACTCAATCAACTGAAAGATAGGTGTTAGTTATTTAAATAAAATATATTTCCAGTGTATTTAATAATTTAAGATGAAAGATATTAATGATTTCACTTCGCTTTAGATGAGCTATAGTGGCACAGAAAAAGGAAAAATAATTTTTTAAATTCATATTTATTTTCTATCAAAATTATTAATTTATATATGATCCAATTTTACTAGTGAGAATTAAACTTTAATTTTAAAAAGAATGACCTTAAAACACTGACTTTTCGAACAATAATCTATTTTTTCAATATTAGTTGTTACTTTTCCCCCATGCATTTGGGCTAGTAACTTTTTACTTGGGGCTAGTAACTTCATTGCTGCCACTAGCCCGTGGGCTAGTACTTGATTTTTTTAATTGCACACCCCTGTCCTCAATGTGTTGTCTACATGCATAGATAAATGCAAAGGTGTCTGTCACCCAAAATCTGTGTGTGCATGTACAGACAGTATGTACATAGTATAATTTTTATTTTGAAAAATCAAGGAGGAATACATTTTTTTACAAGTGATAATTCCAAATTTTGCTCTCTATAGTTAGCATTCTGTGTTCATATAATATTCAATGTTTCTTTAAAAGTTTATTATTATGACTGTTTCAGTATTGTAGGACTCATTGTTTGTTTTAATGAGAATCTCTGCTTCCTACATGGGAAGATTATTACAGAATTATGATTAGTGTCCATTATAAGCATATTAAATACATGTACTTCTAATAAATATAAATTGAATGGAGGATAGTGATTCTCATGATAAGTATCAAAACTGAGGGCAAGGCAAAGATACACCTGTTAAAGTTTTATGCATTTGCGATATAATCATATGAATTTTTTCACAATATAAGATATGAAAACTACAGCATTCAATATGATAAATATCTCCTTTTTTTTCTTTGGCAGATATTTAATAATTATATATACATGTAATTCAAAATTTGTCAGGGCTGTATATGTAGCTGTATTCAAAATTGATCAGTAACATTTGTTTAATTGTTCGGACATCAAAAATAGAGAACAAATGCAAGTCAGTATCTGAAATTTACTGACCCTCATGAAAAATATATTTGTAGAAATTCATTTTAAGTTGTCAGGCATAAAACAGAGGATTTTTGTGAGAGCTGGACAAAATTTAAGTCCATTTATGCTGTTTGTGAAAATGACAAAATTCAGGTAGAAAATAAGGTTAATTTTAATATTCAATTTGACAATCATCAGCAATAATTAAGTCTAAGTTGTGTCACAAAGTTATACATTCCATATGCCAAACATAGTTTTAGTTGTTAAGGACTATTTTGATATACTAGTAATATGCTGTTATTGATCTAAAAATAATCAAGTTTTTCATTTTTTATGAGGCCAAAGTTACTAAACACTTGTATTTTTATGCCAGGTGCTGTAGATACCTAGTGCTGCTAAATAAATAGAGAGTGCCATTTGTAGCATTGATTGGTCTTGATTTTAAAGGGGGTGGTGATTTTACCAACTTTTGTCTGCAAAGAAATTAAAAACTATTTAAACTGAATTATTGAGCTTCACATTAAAAGAATTACTATTCTTGACTCAAAATTTGAAGAAAAAATGTTTCTCTGAATACTGTTTGTTTTAAATAAAATTATTTAATGTACTTGAACATAATTGTTGAATTCAATTCTTTGTGTAAACTGTGTCATGAATGTCTAAATAACAAGAAATTCTTGTCATTTTTTTCTCTTGTTTCTCGGGTTAATATAACCCTGATTTATACAGGTAATAAAACTTTAATCTGACTTACTGAACATTTTGTTTATATTGTTATTATAATGGGGATGATTTTATCAAAGTGAACTGTCTGTGGCATGACTTAATCATTGCAAAGTGTACCATTCAAGTTGAGGATACTCATATTGAAATGTATATGGTAAATTAGAAGGGCACAAAAACAAAGTAACCTAGAAAAAAAACCTGGTTGATTAAAGAATAAGTGTTTAAGTCTTTCGGTATGTTTAAGGTATATATGAATAACTAATGGTACATTGGAGGAAGTGATATTTGTATACAGTAAACCACTTTTACAAAAAATTGCCAGGAACAGACAGTTTTGCTTTGTTATAAACATAATTTGTTTTATTCATTAAGTTCAGAATATAATCTAAATCCACAGGAATGAAAATGACTTTACTTATGTAAGCGTCAATTCATTATTTAAATGTGTTCGCTATAATCATGTTTTTCTGGACATATAGGTGGTAAAGCTGCTTATGCATTACACTCTTCGATGTCCCATTTCTCATCCAGACCAAAAATAGATTTATTAAGGAATATTTACATTTCCAAATATTTTTCCTTAAGATTCTTTGCAAAGTAGAAAAATTCATGTTCTCATGAACTATACACTGTGGGATGAATAGGAATATTTCCATTGTGAGGTAATTGAAGTCAAAAAATAGTGCCAACTTTTTTTTTTCAAAATGATTGTTGAATGACAAAAGTATGTGGCAAGTCATCAGAAAAATAATGTAAATGTAAGATATGAATTTCATTTTTGAGAATTCATGAGGTACATGAACTACAACCCTTCATGCCTGCATATTCATCATGAAGCGCTAACGTGCTTCATGAAGTATGCCGGCGTAAAGCTTCGTAGTTCATGTCCTCATGAATTCTCAAAATTAAATTCATTTCTTAAATGAATTTAATAGCTATCCAAGTTATACTGTATAACCTGGGTTGGGACAGCTTATGCTTTATAAACTGTGAAGCAGTTTATAAAAAAAAACCATAAACTGTTCCAACCCAGGTTATACCAGCCTATAGCTTGGGTAGCTATTAAATTCATTCCTCGATCCTTATAATTTAATTTTCCACCATTAAGTGTAGAAAATCAAACAATTTCTCATTCAAAAGTGCCTTCAAATTGAACATATTTTAAAAGTAATGTCAAGCGTATGATACCATTTTGATGTAAATCATTGTGAGGTAGGCAACACAGGTTATACGATATAAACCAATTTTTGAATCCAATCAAATGACGCATTACAATCTAAATTAAATTATTAATTTACTTATACATTGTATTTACAATTTTACTATACTGTAACTTTACTTCAGGATCAAACTCTTTACAGTTATAGCAATAATTTAACGCAATTATTTTTCATCTAGTTCTGAATCAGTTTATTTAACAAACATAGGTAATCAGAGATTACATAGCTCATCTCAACGAATGTTGTCTTTAAGTAAGGCAAGTCCCAAACTAATAATCTAGTAGTGTGCAACCCTAGATGTAACATTTATGGAATTTTGGTCCAATAGGGCTTGCAGTTACTTGGGAATGGACTTACCTAAAAACTTTAAACTAGTCACTCATCCAGAAAATTAAGTCATATCCAGCATCTGAAGCAAGTTTGAGAGTGTTCATCCTGTGATGCATCATCCATGCAAGTTTGGTTCAGATAGCCCTTATAGTTTACTTTAACCTGGTCAATCATGTGGAAAATGTAGGTCAGATACAGCATCCGAAGCAAGTCCAGTAGTGTGCATCCTCAGATGTATCATCCATGCAAGTTTGGTCAATATAGGGCTTAAAGTTACTTGGAAATGAGACCTGCTCTAAAAACTTTAACCTGGTCATTCATCCGGAAAATGTAGGTCATATCCAGCATCCAAAGCAAGTTCAGTAGTGTGCATCCTTAGATGTATTATCATCCATGCAAGTTTGGTCAGTATAGGACTTAGTTACTTGGATGTGAGACCTGCTCCAAAAACTTTAACCTGGTCACTCATCCCGAAAATATAGGTCAGATCCAGCATCCGAAGCAAGTCCAGTAGTGTGCATCCTTAGATGTATCATCCATGCAAGTTTGGTCAATATAGTCCTTAAAGTTACTTGGAAATGAGACCTGCTCTAAAAACTTTAACCTGGTCACTCATCCAGGAAATGTTGGTCAGATACAGCATCCGAAGCAAGTCCAGTAGAGTGCATCCTTAGATGTATCAGCCATGCAAGTTTGGTCAACATAGGGCTTAAAGTTACTTGGAAATGAGACCTGCTCTAAAACCTTTAACCTGGTCATTCATACGGAAAATGTAGGTCAGACCCAGCATCCGAAGCAAGCATGGTAGTGTGCATCCATAGATGTATCATCCATGCAAGTTTGGTCAATATAGGGCTTATAGTAACTTGGAAATGAGACCTGCTCCAAAAACTTTAACCTGCTCTAAGAACTTTAACCTGCTCCAAAAACATTAACCTGGTCATTCTTCAGCTGAAATTGCAGCATCTGAAACCTTGACTGGTACAATGAAACATACTAGAAGCATCCTTCAAGAAGTCTTGAAAATAAAACTACACCAAAAACTTTAACCTGGGACGCTGACGCCCAGGGTATTGCATAAGCTCCCCCAACTTCGTTGAGGTGAGCTAAAAATGTCAACTAATTGCAGCAGAAGTTGTTTTTTGTTCAATCAAATCTAACAAAATAATTGAAGTAAAAAAATCTAAGGAAATTAAATAAAGAGATTTAAAGCATAATTTTGGCATTATTTGGAAAAGGGGGCTTAACTCTGTAAATCCATCTAATGTTTCGATTTAAAAAATATTTTAATCAATCTATTATTCAATCACCTTCCTCTCCTCTGCTATTTCTCTTTCTAATTGATACAGTCATTATTTTTGCCATGCTTTCTCTATTAATGATAACCAAATAAAGAATATAAAGAAAAAGTTCATGAGGATATGATATCTTGTTTATATGGTTATTATGGACAAAATATTGACAAAATAATGTATATGTAAAAGTGCGTTTAGTGAAGTTAAATTTAACATAGTTTAGAGTTTCAGTGAAGATTAATATTTGCTATCCTCAGAATCCATTCATAACTGGTAACTTTAAGATAATTTTGTAATATCAATTGATAAAGTTTCAGGAATATTTCCCCATGCATTTATGATTCTACAGGGGCATATTTGTACTGAACTACCCTGAATCAACCTCATAATAGCATGAACAGAAAAAAAAACTTTTGTAGTAAAAATTTATTTCACTCATTTTCCATGACAAAAAAAACAAAAAAAAGAATAACAGTATTCACAGCTTGTAAGCATGTATAAAATTTGTTTGTATGAAGGAATTCATTTCTTCAAACTGTCAATCTCTTGAAAGTTTAAAATAAACTTTTATCAAGAGCATATCATCGGAAAGAGATGAATTTCTTTATTACAGACATAATAAACATAACAGAATCATAAAAACACACACATAACAATGCATCATGTTTGTGTTAAGGATAAGACATTCATTTCTTTACATCATCAGTTTCTTGAAAGTTAACATAACCTGAATCAAGAATACATCATTAAAAAGAAATAAATTAAGGCTTTCTTTAACTCAAACACAATGAATTTTGATATTCCAAATTAAATGAGAATATCACAGGAGTGTATCACAAAAATGAATTCATTATGAAATTTACTTTTAAAAATTAAACCAATTGATCTGTTTACTAGTAAAATGTTAAATGAGTGTTACAAGTTGCAGAGGATTAAATATCTGTCACTTTAAGATAAAATCATATGTCTGTCTTGAAAGTGATATAGTAAATGTTCAGCCTGGTTGAGGGTCTGTTGTCTCTGGGCACTTGTTTGGTGTTGCAGCATTAGAACTTGGACACCTTTTTCAGTTGGTGTTCTACGTAGTCTAGTTGTTTTCTTGTCAGCTTCACATCCTCTGTGTCCTACAAGTGTATATAATGAACACAAATAATTTCATCTGATTAGAACCATACAGTAAAACTTGATTATAAAATAGCCACTGGGACTTCGAATTTGCTTCTTTATAACCATTCTTTATATCCGTTTTGAACATTGTTATAAACATATAGTGCAATATCCTCTACAGAATTCACAAAAGTTTCTATATAACAGAGATTTCCTTGTAGGCAAGCTCTTTAAACCAAGTTTTACTGTACTGGTATCAATGTCAAATTCAATGTCTCAAATAGGATTTGAACCCAAGCCTCGATCGAGTACACTGCCTGCAATCTTACCAAATAATTTACTGAGAGACCAGTATATTGACTGGTCTGTGAAGCCAGAGTCATATTATTCACCAATTCAAGATAAAATTTTCCTCAGCTCATCACTTTTGAAAAGAATAGTAATGAAAATTTGGAAAAATTTTCAGGCGATCAGTAACTTTGTTTTGCTAAAAATTTACATTTAGGAAGTCCTCAAAGTTTCCATAACCACCAAGATATCCATTTAATCTGCAGGCTAGAGGAGATAAAATCAGTTCCTCGTCTGTCAAGTTCAGGCTGTCCAAAATGTCTCTATGCTGTCTTAGGATGTACTTTTGGTGGTAGCTGTAAACAAGACAGAACAACTGGGTATTACAACTTCTTTATTTTGAATTTTTCCTCAGGAATTGATTAATTTTGTGAGTATCACCAGACATTTAACAAGGATACCAGCTCTCTCATTTATTATTTTGACATTGCAATGAAAATTACATTTAAAAATTCTAGTTCAAGATACACCTCTGGTCACAAAAGAACTATAATCTTCAAATGCTTCTCCGCTTCACAGTTATGGCAAAAACAAGAAGTTTACACTTGTGAAGCCTGTGGCCTTGACCTTGTCACAATTTGATTTAATGATTTTAGGTAAAAAAAAAAATATCATCTATAGTTTCAAGCAACCTTTGTACTAAGTATGAGCTTCTTGTATTTATCTGTTAAAAAGTTGTGAAAAACAATTATTCAATATTTCTGTATCCCGTGACCTTGTCCTGGGTACTGGGCCACGACACACCTTTAATCATAAGCAACCTTTGTTACAAGCATGAACTAATGCTTTTTGTTGTCAATGTTATGCTGGACAAGACTAACACTTCTTATTCCTAATGAATTACAAATAATGTACAATGAAACCTTAAATAAAAACACAAATTAAAAAAAAATTGACAAATCAATTTTAAAATATTAGGTTTAAATTGGTACAGGTATACCAGTATTGATTTAATAGTGTGTGTAAAAATAATGAAATTATGATTTTTATTAATTGATCACAGTAATATGACATAAGAAAACCAATTTCAACATTGGTAACAAATTTCATGAAAAACATTAGATCATAGAAAGTACTTACTTTTCTGCATTATAGAAAGGTCCAGCTTTAGTGATTTTTGTTACAATAGGGGACACATGGTCTTTCTGCTGTTCATCTCTCGTCTGCTCGGCCAACATTTTCTGCTTTGTGTTATGATAAAAGATTGCGGACATATACTGGGTTCCACGCTGAGAGCAAGGATTGTGCCATTTCCAAAACTTATTTAAAAGTTCCTCATAGGAAACAACATCAGGGTCAAATTCCAGGTCCACAGTTTCTGTGTGATCCCCTCTAAGATAAAGTAAAACCAAGGTGTCAATTCATTAAAAAAAAAAGAAAAGAATACAAAAACATTACTAGTACATGTACACATGTACTATTTATCAATGTCATGCATGCACTCTCAAGATATTAAATCAAACTGTAGTAAAACACACTTGGAGCAAACACTCTTACAATGAACTGACATTTACAGGAAAGTGATTTTCATTCCCCATTACTTAAAAATATATTATAAACTTAATGGATATAATGAATTATGCTTATAACGAAGCAGAATCATCTGTCCATGGCAGTTCATTATAAGTGTGTTTTACTGTATAGCTGTACTAATGGGATCCTCAGTGGTACACCCAAAGCATGCATATTTCAACAAGAGGCCCATGGGCCACATCACTCACCTGAGTAACTTTGGCGATGCTGTTCTTTACCAGATTTCCCCCCTTGTAATACCTATTGTGGCCCCGCCGTACCCCCGGGGGTCATGATTTGAACAATTTAGAATCTACACTACCTCAGGATGCTTCCAAATAAGTTTCAGCTTTATTGGTCCAGTGATTCTTGAAAGAAGATTTTTAAAGATTTTTCTTATATAATTCAATGTAAAACTTGGATTCCCTATTGTGTCCCGCCCTACCCCCGGGGGTCATGATTTGAACAATGGATGCTTCCAGTTAAGTTTCAGCTTTTCTGGCCCAGTGGTTCTTGAGAAGAAGATTTTAAAAGATTTTTCCTATATATTTCAATGTAAAACTTGGATTCCCTATTGTGGCTCCGTCCTACCCCGAAGGGTCATGATTTGAACAATTTAGAATCTACACTACCCCAGGATGCTCCCATATAAGTTTCAGCTTCTCTGGCCCAGTGGTTCTTGAGAAGAAGATTTGTAAAGATTTTTCTTATATATTTCAATGTAAAACTTGGATTCCCTATTGTGGCCCCGCCCAACCCTCGGGGGTCATGATTTGAACAATTTATAATCTACACTACCCCAGGATGCTTCCATATAAGTTTCAGCTTTTCTGGCCCAGTTGTTCTTGAGAAGATTTGTAAAGATTTTTCTTATATATTTCAATGTAAAACTTGGATTCCCTATTGTGGCCCGCCCTACCCCCAGGGGTCATGATTTGAACAATTTATAATCTACACTACCCCAGGATGCTTCCACATAAGTTTCAGCTTTTCTGGCCCAGTGGTTCTTGAGAAGAAGATTTGTAAAGATTTTTCTTATATATTTCAATGTAAAACTTGGATTCCCTATTGTGGCCCCGCCCTACCCCCGGGGTCATGATTTGAACAATTTATAATCTACACTACCTCAGGATGCTTCCATATAAGTTTCAGCTTTTCTGGCCCAGTGGTTCTTGGGAAGAAGATTTTTAAAGATTTTTTTCTATATATTTCAATGTAAAACTTGGATTCCCTATTGTGGCCCCGCCCTATCCCCGGGGGTCATGATTTGAACAATTTAGATTCTACACTACCCCAGGATGCTTCCATAAAAGTTTCAGTTTTTCTGGCCCAGTGGTTCTTGAGAAGAAGATTTTTTAAGATTTTTCTTATATATTTCAATGTAAAACTTGGATTCCCTATTGTGGCCCCGCCCTACCCCCGGGGGTCATGATTTGAACAATTTAGAATCTACACTATCCCAGGATGCTTCCATATAAGTTTCAGCTTTTCTGGCCTAGTGGTTCTTGAGAAGAAGATTTTTTAATGACCCCACCCTATTTTTGTCTTTTCTTGATTATCTCCCCTTGTAACGGGACTTGGCCCTTTATTTTAACAATTTACACTCCCCTTCACCCAAGGATACTTTGTACCAAGTTTGGTTAAAATTGGCCCAGTGGTTCTTGAGAAGAAGTTGAAAATGTGAAAAGTTTACAGACGGACGGACAGACGGACGGACGACGGACAATGGGTGATCAGAAAAGCTCACTTGAGCTTTCAGCTCAGGTGAGCTAAAAATGTTATATGATTATGTATAATTAAAACTATGATATATATTACATTACAAAAATTTACTCCGTTATATTTTATGGATCAAGCCTTGATTTTCTGCGAGTGTATTTATAGTTACAAATGTGGCAGTCAGACAAGTTTGATTGCCTGCAGCCAAATAGCTCAGTTGGTAGACCACCTGAATGGAGGAGATTCAGGAGGCCAAGGTTCGAATCCTAGTCTGGTCCAACTCCATTGCCTTTTTCTCCTTTCCTGTTACACATAATTAATATATACTTTCATGTATAAAGTCAAACCTTGTTATCTCAAACTTGATGGGACTAAGAAAAAACTTCGAGATATCTGATTTTTCGAGATATCGGTGGGACTTCCAAATCACTTTGATATATCCATGGTATTTGAGATATTAGTGTTCAAGATACCAAAGCTCAACTGTACTTTCGAAGCCACTAATCATCAATAACCTTTGAGTCAAGATTCCGCAATCTCTGTTAAACATTGTTATGACCTAGACAAAACTTTACTCTTTTGAATCCTTGGCTTAGATTCAAGACTCTGACAAAGATTCTACTATTTTTGTAGTACAAAGGTATGCTGTGGATAGAATTTTACACTTTTGAACCTGTGTCCTTTACCAGTTGACCTAAGTATGGACTAATGACACAACCTCTGATCTAGTAATCTCTGTGGCAATTATGAGCTTCAAATGTTTCTTTCTTACAGAAGCTATGGGCAAGACAGAAATTTTACACTATGAAACCCCGTGACCTTGACCTTGCTCAAATGACCTTGGTTTAGGCACACTCATTAACAATCTTTGTGAGCTTCATTATAAATCTTTATTACAAATTAATTGTCCAGATGAGAAGTGAGAGACAGAAAGCTAGATAAAAAGACAAGGTGATTCAAAAACACCAACTAAATGTTTTAAATTCACAAGAAGAATACTTCTTTTAATACCTTATGATACTTTCAGTGGGAAGAAATTAACAAGTTGTAAAACCAGTTTTTCTGAGGAAAAAACACTTGCCAAATTTATATATAGACAATTGACAAGATGATCAATGTCATGAATGGCCATATCTGACACTGAAAAATACTTGAAAGCTCATCTGTACAGTTGAATATCTGTATCTTGTCATGAATATTGGTATTTCAAATACATGTACCACAGATATGTCAAAGTTAGTTTGAAATCTCAGCTACTTTTTCTTCATGTATTTTAACCTCAGTATCTCAAAATCTTGGATATTTGTTCGTTTATCTTGGGGGGGGGGGGGGTCTTTTTTGTCCCCATCTATTCAATCAAGATATTGGTTTGACTATACTTTGGTTTAGTTTAAAAATTGACGCATCAATTCTTAGGCTAGAACCACAGTAAAGGTCTATAAAAAGTTCAAAGGGAATGTCCAGTCCAAGTTTGATAAGAATTTGTTTTGCATGAGGAGTAAAATTGCTAAATGTCATTAAAAATTTTGTGTTGAGCGGCTTTGATAATCATTTTGAAGTATATATAGCAAGAGTGTTAATGTCAGTTGAAAGTACATTGTAATAGTAGTAAGATTCATCGACCCGCTATTCACAGTAGATACTCATTATAAAAGTTTTGCTTGAAGTCTAAAGATTTTCCAAAAACATCAAATTAAAATGAAAGTCCACAATTTCAACATACCTTGCAGAACAAAAAATGACATAAATTTCTTGTACACTTGGAAATTTATAAAGGAATGCCAAAGAGAGTAGAGAGTTATCTCTCTTATCAGACAGTCAATGAACCTTAAAGATATAACAAGCAGAAATTACTTACATGGTGCGGTAGGTAGGATTTGGAGATGACCCTCCAGTGAACCCCACTTTAGTTCTGATAACACCAGGGACAACGCCAAACTGGGCCTCTGGAAACCAAAATCAGCTGAGGGCAAAAGTTGCCCGTGAAAGTCTTCCAACTTCTGATCCAGGCATGTTTGCACCTTCTTTCAATCTACATTATCAAGGATACAAAGGTAAATGTTACTAAATTTAAAAGGTATAATCAGAGACTCCCTGGTATAATTCAGTGTTGAATAGGCTTACATAAAATTTGATTAGGGGGTGCTAATTATTTTACAGAGAAGGCAGGAGAAAAGAAATTAAGGAAAAGCAGAAATCAATTACCGGGTAAGGGTAAAGAAAGAGTTGAGGATAAAAGATCCAATAGTATTTCTTGTTTGATATATTATAGATAAAATAAATCAAACTATATATCGGAGACAGGGTTCGACATTAACGTTAGTCCGTTAGTCTCAGACTAATACATTTTCATTCGGATAATAAAATCTGTGGCTAATTAGTCCGAACGGACTAATAGAAATTTCTGGAAAAAAAATCAATAAATAACCGATGTTCGATTCTTGACAACTTTCATTGGAAAACCCTGCATGTATTTTTTGCTTTCTAGATTCTTGACAGGAAGTTAGGTAATTCCGAGTCAATTCGGCACTCAATTTTAGGACTGATTGGTATGAAATTAGCCTAAACATTTTAGCAATCTTGATTTAGAATAACACGTAAAAAAAAGATGTTGGACATTTGGATGTAATGTATAGGGAAAAACGAACGAGATCGGGAATACGACCGTAGTTCCTGATCGCGAGATTTCAAAGAATCCTAAAATAAAACATTTCACGTAAATGCTTAGTGTATTTCAAAAAAGTATATAAAAAGTACATTGCAATGTTTTATTTTTAAATTAACCATTACAAAACATTGATTTTTTTTTTTTTGACGGACTCATAAAATCGAGTGCGGACTAGTAAAAGTAAAGAAGCACTAGTCCGGCTGGACTAAAGCCTAAAAATGTTAGTGTCGAACCCTGGGAGACATTATTAACACGTCATTTGTGTCTTGGACCATACACTGTGTGTACAAATGTTTCAAACAATTTTAAAAAATGACAGTTTGCTCGCGTCAAACAAGTTTGTAGGGAAATTCAATTCTTCTTTAATTATCACCTTCAACAGGGCTGAGATGCTTACCTTTTTAAATGCCAGTTGAACTGTTTTGTAACAAGATAAATCGAAAGTACATTCGGAACGTTCTAACATTCGGAATTTAGTTTATATCGTTCAAACGTTTCACGCGAAGAATACTTTTCAATGATTTTCAAGCATGTGAAGGACATTGATTGTGAAATTGACTTCCTCAAATTATTATGGATTTCAAAGATACAGAAAGGTCTTTCTGATGGACATTTCTTTTTTTGAAACTTAAACGTCACTGCGTAAGCAACAGACATGCGGAAGATGCTACCAGGATTCGGAGTCGTGGGAACCCCAAATTCGGTCAGGGCTTATGTCCCACTTTTGAAATCATACGGCTTCAGAGTTGTGGCGTTATGGGGGAGAACGAAAGAAGATGCAGCCAAAGTTGCAGCAGAGCTCAACATTCCATTTCATTCTAGTAATGTTGATGAGGTGGATATATATTTTTTTACAACATACTATACAGTTCTTTTATTTATTTATTTTTTTTTTCTAATAACTTGACACAGTTTGAGATTTTTAACAGTACTGTAACTATGGTAACATATCGTAGAACATTTTTCATTGAAGAAATTTTTTTTTATTGTCAGGTTTTATTGAACAAGGATGTGGACATCATTGCGGTAACATGTGCTCCTCACATGCAAGCCCCTATAGCAGTCAAGGCTCTTGGTATGTTAATTAATTATTAATGCATGGAGCTTTTCTGTCCTTTTTTTAGAGAAAGTCCTGGTGAAGGTAGACAGACACCTCGGCCCAACGACACCTCGGCCCGTCACGTTTGACACGTCGGCCCAAAATTATTGACACCTCGGCCCATACTGAAGACACCTCGGCCCAAGGAATTTTTTTTCAGAATTATTATCTGTATTCACTATGGTAATATAAATATACGTATGTTTATAATGACGATATGTATACGATAAACAGGGGCAGTGAAAAGGCTATGTAACCTGTGTTACTGGTTACAATTGAACATAGGTGAAAGTCAGCACTAAATTCTTGCCATATATGCAGCTGCTGTATCTACTGAGTGGGAGATAGGTCTATTTATTTATTTATTTTGTTGCTTATGAAAATGCAACTTTATTCATTTCATAATGTCAAGAATTCTTTTACTTAAAAATCACTTTGTAGTAGGGGCGTACTGTACACATGTTAACCTCACAGATAGAAATTACATTAACCTGATAGATCTTCGTTGCGTAATATTAGAGCATAATGGGTATATTTCCCTAAACCAACCAAGGTAGATATGTGGTTGTACCCAACAATTGGATTAATTTACCTGCTCGTAATTAACTCCTAATTGTCACCACCCCATATGACACGTGCTTGAGACGCCAAAGGATGCGCCGTGTCTTCTTGTTTGTTTAACGATTAGCACTTTGGGATGCACAGTCTTTTTTTTCTAATTACCGTCAATATTTACTCTCGGAAGATTATTCATTTATTTTCTTTTTTATTTCATGGATATATAATAATATAATCCGTCGCATTTAGTCCCTATAATGATAAAATACTTCAGAATATATTAAATAAATATGTTTGAAATAATACATTTTTGTTTGTGCCGAGGTGTCTTTTACGTGAGCCGAAGTGTCTCAAATCTTGGGCCGACTCGTCGGGGCCGAGGTGTCAAAGGGCCGAGATGTTGTTGGGCCGAGGTGTCGTTGGACCGAGGTGTCTGACATTCCTGGTGAAATATCTTACTGACATTGGTGAACCACACTAATAAACATGATAAAACTTGAGATATTTGAATCAATCGATTGTTTGAATCAGTGGATTGTCACTATAATAATGTAAAAAAAAAATGATGTCCTGAAAATCTTGCAAGATTCAGAGCTTCCTTAACTTTGCAGCAAAAGAATGGCAGTAAGTTAGATACCCGCGAGGTATTCACGATACTAAGTACTGAGAAGCAGGGAAAGCCAACTTACACTCCCATATTAATTCTTTGATAATCCTTTATTGTAACATTATATAAAAGGGCTTAAATAATTTACCTCAGGAGTCCTTATTTTATCAGTGTTTGCATTCAAGTTTAATTTGTTATGTACTTGAATGCATTAATTTTTAATTGTTCATAAAGTGTAATTACTACTTATTATAACCATGCAATGATTTATATTGTAAAATCTGTAATTTTTTTCAGGAATTGGAAAACATGTTATTTGTGGTGCCCCTGCAGGACCAAACCAAGTGGACTCTTTACGCATGGTCAATGCTGCAAAGTATTACCCTCGTTTGATGTCCCTTACTATTTATGGATTGCGGTTTCTTCCGGCCATTGACAAAATGAAACAGCTGATTTTGGATGGCTATGTAGGAGACATAAACATCTGTGAAGTCAAAGTTCACTTTGAAAAAGTTAAGAGGGATCAGTTTGACTGGATGTGTGATGGCACAATGGGAGGCGGTCTTTTGAATGAGATTGGCAGTGACATCATTGATGTGATTGGTTATCTCACAGGGCAAAGAGCAACAAAAGCACACGGCATGCTGAAAACTTACACAAAGCAAACTGAGAAAATAAAGGGCATTCGTGAGATAACAAGTGATGATTTTTGCACTTTTCAGATAGAACTTGATCAGGGGTCCTGTGTGACTGCCACAATCAATGGTCATATTCCAGGACCTTTTCAGCAAGAAATTATGATATTAGGAAACAAAGGTAGACTTATAGCTAAAGGAGCAGATCTGTATGGCCAGAAAAATGACCAATCAAAAGAAACATTGCTGCACTTTGACCCCATCAACTTCAAAGAAGAAGAGAGGTATGGAGTATCTGAAAAAACTCGCACTCTCATCCCAACTCCATACCTAAAGGGCATCATACAGTTTATTGAAGCTGTCAAAGAAGCATTTGACAAAGAAGAAGAGAGACAGAGCTATTGCATAGACCCAGTGAGACCAGCAGCAAATTTTGAGGATGCCCTGTATGTACAATCTGTGGTAGAAGCCATTCGCAAGTCCAGTAAAACTAAGCAATGGGTCAAGGTGGAGGTTTTGGAGGAGGAACCTGATCCTAACTCATTTATGTCACCTTCAATGAGACGCAGTGCTTACTCAGTCCAGTGAGCAAGTACCTATTTACTACACAAAAAAAACTAAATATAGCTCAGGGTTAACAAGTAGCTTTAATACAAGGCAGTTATGATGAGTCAAAAGCAATCATAATTCATTATTATTTGTCATGCATTAATTGCATATGAATCTGATGATCATTTTTTATATCATTTTATTAGTTTTAAGTTTACTTTTTAAAAAAAATGAGTCTGGAAAATTCATACTAAGTCCCAATACTGTAAAATCCCTTATTTTCGTGGGGTCAAATTTTTGTTGTTCAAAGAAAAAAAATATTGTTTTGAGGGGATTTGATTTCGTGGTTATAGAATAAACATAATACTGTAACAGTAGTTTGAAATTTTAACATTTTGTGGAGGATGTGAAAACGTGGGTCTCTTAATACTACAAAAACAATGAAAATACCCCCCCCCCCCCCTGAAAATTAGTGATTTCACAGTATTAATTCTATTATTAAAGAATAGTACAATGTGTTTGTAGTAAATACATTTGAAATTAATATACAAGTTTAACTAAGTCATATTTTATCATGAATAGTGAAATATAATGAAATTGTAACTAGATTTAACAAAGTGGATATAGTGTCTGAGTTATTTTATCATTGAGTAGTTGATATATAAACAATGATCATTTGGAATTGTAACTAGAATTAATAAATTGGATATAGTGAGCAATATTGGCTGTCCATGTCAGTTCATTGAATCAGATAACCCCAGTTAGACAATGATGAGATATTTGCTAGTTACCCCCATCCACCCTGCCTCTGTAAGAAATTTTCATGTTTTTTTCAACATACTTGCAAGTCCAATCCTATATGTTAAATCTTTAGGATGTTAATTTTGTCTCAAACATAATTTTCTTGTCAATTAAAAAAAAAATTAAGTTTTAATTGAGGTATATAACCATAATCTGATGCATAGATACCATACCATGATACACATTTTAATGGGACTTTAATGTAGCATTTTGTGTTAATGTATTTTGTTGAGTATATCACCTTGCTTACGTGTACAATCATTATGAATGTTAATATATTCACTGGTATGTCCTAAGGAGATGTAATGCAGCATTATTTTCAAACATTTACTCTTTTCAAAGCAGCTTGGATATATATTTTGTTGTAAAATAGATACTGGTCTAGCAAATGGCACCATTCGTCCTCAGTATGTACATGTACACATATGATATTGTGTTGTCTAGTCAGCACTGTGATACACAATTTTTTTGTGAATTCATTTTTTTTGTATTTTCAATTATTATTTAAATACATATTCATCATATATATCTACAAATTAGTGCACTTATTTACCAAAAATATTTATTTCTAGTATTCTCTTTCCTTTGAAAGATAAAAATGACTCTACACTTTTGTGTTATATACTGTATACAGGGCTATTTTTCAATGTTTTGCCCCATGTTATTTTTGTCCTATCACACATGCAAACAAAAGTTGCATTAAAGGAGAGATAACTCTGTCTCTGTTGATTTTGCCTCAGTTTGAGTTTGCCTATTTAGGACAAGGGGCAAAAATTTCCCTGTATGCAGTATATGCAAGGAAAATGTATTTTTAAGTCACAAAGCACTGCCAATCGCTTCATTTCTGTCCGTGACATGATATTACTCGGATCATATTTTATTTTGGTTACTCTGTACATTCTATTGACAATATTATGACTATCCTTTTTGCACAGATTCATGGTTTCACTGGTTAAAACATGTTTATACAATCTTTGATTTATTGAAAAATATTTTTGGATATAAAATTATCCCTGCAAAAAGCTTATAAATACTGTAGATTCCTAAATATACGCGAGGAATAAATTATCGCGTAATTACGCGAGAAGCACCGCTCGCGAAATAAAATTACTCACTTTTATTTTTATGGTGCTTTAATGTATGTAAAATCTCTAGATAAATCAACCATTCGCGAATTATTATTCTCACAATTTGACACCCTTGGGTCATTTCGCGATAATAAGTACTCGCGTAAAATAAGGAATCTACAGTATTAGAAGCTTGTATTTTTATCTAGGCTTGTACAGGCAGTATTTGCCTTCCTGTCTGTTTTGGCAACTTTTCTTTATCTAAATTTAATAAGTTTATCATTAGGTGATGACAATGCATTGTCCATGGAGAATGTGATTTGTGTAGTTTTGATTTTTTTTTCTGTCCAAATTCTGAATGATTTATATTAGCTGTGTAAGCGATACTGAATCTTCTGTGTGCAAACTTATTTTTGCTGTTTTCACAACAACAAAAAACTGTGAAAATAGGCTGTAAGTGATAAATAATCAGTGAAAGGGAGAGAAATCAGTTACTTCACAAAGAAAACAACTGAAATCAGATCTGATTTTGCATGTATTTAATGATTGATTCACAAGGAATTAAAATTTTATGTTTATTTAAGCAAATGGAAGTAGAGAAGCAAAAATAGAACCTGATCTATCAGTATGCTTTTAGCTCACCTGCAATCTGATTAAAATACAGATCTCTACAGCAGCAAAAATGCAGAGAAATCCTGTAGAGATCTGTATTTGAATCAGATTGATTCACCCTAGTCAAAAGTGAGCTTTTCTGATCAAAAGGTGTCCAGCATCCATGTGTCTGTAAACTTTTTATGTTTTTGACTTCTTCTCCATAACCACTGGGTCAATTTCAAGCAAACTCCTATTGACCATGGGTGAAAGGGGGTTCAAAATTGTTCAGATCAAGAGTAATGCCTTCTTTAAAAGGGAGATGGATAAGAAGTAGTAAAAATTAAGTGGCATATTCTACTAAAAATTTTCTTCTCAAGAACATCTTCCTTACATAGTGTAGATTCAAGCAGGGTTCTTATTAATCAGGTTAATGCAAGAATGTGTGCAATGGATGCAGAAAAATAATTTGGGATGTAACTTTGTTCAAAACTTTGCGCACCTGCAGACTTCTTAGTGGGTGTTTCCTCATTATTAAGAAAAACATATCTGATGGTCATCTTCAATGAATATCATAAAAAATTAAAATATGAATGTTCCATTTTAATAAACACCTTTTCTTGTACCTATTCCTATATTTTCTTGTACCTCTTCCTATATTCTATAGCTAGAATTTGACGTCAAATTTTACATAATGCATTTATGTATTATATATACAGGGAAAAAAAAAAGATCTCCATGGAGAACAGCAGGGCTGTGTTAGTCATATTGATTTTGAAGCATCCCAGTGTTGTGCTTCAAATTGGGTTAAATCATAGCCCCTTGAGGCTATGTTAATTGGGGCCTCAATGTAGAGTAAAAACTTTTCGTGAGAATAAGAGGGGGGGGGGGATCTTTTAAAAAATCCTCTGAATAACAGCAGGGCCAAAGTGACTCAGGTGAGCATTGGAGATGGACGCATAGGGTGTCGAAGTTGTCAGCATCTATTTATTATATACATGTATATTAAAGACTTTGATGTTTTTCAGCATACATGTTACTTTTTTTTTTAAATGTGTATACAATGTTTTAATGTATAGCTTTTCTGGGAAAATAGATTCCGGGAATGACACAAGAACTTATAAAATGCCACTTAATAAGTTAATATTACTATAAATGTGCTATGACATATACTGTATCACTCTTATGCACCCGTGACTTGTTTTTTAAGTAATTGGATATATTATACGGAAATGTATAATTTTTTTTGTAGAATATCATATTTCATTAAAGCTGAAATAAAACTATGTGAGAAAAGCAGAAAAGAAATGTTATAGAATCTCAATTCTGAACAAACTGTTAACACTGTAGCATAATTCTTCACTGAACAATCATATGATAAAACTTTTAAGATTTATGTATGGAAAATAAACTTTCAGATGGCAATAACTGTATCAAATCTTTATTTTTGGTTCACTGTTGACAAAGTCGGGGGTCACTTTTGGGGTGCTGCACCACGGCATTGACATTGTTATCAGAGTCCCAGAAGTGTATATGGAGCAGGCAGGTCAATCAACAGGTAAAACTACCCAGTATGTACATTTGTAAGGCAGCCCTATGGGGATCAAACGTGCATGCACTGGGATTCTATAATGCATTTTACAGATTTTGCATTAAATGCTGCATTTGAAGGAGGAGGATCATATCTTGGTACTTGTATTGTCTTACTTTGTAGTTCACTTCCATGGATAGTGCATCAAGAGATGATGCTTTTAAATACGTAGTTGTTATAAAACTGAAAATTGGAGTGGAATAGATTAAAAATCTTCTCAAGAACCACCTACTCAGAAAAGAAAACTAGTAGTTTTTATTCGAAAAACAAGAGGCTCATGGGCCACAACACTCACCTGAGTAACTATGGCTCTTCTGTTCTCTATCAGCGGACTTTTTCCCAATATATTCTTATGTGAAGTTAAGATAATATATTGTGGCCCCACCCTACCCACTACCTCACCCTACCTCTAGGTGTCATGATTTGAACAAACTTGAATCTGAACATACTTTTATACATATATGATAAACATGGTTTTGTGGTTCTTAGGAAGAAGATTTAAAAGATTTAACGTATATTCTAATGTAAAACTTAGATTGGCCATTGTGACCAGTTCCTACCCCTGTGAGTCATGATTTGAACAAATTAGAATCTACACTACCTGAAAATGCTTCACTATAAATACAAGGAATGAATGTTTTGCTGTTCTTGAGAAGAAGAATTTTAAAGATTTTTCTTAGGTATTTCTATGAAAAACTTTGAATGCCCATAGTGGTCCCACCCTACCCCAGGGGTCGTGATTTAGATAAACTTGAATCTACACTCCTTGAGGATGCTTCCATCTAAATATGACTAATCATGGCCTTGCTGTTCTTGAGAAGAAGAATTTTAAAGATTTTTCCCATGTATTCCTATGTAAAACTTTGATTGCCCATAGTGGCCCCACCCTACCCCCAGGGATCATGATTTGAAAAAAAAAAAACTGAATCTACACTACCTGAAGAAGCGTCCATATAAATTTGATTAATCATGACCTTGCTGTTCTTGAGAAGAAGAATTTTAAAGATTTTTTCTAAGTATTCCTTTGTAAAACTTCGAACAGCCAAAGTGGCCCTACCCTATGCCCAGGGGTCATGATTTGAACAAACTTGTATCTACACTACCCCAGAAAGCTTTCACATAAGTTTCATCTTTTCTGGCCCAGTGGTTCTTGAGAAGATTTTTAAATTACCCCACTTATTTTTCACTATTTCTTAATTACCTCCCTTGGAAGAGGGCATGACCCTTTATTGAACATTCATCAAACTTGAATCCCCTTTACCCAGGGATACTTTGTGCCAAGTTTGGTTGAAATTGGCCAAGTGGTTCTGGAGCAAAAGATGAAAATGTGAAAAGTTTACAAAGACAATGACAGACAACAGACAAATTTTGATCACTTTGATCCTTTGGCTCAGGTGAACTAACAAGGTATAGTTACAGCCAAATGTGGCCCATTATTTGATATAAAAATCAAACCACAGTTAAAATTGTGATAGTACATGTTTGCAGTTAAAATTTTTAAATAAAAATGTTTTAAAATCAGCACTAAATTTGATTCAAAGCATACACAGAGGCCACAAGAGGGTGCTAAAGTAAGACATTTTACAGAATTTCCTCAATTCTGATGGAGTTTTGTCAAATTTGAGATACTTTTCACTTCGGGAAATATAGAGCACAAGCTTGCCTGAGATTTTTAGCTCACCTCAACGAAGAGGATGCTTCTTGCGTGTTTCATTGTACCAATCAAGGTTTCAGATGATGCAATTTCAGCTAAAGAATGACCAGGTTAATGTTTTTGGAGCAGGTTAAAGTTTTTGGAGCAGGTTAAAGTTTTTGGAGCAGATCTTGTTTCCAAGTAACTATAAGTCCTATGTTGACCAAACTTGCATGGATGATACATCTAAGGATGCACATTACTGGACTTGCTTTGGATGCTGGATCTGACCTACATTTTCCGGATGAGTGACCATGCAGGTTAAAGTTTTTGGAGCAGGTCCATTGCCAAGAAACTATAAGGCCTATCTTAACCAAATTTGCAAGGATGATGCATCAAGGGACGAACACTCTCAAACTTGCTTCAGATGCTGGATTTGACTTGCATTTTCTGGATGAGTGACTAGTTTAAAGTTTTTAGATAAGTCCATTCCCAAGTAACTGTAAGCCCTATCAGACCAAAATTGCATAAATCTAGGGATGCACACTACTAGATTATTAGTTTAGTGTGGGACTTAACCTTACTTAAAGACAACATTCCTTGAGGTGAGCTCTGTAATCTCTGATTACCTATGTTTATACACAAGATGCATCTGATACTTGTGCATGACATATTTAAATTTGTTAGATAGGCAAGCTTGTGCTCTGTTGTCTGAAACAAAATGGGCTTTAAAATTGATGAAAATTTGCATAAAAATGAGAAAATTCTGAAATTGGCATATGTGTGACCCTTGTGTATCCCCCAACTTAAAATCAATACTCACTTTGTATTGGAGATGACCACAGGTTTTTAATGAAGAACTATTGTAATTTTCTTAGAGATACCCAAATCCAGGGGCCAAAAAGGGGTTTAAGCCTGTCTTTCCTTTGTTCAAATCATAGTCAGTTTTACATGGGAATGTATAAGATCTTTAAAAAAAAACACCCATATTTAGTCAACATAATGATATACAAGCATCCTCACAGATTCAATGTGTTCAAGAGCCTTAGACAAAGGTGGAGCCACAAGGGTCAGAAGGAGAGTTATCACGGCATTGCCAGGAAAGGAGTCAAAATTTAGCAAGGGAATATGTTTCTTCTCAAGAGCAGCTGGGTTACAATAACCTGGTATTCATTTTAAAATATACCCTGTAGTATTATGTTGTGTATTCAAAATTGTTCAAATCATAGCCCCCAGGTTCAGGGTGGGCCAAAGTAACAAGAATGTTCAATAAACTTCCACAGGAACAACAAGACTACAATTTCTAACCTTGACCTCAAACTTATTCTAAAATTAATATTGTTGAAACCATTAACTTTTAATTGATGGCTGTAATAAAAGGTTTCATTCTTCATCTGTAACTCAGGAGAGTCCTAGCCCATGCGTCTCTTTTCCTTGAAATAATTTAGATTGATCTCTCCTCTCACATTCGTAAGAGACAGTTCCCTTGAGATCCCCTTGTATTAGATAATACTTAATATGCTAACAATCATCCTACATTTAAATTTACTCCATGATCATTCCTTTTCCAGCTCAAAGAGCAAGACAAGTAATTTTTATTAGGTATTTTATTAATTTCAGTGGTGCAATAAGGACATATTTAATACAGGATTTCAACAATACTGTTTACAAACTGAAAGCCTAAATATTCTACACAAACACATACATTTTTTTTTATTTTGAAAGCATTTATACATTTTGTCTTATATCATTTGTGTGAAGAAGCCAACGAATACTTAAACTACACTTTCTCAAGTTAAATTCAAGAGCTTGAAAGATTTTCTTGTACACTACAACCAAATTACTAAATGTAGAAATACTACTTTTAAGGAAGCTCTAAACACTAATGAAAAATGCTTTTTGGGCTTTGAGAAAAATATATCATATAAAAGTGCACATACTCAGTGTATCTAGTTCATTTTCAACATAGGGTGCCTGCTTTATTTCTGCAGAAAAAATGTTCAATGACAATGAACTATTTGTGAACAGAAATCACTGTTGTTTACTTGCATTGGGAAAATTAATGGAAATAATGTATTTAATTACTTAATCTTGGTCTAACATAACATTAAGAATAACTTTAATTCATAAGAAATTGTGTCATTAACTGTAGATAGCCATTTATACTATTTTTTCTTCTAAGGGCAGATCACTCTACCTCAATAAAACTACCCTACAAATAGCGTGCAGTGTTTAGAGCTTCCTTAACTGAAGAATATCTACAACCAACGTACATTGGAATAAAAGGTTCAAACTGCTAAAATCAGTCCATTTATCAAGTTATTACTAAAAGTTTTCTCCAGAGAACTATCAAACTTAAGTATACAACCCAATCTGTTTTCAGCAATTTCTTGAATTGTTAAAGTTGACTTAATGAATGTCTAATTAAAAATAAAAACAACTCATTCATCTTTGATCTTCACATCATTTTTTAGTTTACTTTTATACACTGAATTGACAACACAAAAAAAAAACAATTACTGGTACACTTATTCATCTCAGTAACTGTCCATATTTTTATATAATTTCACGCTTATAACATGTCCCATCCTCTGACTTTATGAAAAATTTAAATAAATAAAACATCAATAGATTTTTTAGCTTGCTAGAAAGTTATACATCATGGTAAATCAATGAGTTTCAAAGTTTTTTTTTTTTTTCAATTACATGTACTACAAAACCTACTACTAGTAAAAGGCAAATCTAATAAGCATCCTCTTTTCCAATACAGTCAAACCTTGATGGGAAAAAATCAATATCAGAGGGGTCAAGATAAAGAAATTAAAATACATAAAGTGCTGGGATTTCCAACTCACTCTGACATATATCCTGTTCGGGATATTGAAGTTCAACTGTATTTTTCATGCTCTTGTGGCTTACTTGAACGCTTAACAGTACATTTATAAATATTCCTGAAAATGTCCTATAAACAACACAGTATTTAATTTGTATCATCTGAATATTTCAAACTGCACCAATTTCTTGCACCTGGAACTTATGTTCAATAAATCTATCCCTAAAGGAGGTAAAAATTCCATACAAAAAAAAAATCTTTCACAACAAAACTTAATTCCAAATCTTTGAATGTAAATGATAAGGGTTTAGAAACATTTACATGCAATGGTTTCTCTATCAGATTTGTGTAGATACTTGTAGGCTGGTTACATTTGTATTGACTCCTTTACTAATAGATGTATGCAGTGCTAGGACAGTAATTAGCAAATTGTATAGCTGAAACACAAGTTTCACATCATTATTTAATACAATCATCTGATTCATTTAAAAAGTGAATCATTTTATTTTTTCAGGCAAAAAAAAGCATAAAAAAGGTTGTACACTCAAAAAAAAATAAGATCCACAAAAAAGTGGAGCTCTTGACTTATTAAATGCATATTAATAGAAAACTGCATAAACACACTTTTATACATCGATGGCCACGGACAGAAAAAAAAACATACTTCTTGCAATAATTTTCATTTATACTTGTTAAACATGCCCCAGGAATCTTCATTCATATCTAGTATTAAGAAATTTTTCATGCTGCATAATTGTAGACTGCTAGCCTGAAGATTTCATGCATAATGAAAAAAGCTCCCCCAGCCTCTGGACGAAGCTGAAAGACATGAGAAAATCCTAATGGTTTGTCTTGATCTGCCTGTAAAAGACAATATATTTATTAGAGTAGAAAAAGACACAAAAATTACAGAATTTTTTGTTAGTTTATTTACAGGAAAAAGTAACTGTTCATTCTAGTTTCTTTTTTTTAAAGTGAGACAATGAAATTTGGCAACTATAGTTAGATGTACCATGTTGATTATTATGGTATCATATGGTACCATGGTCAGTGACTTTGCATGAGAACTATGACGCTTCAGTAACCATTTCATGATTATTTCTTATTCTTAAATAACAAATTTTGGTCATGTTGGTTCTGAAATATTTTTTTTTGTTTGTTTTTTTAATCAGAATAGAAATTTTACTTTATATTTTGAAACTGATAAAAAAAAAAACCAAATTTATTGGAAATTCATGACTACTAAATTAAAGATTAATGCATTGCAGCTGCTTTTAATGTCCTGTACTTTTCTTTTCATATACATATATTCTTAAATACCCCCACCTTTGTGCCAATAGTCTATTAAGAACTACAATTTTCCTATAACAGAGCTATAGCCTCAATGTTAGGACTTGAAATAAAGCTATCAATATGTGTAACTATACAGATTGCAGATAACATCAATGGATCGTCAAAGCTTCATATTCAAATGATTTATATTGTCTAAACATTTCAATCACTTCAAAATATCAATAATTTTATCAAACATACCTGTAATTGTCCTAAGATCATAATTAAAACTCCCCCATCCAAAGTTGGTTGACAGTCTGTTTTGGTTATCACATGTTGTACTTGCTGGAAAGGTAAGCTCTGGGGGAAAGGAAAAACAAAAAACATTTATTTTCAAATAAATTTGCAAGGAAGAACCATATACATGTACTCTCAATCTGTAGTGTTCACCAAAAGCAAACATAGGTAATCAAAGATTACGAAGCTCACCTCGACGAATGTTATCTTAAAGTAAGGCAAATTTTACATCATATTCTTTTTTTAGTTAGTGTACATCCCAAGATCAATATCCATGCAAGTGTGGTTAAAGTACGACTTATAATTACTTGGAAATAGACCTGTTCAAAAACGTTTATCCCAGGGTTGGCAAAAAGCTGGGAAATACTCCTATTTCCCAGGACGGTGGGAAATACTGGTAATTACCGGGAATTACTGGTATTTCCCAGGAAATACTGGGAAATAAGAAATAGGTACATATTTTATTCATATTGACATGTAGTACACCTTATTGGCTAAGATATCTACCTGGTATCACTGTTCCCGATTTAAAAAATTCTGGTTTCCAAGTAATTCATTTTATATACATGTAATCATAACACAGTATATTCATATACCAATCATGAGTGCTTGAGTCAGATGTAGTCTATGCAGGTCCATGAAATGAACACAAAGATCCCAATTGGGTTTTTACGTAACTAAAGAAAGATCTAAGAAAATTCTTAAATGTAGCGTATGGTATGAATATCAAATCTAAGAAGAAGCCTTTAGTTTTACTCAAGGTAATTATCTCTCAAAACAGGAGCACAAAACTGTCCAGAGCAATTTGTTAAAACAACATGATTGTTTGTAATAACTACAGTGTTTATAGAAGGATGAAAACAAGTTGTTTTTTTTTGTTCTTGGATTTATAATTAATAAACTAAATAATTTTACAAAACTGAAAAGAAACTTGAATTGAAAAACTTAAGTTTTTGTACAGCCAGGGAAATGTTTCAGAATGCTTTTGGGTATGGGACCTGGAGTATGTGATACATTCTGAATATGTTATATAGCAATTTGAGACATATTCCATATTATTCATCTTCTGTTTTTATGTTTATTTTATTTTTTAAATTTTGTATAAGATTGAATGAATTAGAGAAATAAAAAACTCTAATAACTTAGTATTTCCCAGTATTTCCCAATATTTACCAGTTTAGAGAAAATTTGTAGCATTTCCCAGGACGGGAAATACCGGTATTTACCACTGGTAATTCCCACCACTGGTATTTCCCGGCCAACCCTGGAACTTTATCCTGTTTACTTATCAAGAAAATTTTGGTCAGTTCCAACATCCAAAGTATGTCTGGAAGTTTTCATCCTTAGATGCACCATCAATGCAAGTTTAATCATAACAGGCCATAATGTAAAATAGCTACTCCAAAAAAATTATCCTGGTCACTCATCTGGAAAATGTAGGTCAGATTCAGAATCCAAAGCAAGTCTGGAAGTGACCATCTCTAGCTACATCATCCAAGGTAATTTGGTTAAAATATGGCTAAAATTCACTCTTGTAGAAAAATCTAGATCGAATCCAGCATCCGAAGCATGTTGGTTAGCGTACATCCCTAGATGCATCATCCATGCAAGTTTGGTCAAGGTAAGGCTTATAGTTACTTGGGAATGGACCTGCTCCAAAAACTTTAACCTGATCACTCATCTGGAAAATCTAGGTCAGATCCAGCATCCAAAGCAAGTGTGGTAGTGTCCATCCCTAGATGCATCATCCATGCAAGTTTGGTCCAGGTAGGGCTAATAGTTACTTGGGTATGGACCTGCTCCAAAAACTTTAACCTGGTCACTTATCTGGAAAATCTAGGTCAGATCCAGCATCCGAAGCAAGTGTGATAGTGTCCATCCCTAGATGCATCATCCATGCAAGTTTGGTCCAGGTAGGGCTTATAGTTACTTGGGAATGGACCTGCTCCAAAAACTTTAATCTGGTTACTCATCTGAAAAATCTAGGTCAGATCCAGCATCCGAAGCAAGTGTGGTAGTGTCCATCCCTAGATGCATCATCCATGCAAGTTTGGTCCAGGTAGGGCTTATAGTTACTTGGGAATGGACTTGCTCCTAAAACTTTAACCGTGACGCCGACGCTAATGCCGATGCCGGGGGTATAGCATAAGCTCATCTCGACTTCGTTGAGGCGAGCTAAAAATTAAACTTAGCTTTTCCTAACTTGCTATTTATGACTAAAACTCGTGGACAAAATATTCTCCACCCAAATGGCAAGCAAATACGAAAAACAAGCCAATAAGAATTGCCAGAAAGGAACAATTTTCATTTGTTATTAAGGTAATTAGTTATATCTGTTAAAATCATACATTTTATAAAGGCACCTTAAAAGTTTGCATTGCATCTGAGCATTTACTGGAGTCAGTATGGTGGAAAAAAGTTGGGGTGCATTCATTTGCTTATGTAATGCAATTAAATCTGATAGGGTGGGTGACATGGAGAAGACTACCTGAACATTTCTTTAATTTATTCATATTTTAAAAATTCACTTTCAATTTTCACAAAATCAAATAATATATTTCTTGGAAAGGTGAAAAGCCAGGTGAACCTACCATTACCTTGGAAACCTGTGTCACAGGACATTCATTCTCATGTAAATTCCTCAGATGCAATCAAAATAATGTTGACTTCTTATACAGATATGATTCATGCAGTTTTTAATGTTTAATAAAAATAATTCATAAAGAGTTAGGTTCACTTTATGCATAAAATGGCCCTGTAGATATACCAATTTATTGACTAACACTTTATGTTCCATTTTAAACATCAAGATATAGTAGAGACTTAGTGCTTTCATTTCCTATTAAAAATTTTCTCCTTAAAGCCAAGGTCTTGGAATACAGGCCCCATGGAATTGCAATGTTCTTGAATATTAAGGAAAACAAGTATTTGAGTACTTTCACAGAAGAGAAATAATATAAGCGCACCCTCTGATCTAAAAAATAAAACATGTTTTGTAATCCTCAGAAATTTTTCTATCATTTAATAGTTGCATATTTTAGATCAGAGGTTGCGCTCTATATTAAATATCGAAAAATAACTTTAAAAATTGGCTGTTTTTGTAGAATTTTTCAGGATATGAGGAAAATGATGCATTTCATGATGTCATAATGCATTGGCTAGCCAGAAAATTACGTCATTTTTGATAGATACGCAGTCATCAAAGGTCTAAATGATATTTAATGCATTTTCAACTAAAGCCAAGCAGTTTCAGTTTTTCTGAAATTCACAGGGCCAAAAAAGGCCCTAAGTGAACCTTGTTCTTTTCAATGACTTTAAATTTCAATCTACTGAACATCTCAGATTTCAATGTGGATCAATAAAGCATTCATTGTCAGTGGTCCAAACTGATCCCTAAATTTCAACTCTTCACTGCAAACCTAGTGCAGATCACAATGCTACTGGTTACCATGTGATCAATGAAATTAAATTAGGCCTTTGTATTATTTTTGTTCATTGTCTTGTTGTGTGAATGATTAGATATATTAAGGAGGAATGCCATACCAAAATTTTATTTACCATAAGTTTTGGGGTATATGTCGATGGGGTGTATAGGTCGAAAGGCTCATTTTCAGCCGTAATTTTTAAAAAATCCTTAGATAAGACGATTCGGAAGAAAGGACGAGGCTTTGTTTATCGATTTCTAGAGATTCTTACGTAGATACTACGTATCAGAACATGTAAACCTCTTTAACGTAACCCGTGATATTAACGTATTGAGAAAATAAACCATTATTTTTATGAGTACAGTATTTTAATAGTGTTTTATACAAACGTAGTTAAAACTTCCTTGAATTGTGATATAACGTATTTTCTCCAATTTGCCTGTTCAATGCCGTCGTAGTTTGACTCTGTCGTTAAACACATAAATACGGTAGTATGAAACAGCTATAATTAGGGAAATACCCGAAATCAAACAATAATCATTTCCATTTTAGAACATCGTGGACACATTCTTTTATTCCAACATTATTTACCGGGGTAAAAAATTAACTTCGATGACCGCCATTTTTATATTTTCTTGTCCAGGGATTTGCTAAAACACGCAAATGACTATTACATGTAACAGTGCGCAAATGAAATTAATCATATTAACATGCTATAATTTTGTAAAAATAAATTTAATTGAGAGTACATTCGCAATTTAACAGTCATCAAGAATTTCACAGTTTTGTTTGTTCAATTATGTAGAGCACTAATACCCCTGTAACGGCACGTGGATCTGTTAATCATGCCCCGCAGGTGTTTTAACCAACACAGGTGTTAACACCTTTGTGTACACAGTGTATATCCCTTTATCTGTCAGACAATTAAAATTCTATTAGAAGCCAATCTTTGTATAATTCAGTGTACCCCTTGAATACGAGGAAGCTTTCAATTCTGTCATTTAAAAAAAAAATATTTATTTTGTAAAACATAAAAAAAAAAAAAAAACCAAACTGTGAATAAAAAATAACGTATCGTGAATAAATGAATTTATAACTTCCAAAAACATATAATAGTGTATTCAAGATAAGTTCGTTTTATTATAATTAATTAAGATATAAAACAAAATAGTTATTCGAGCGGTATATTTGGTAAATAAATTTAGGAATTTACTGGCAACAATTTACTTCACGCATTTTACATTTAAATGAATATCACAAGACAATGAACAAATATTTAGGCATACTATTTCAATTAATCGTTACAAATAAATGGTAAAAAAAGATTACAATTGCGATTGTGAAAACTCTTCCGTATTTTAAATTTTGATACGGCTGCGGTTTTCTTTTTAGTAAATGATTGCGACTTCCAACTTCACAAGATGGACACAGCATGTTGTAAATATACTTTGAGACATTAATTACTAGATGATATACCAGCAATAAGTTTTTTTTGTACATCGACGGATATTTAATGGACCTTATTTTGTAAGAAATCAATGGAATAAATATTTAATTCTTTATTGTTTATTATTTTTTTCTCGGTAAAATATTTTTTTAAGATACCAAAATGGCACAGATTTGCTTTAAAATTGACGTAAATTTACTGATTTGGAGGCATTTTTCGTAAACTTGAGCATTAGATAGGTCGATTCGTTAAATAGGACGACCCCAGCGGTTCTGAGAAAAAAAGTATCGTCTTATCTTCCAAAACTTATGGTAGAAGGTCTTTAAGAATTCTTTTTTAAACTATGGTTTCAGCAATGAAAGACCAATATTAGCTTTTAATTATTTTATACGAATTTTTTTGCATTTTTTCAGAGAAAGTGAAAAAAATGTTTTATTTGCAGATAAGATGCTTAATGTTTTAAAATTTGCTACTAATAAATGCATAATATGAATGTTTAATAAAATATGTTAATAAAAGCTGGATAGACATTTTAATTTTTTAAATAAAAAATAATTTATGAAAATAAAACACATAATTTGTGAATATTTTTTAAATCTATGGTTAAAATCTTAATAAAACTAGTCACAACTAGGGAGAATATGTTAGTCAATCATATTTTAAAAAGAAATTGAAATGAAATTGAGAAATTGTAGGGAAAATAATTATTTTAATATTTTGACCAATCCCGATCAAAATTAATCTGATCCCGATCAAAATTAACACAAAATAAATAAAATAATAATTCACTTGCTTCTTTTTGTATTCACCACTGAGAAATCTATTTGATTATCAAGTTCAATTACTTTTTAACCTGTATTACACCTAAACAAACTAGTATTCTTGTAAAAATGCTATCTATTTCCAATTATTACATAATTCTGGTTGGGATCAGTTTAATTTTGATCGGGATTGGCCAAAATCAAAAAAATTATTTCTTCTAAAATTTCGCAATTTTATTTCAATTTCTTGTTAAAATATGATTGCCTAAGATATTCTCCCTAGTTGTGACTAGTATTATGAAGATTTTAACCATAGATTTAAAAAATATTTACAAATTATGTATTTTATTTTCATAAATTATTTTTTATTTAAAAAATTAAAATGTCTATCCAGCCTTTATTATCATATTTTATTAGACATTCATATCATGCATTTATTAACAGGAAATTTTTAACCCTAAAGCATCTTATTAGCAAATAAAACATTTTTTTCATTTTCTATGAAAAATAGGAAAAAAATTCTTATTAAATAATTGAGAGCTAACATTGACCTTTTAATGCTGAAACCACTACTTATCAGGGATGTCTTAAAGGTCTATAAAATACATTTTTGGTGTGGCATTCCTCCTTAAGGTGACCTTTAGTTTAAGCAATCAGATGATAGTAAATAGCATACTTGCATTTATAGTGTGTTTTGAATGGCTTATCATCAATGAAAATATAAATTACTGTACATGTACATAAATTGGCGTATTCAAAATTTAGCGCAATCACTGGGTATGGAGTTGTTGGCAAAATCATGAATTAGTGCTATACATGTCCGTACCGTATATTCTATTTATAAATGGTTTCTTGACAGTATTCATGAATTAGTGCATTGTTGTCTGTGCAAAAGCCGCTAAAATATGAAGCCCACTTTTTTAAGAACACATACAATATATTCTCAATTCTGGCCCAACTCTGATATGACCCTCAATGATTCGGTCTTCCTCGTGACATATCAATAAACAGGAAGTTAGTAGTACAGTATTTTACTGCCTTGGGCTACCTGTCATTACCTTAATTTTTTCACAAATTGCTTCTTTGCCTTGTTTTTGATCATCTTCAAATATCATTAAAGCTTCAGGCTGAAATGAAATCAAATGACATTTAAGACACTAGAACTCAAACTTTAAAAGGATAAATATATATATATATATATATATATATATATATATATATATATATATATATATATATATATATTGATGCACCTATAAACTAGTGGTAAACTAAAATCTACATAGAATATACGAAGAATAAAATTTGGCAATCATAGCGCACGCAGCGAGCGAGCTCTTACTACAAGCCTGGAAGAAGAGAAAATTCAGACTGTATAATTGATTCAAATGAATTTTTTCTGCTGTTACCTTGAGACCCATGATGCAGTGTGATTGCATCTGGCTGGTAACTTCATTAATTAATAATTTAAATTCACGAAAAAATAAACTCACTTTAATTTAATGGATATTGCTTATACAGATAGTAGATTAAACATTCTTTGTCAAAAATTGCACTTTTCAGACTTCGTTATGGAAATACAGCTAACATACGACATCATGTGACCTCACAGTCTAGACGTTCCAAATGTCTCATGCGGTTTGATGCAGATCTCAAGGCGGATCTTATCCAGTATATATACACAACTGTACTCGTCCCATTGGTCGCACCGTCAACATATTACATGTAGTTATTATGACATCAGTTACTATTTTAACAGGTTAGTTGAGAGTTTTAATAATATTTTCGTCTATTGAACCTATTTAGTAGGGGGGTTTTTTTATTACCTAAAATCACAGCCAAAAACAAGCAGTTTAACTTAGAAAATGTAGTTATTTTTCCAAATTAACCAAAAATGGACGAAACAGGCTGCTTTTAAAATATGTGTGAAAAACAAAGCAAGGTATGACTTTTATGCCTACACTTCTTATTATGGTACTTAAGTTATGATAATAAGACTGTATTCCACAAGCAAACACGACTCTATAGTCTATATGCTTGCTCACATGATAGAACTGTGACAGTTTGGCGGCCCTTTCCTCAGAATTTCCACAACTGTCGAAGGCCTGGTAGTAGGCTGTTACAAAAGCTGTTCCTATGTCTTGAAAATTCGGGTTCATTGTGTGTTGTGTTGTGCTGAAAGCACTATTTTATCTACCGAAACTTTCAGAACAATTTTGGATCTATCCTAGATGGCGCGTATAAATCCGGAAGTACGGAATTTAGACAACTAGTACACTGTAAAATTCGATATTTATGGAGTAGTGGTTCAATCGAATCACACTATTTCTTAGATCGGATAGCATAATGTTTATCAAGTTCAAAGTAATGTTAATACTCTTTGACTAATTATGACCCCTTTCGAATGAGGTTCTTCTCAGGGACCCTAATTTGATCAATCTATGTAGACAGGACTCGTTATATACATGTATTTACTACTATCATGTTTTTTTTTAGACTAACAGATTCAGCATTTTGAGGGGTTTGGGTGGGGTTATTTAACTCCTGTAGATTATATATACTTTGTATATTTACTTTTAACACCCACCCACCCCATTTCTGTCCATCCTGCACTCTCATGCAGCCCGTCTCAACGTGTCTTAGATTTTTCATCTGTATTTGTATTTGTAGTATCATTTTAATTTTGAATTTACTAGGTAGATAAATTTTGCATTTACCCCCATCCTATAAAGAACTGCGAATGCTACCTCCCTATTCCCGCCTACATTTTACACACTCATGATTCAACATGTTTGAAATATTTGCTATTTTCTCCTTTATTTCTTAAGAAAACCATTGCCGCTTATCAGTCAGTAAACAGCAATAAGCATATCACCTGTATAGAATTCTTGAGCGGTGGCTGTTCCATTAATGAAACGTACAATGGCGTACATATCAATAATACACTATTTCATCTACTTGTAAATCCTACTTCAAATGATTATTTGTACAGATATAAATATAAAAAATAAAATGTGTTTGTTTGTTAGTAAGGGAATTAAGCTATTGCAGAAAAAAATTACATAACGTACGCGCTTTACGCATTTTTTCTGCAACAGCTGGAACAGTAATTAAATTCCGTAAACTGTATTTGAAAGTATTCCTTCCAATATATCTCAAGTTTTATATATATATATATATATATATATATATATATATATATATATATATATATATATAATATAATATAATATAATATAATATAATATAATATAATATAATATAATATAATATAATATAATATAATATATTAGTAATTAGTTTGCTTTTCAATTTTACCTTATCAGAGTGGAGCTAGAAAGGGCTTGAGGGGGGTGACAAAAGGGGGTGTGCATGTGAGAAGGGAGTGGAGAAGAAATTGAGGATCGGGTGGGAGTAAGGATTAAATGGGAGGAACAAGGGTGCCTTTATTCACAAAAATTATAGCAAGAAATCGTAAATGGAAATACTGAACCTAAGGGATAAGGTACATTGGTACCTTTGATATCTTCAAAACTGACACCTATAAAAGGTAGATTACAGGTAATTCACTGAGAGAATTAAAACCAATAAATCCGACCATGCACCAATAGTTGGTAATTTTGTTAAATATTCAAGAGCATTGTTCTAAGGAGAATCCTATATTCCAAGTCTGAAATCCAAACTTCTGTTTGGCATCATACAGTTGTTTCCTTATATAAATTTTACTATTTACAGTTCTATACAGTGCAAATGACTTTTGAATATCAATAATATCTTCCATCATAAGAGGTGTTCGCTTCATGATCGGGAGATCCGGGTTCGATTCTCGTTCGCAGCGCCGCGCCAACATAGGTACTGGTAGTGACTGTTCCTTCGCCAATCGCCCGGCATTGAAAGTGAAAGTTACGGGTATTTCGGGCGAGACCTTAAAAACCGAGGTCCCTTGTCACGGAAGGCGTTGGCTGGATACAGAACCCCCCACTGCTCAATGGCCCCGAGTATCGAGTACAGGTAGAATTTGAAGCCCTTCGCCGGTATAAATGATGACGTCTCTATCATGAGTGAGGAATTCTCGAATGGGACGTAAAACAACATACAATCAATCATAACCTTTTTCACTAGATTCCTAAACGTATGCGAGGAATTAATCATCGAATAATTTCGCTTTTATTTTAATGGTGCCGAAATCAATGTCTCTTGATCAACCGTCCACTCGCGAATTATTGTTCTCGCGATTTGACGTTAAAGAGCCATTTCGCTATAATAAGTACTAGCGAAAAATAAGGAATCAACAGTATCTACAGCAATTATTGATAGCACTAAAATACGTACTCACACAAATGTACTTAAAATGATTTATTTTTTTACCACATTTAATTGAAAAACCCATTTTACGAAAAATATTGCACCTTTATTTAACATATTTTATACTGAATAAAAATTTCAATCAACATTCATCACATTTAGTTGGAGGAGGGGGGAGGGGGTCATTATAAAAATGTGAATTTTTAGTTAATGTTTGCTGAACATCGAATGTTTAATCTCGCCCCTAATCAACATTATACTCTGATCATTGAGAATAATTTATGAAATCATCGAGGCAAAATTTTAACCTGAAAATAATTTCTTAACAAATTGGCGTCACTCGACTTCATATATAACGTTTGATATCACCATATCGCCTACAGATAAATTCATTTTGAAATCATGTGAAGAAAGTGAAAAAAAAATCATTTTGTGATGTTATATCAATAAAAATGAGCTACAAATAACTACTAGTATTTAAAACACTTTCAATAACCTATACTTCTTTTGTTTATTAATAAAAAGTAATTTCAAACACCAAATAAGATAAAGTCTCATATAATATGCACTTGTAATTATGGATGTCGGACTACAAAAACATTTGGGGCTCTTGACAAACCCAGACACCCACCCCACTCAACTATTTAAATTTAGTTTTTATCCGACATCGATCCTTCGATCTCATCTCATCATTAGCCTTTTAAGGAAAGAAAATTTTAATCATTCCGCATAAGTAAGTTGTCTTTTATCATGGAAATTAGGCTAAAATTGAGCTCACAATGTGTTTTTATACAAGAGGCCCAAGGGCCTTAACGGTCACCTGAGTACAAAACAACAATTTAGAGGATCCATAAACTGAAAAATGAAGCTTTGTTGCCCAAAAGCAAGAAAAATAGTATGATTAGCATCAACAAAATAATTGGTCTAGTATCTATCTGCCTATCTGACTTTCCAAGTCATTAAATCTATGAAAGTACATTTTCATTATACAATAAATTATCTTGCATAATTCTCTTATTCTATTAAGCTTTCAAATACATTATTTACATTGATTAATTATCAAAGGTGAATGGCAAAGGGGAATAACTTTGCTCAGCAGAATACAAGTTAATAGAGCCCTGGCCAGGACTAGAACACTTGACTAAATGGTCCAGGTGTTCAAAAATCTGGTAAAAATACCCTTGCATATTAAAACTTTTACTCTGTTTGCCTTGAACATCCCCAGAAGCATAGATGATTTTCAAAGAAATGCATTTTCACCATAAAATTAAATAAATAAAGCCCCATCCTTACCCAGAACATCTGACCCATTGGCCACGAACTCACAATTCTGGAAGAAGCACCCTTTCTCATTATAACTATACACTTGTTTCTTTACTTTATAACCAGTAGTAGAAAAAATATTTTGAAAGAAATTATGCATTTTCACTATATATAATCAATAGAGCTCTTTCCCCCTCACCAGAACCCCTGACCCAAAGGCCATGAGGCATTCTTCCTTATCATAACCATGCACTTCCTTTGTTTGAAAAATACCCAGGCGCACATAAGATTTTGAAAGAATTCATGCCAATTCCCTATCTAATCAATAAAGCCCCGCCCTAACACCAGAACCCCTTACCCAGAGGCCATTAAATTCATAATTTCTGAGGCAGCCATGCTCATCATAACTATGTACTTAGTTTATTTAATATCCAGGAGCAGAGAAGATTTTCAAAGAATTAATGCAATTTTACTATATAATCAATGGAGCCCATCCCTAACACCAGAACCCCTGACCCAAGGGCCATGAAACAATTTCTGAAAAGGCAGTCATGCTCACCATAACTATGTTCTTAGTTAGTTTATTTAATACCCAGGAGCAGAGAAAAAGATTTTCAAAGAATTAATGCAATTCTACTATATAATCAATAGAGCCCTGCCCTAACACCAGAACCCCTGACCCAAGGGCCATGAAATTCAAAATTTTGGAAGAGGCACTCTTGCTCATCATAACTATGTACTAAGTTACTTTATTTAATGCCCAGGAGCAGAGAAGATTTTCAAAGAATTAATGCATTTTAACTATATAATCAATAGAGCCCCACCCTAACACCAGAACCTCTGACCCTGGGGCCATGAAATTCACAATTTTGAAAGAGGCACTCTTATTCTTCATAACTATGTACTTAATACACAGGAGCAGAGAAAATTATTGCAATTCTACTATATAATCAATAGAGCCCTGCCCTAACACCAGAACCCCTGATCCTGGGGCCATGAAATTCAAAATTTTGAAAGAGGCACTCTTGCTCATCATAACTATATACTAAGTTAGTTTATCTAATACCCAGGAGCAGAGAAGAAGATTTTCAAAGAATTAATGCATTTTCACAATATAATCAATAGAGCCCCACCCTAACACCAGAATCCCTGACCCTGGGGCCATGAAATTCATAATTTCAGAAGAGGCACTCTTGCTCATCATAAATATGTACTAACTTAGTTCATTTAATATCCAGGAGCAGATAAGAAGATTTTCAAAGAATTAATGCATCTTCACTATATAATCAATAGAGCCCCGCCCTAACACCAGAACCCCTGACCCTGGGGCCATGAAATTCACAATTTTGGAAGAGGCACTCTTGCTCATCATAACTAAGTACTAAATTAGTTCATTTAATAACCAGGAGCAGATAAGAAGATTTTCAAAGAATTAATGCATTTTAACAATATAATCAATAGAGACCCGCCCTAACACCAGAACCCCTGACCCAAGGGCCATGAAATTCACAATTTTGGAAGAGGCACTCTTGCTCATCATAACTATGTACTAAATTAGTTCATTTAATACCCAGGAGCAGATAAGAAGATTTTCAAAGAATTAATGCATTTTAACTAATGTATATAATCAATAAAGCCCTGCCCTAACACCAGAACCCCTGACCCTGGGGCCATGAAATT